TTTAATATTAACCGCATGTAGCGCGTATCGACGTTACCGATATAATGGGCTACCCCCTTAGGCCGCGGGCACCGTCTCGAACAATTATTAAACGTTAGCTTTAAGTCAGCCGAAGCCGACGAGTATCAATTACCGAAGTAATTAAAGGACGTGCGAGAAAGATAAAATCCCGTGCGCGTGAGACTATGTGTGTATGCGAGTTCATGCGAGAGGTTCATTTCTTACGAGGCTCGTTTATCAACGTGTACTAGGGGTTAGGGTTTAGGGGTTAGGTTTAGCGCGAGCGATTCGGAGATTTGCAGCGAGAGAGGCCGTATGTAAGAGTCAGCGAGCGCCTGCGCCTAGGTCCCCATTTTCCGGAAGTTCCACATCCTCAAGGAAAAACTGACCGCACACTTTTGTGGACCGGCCCTCGCCCGAGAGAGGGAAATTATTCCGGAGCCATTCGAATCATCGGATAAAAAATGAAAAATAATCATTTAACGGCTGGTTTTAAAGATGCGCCTCGAAATCGACAAGATCATCCGGGAGATCGACTGGTACCAGAAGACGGAACCAGATTCTTTACGAGGAAAATTAACAAAAGGTCGTGGAACGGCTCGCGAGGTCCGCAAAAGTGTCGTCCGTTCCTCTTAAAGAAAGTAACGAGCTCCGCAAAATGGCCTAGGTGGATTAGAGGAATTAGCCATAGTGATTAATAGCGCACACACGAGTAAAGAGACAAGTACACGGGAGGGCGGATAAGGTGAGAGGGGTAGCTCCTTCGAGGAGCCTAAGCTTTCGGATTTCTCGGAAAACTCAAGGAAAATACGGAGGAAAACCTCCCAAGGAGACCCTTGCACCGCGCCAGACGTTCTCGAGGCCGCCCTCGATATACTCCGCACCATTTTGAATACGCTATTTCCGCTACAGTGCACAATCGCAGCCGACATTCCCAAAGACGATTCACGCTGGAGGGAACCGTGTACCACACGAATCTACACGAGACACACACCCATACAGCCCACACAATATGCGCACATATTCACGTAGGCCCATCGAGATCGTCGCGCAAATGAGAATGAAAGAGACAAACCTGTAGAAAATGCCCTTTCGGTCCGAGTAATCCTGAATTACTTCCTCTAATACCAGAACTGTACATATTAGACTCCTCGGTGACCATAACGCATGTAAAGAGACTCTGGCTCGTCTGGCGCTCGAATAACGCATTTGGCGCGAGACTCAGCCAGCATCCAGCTGACCCCCAAAGTCTCGAGATACGAGCTGTAACTGTTCTCGTCTTCCCTTTCATAACGTTTATTTTTCCATTCCTACTTTTTTAAGTATATAAATAATTTTTAGGATTTCATTTTATATCCCCCTTTCCGTAAAGCTCGATTTTTGCCCCGCGCGGTTTCTCTTTCATTCTCACGCGTGCAATGATCCTTCCCGAGAGAGGCGGTACTTCTCGGGCCTTTTCCTCTGGTTTTCGATGTTTCCAATCGAGAGGAAAACGCCTCGAGGCCGCGAAATGGGCCAGCTCGAAGTCGGGAGCCCGGAAAGAGATATTTCGAGGATCGGCGATCGGCCGGCAAGAAGGGACGGTGATATTTTTATGAAAATCTAGAGAGTAGTCGAAAACTCCGCTATTCCACGAGAGGCTCTGGGAGTGCCTTACCCGGAATATCCCGATTTTATCACGAAGGACTCATTCCTCGGCGAAGTTAACTATTGTAATTCCTATGCGACAGTGAGGCCTCCTACGACGCCCGAAGACGTTGCTCAAATCGCCCTTAGTGGTCGAGTCGACGTGCACCTCGGTATCCCGTGTCGCGATGTCGAATTCGGGCGAGTTCTTTCTTTTTTATTCCCCAGAAAAATCATCCCCAGGAAAGCAACATCCAAAAATCTCGAAAAACATCCCCACGATTTATCTTCATACACCTGACAATGATTCCATAAGAAAAAAAAAAAGAAGAAACAAAGTAATTGGGTCTTCCAATTTTCTCATGATTTTTCGGAGCATCTCCGAAAGACTCGTCGTTCGAGGCGTTCCCTTTGTTCGAGCGTGAGTTGAAAAATCCCTGATAATTCCGTCGTTGTGATAAAATCGCCGCAAAGGACCGCCATGGCGACACCAACGGCGATACCGAGTTGCGCAGTGCGACGAATTAATATCCACCACCGTTACATACCCTAATCTAGTTAAGAGATACAATGTCCAGACTTTCGAGAAGAATTCGATCGCGTAGCTAACTAGCGAGATCCCCGTGAGAGCGGTTTAAGGAAAGAAAAGAGAGAAAAAGAAAAAGCGAAAAAAAAAAAGAAGAAGAAGAAAACGTTTATTCCTCTGCATAAAAAGCACGAGGTACGCGTGGTAGTCCGTAAAGGTACATAACGAGCGTAAAGAGATGCGGGACGCAGAGTCGGATATCTTTTTTCATCCTCCCCGAATTCCGGAGGCAAAAGGGTGCCAGCTTTCACATAAGCTTTCAAAAGCTTAAGCCAGAACGAATCTCCACCACCTATCCCATATTTTGGACCCCCGTTCGTCCATTGTACATACACAAAGCCTACTTTTTCCCTGATGTCGACGAATTCGAATTATCTCTCGTAACTCGCTTCTCTCGATAACCGGAACAATTCCACGACTCGATAAAATATATCTCGACATCTACGGGAAGAGTCTCGCGGAAACAGGCGTCGGAACCGTCGAAAAAAGATATCCCGACGACGTCGGCGAGGAAGCGACAAGCGAAGCCGTTGTAAATAATTCACAGGATGCATTTAAACTATAATAACTATTAAAATTAGAGGTAAACTATAGAGCGCGGTATCGCGAGAGCAGGAAACCTTCGACGAAGCGGGCCAAGAAGCCGGGAGAAGAGAGAAAGATCTATATATATATAAATATAAATATATATATATAAAATATAAATATACTTATGTATATGTACACCACACTGACTGTTAGCGGAAAAGGTTAGGCACGGGAGCGGAGCAACGGTACACTAGTCACTTGCCCATTGAAAATAATATTCTAAATAATACTCGTATAAAGATCGGTGAACACTAAGTACACGTAAGTGTAGGGGTACGACAAGTACGCATACAATGAACGAGTGCGCTGCGCGCCCTAACGTGCGGCCTGGTCCGAGTAAGTGCAGCGACGAGGTTTTCATTTTTTACCGCAAACCCCTTCTTCGAGGACCGTCAAATGAGGTGTACTTAGAGGTGCACGTTCCTTTAACCGGCGCCGTAAATCATCGTTTCTTAATCATTCACATTCGAATTTAATTTCCCCTCCCCAGACTTCAAAGGAATGTCACCCCGTTTGACGGCGCACTGAGGTCTCCGCGCTGCACTTATGGGGTGCACTCTGCACGCGAGTGCGCGCACTTAGGTATACATACATATAAATATACACATGCGTGTAAATACAGCACGCTCCAACATTGTCGCGCACTCCGAGGAGAAGGGAATGGAAGTGATGCCACTCGCAACTCTTGCACCGACGTCTTAACTCGGGTGCATAGACGAGATGCACCGTGCATTCGGGATGAGATTGGAAGGAGCTGCAGGATCCTGTTCTTATGTGCACATGCGTTCTCCCTGGATTCGAATATCTGACCGGCAATTTATCCAGCGAGGGAAATTCACGTGGGTTTACCTGGACAAGTGGAAGGGAATTTTTCTATTATTTTCAAATATTCTTAAATAAGTATTCCGCTAACTAACGAGATGCAGACGCTGCACGTTAGCTCGGAATGGTTCCTTAAAGACTAGAGAATTGAACGAAAAGAAAAAAAAATGAGAAAAGAAAAACTGTCCCCCATTGTTTCTTTCCGTTTCGTGATTTTTAGTGCCAATCGGTGATGGCTTTCGGATATCGGATGCAGCGGGAACAATGTTTAAGGGTATGCAAAAAGGCGAGGCTGCGAGGCACGATCGGACGGTTCGAAACGCAGAATACAAAGAGAATATGTTAGGTAGGTTTACCTAGATCCGACAAAGAGGAGTGTAGGCGACTTAGGGGTTTAGTTAAGAAATAAACACGGAGAGGGGAGTTACGCGTGCGAAGTCTACGGAGAGACATGTCATTTTTATACAAACTAAGGGAGGCGAACCGGCGCTAAATGCGAGTCGCAGATGCGAGGAAAAAAAGAAACAAAAAATAAGGGACGCGCAAATAGCGACGAGCAAGACCGACAAAGAGGAGGATCCTTTAGAGGGGTGTATTTGTAATAACTCTAGCCAAGTCTTGTCGATAAGGTAATCCTCAGAAGTCTATTAAATATACGAACTGTACGTTTTAAGTTCTAACCGATGTATCATAAGACCTCCATTGAGAACGCTAAAAAGATCGTAATCAATTCACTAAGTGTACTTGAATTCCTTCGACGACCCCCACGAAATCCACATCGTCTCTCCGAAATCCGCACTCTGCTCTCTCCCTCGATTTATATCGTTCGGAAGGCCTTTCTTTCGTTTCTGTGATTATTTTTCAGATCGATCTACGACGTGCAGATACGAATTGGACATTTTTCGGTAAGTATGTAAAGGCGCCGGCCTCGAGGACAATGGATCATCTGTATTCTTGATGCATCAAAAGGAGAAGATAATATCGAATAACGTGGAGAATCAGAACAGTGTCGTCTTTGATAGTATTTGGAAACTTACGATTACTAAATAGCTTATATAAATATTCTAACGTGATGTGATTAATACTCGGAATATCGATCTACTCCAACTTCTCTGTTCTCTGCACCGTTTTATCCTTGAAATACTATATATATATACCATATATATAACAATAAATACAGTCTACCACTCGCCAGTACCATGCGGCAGTGACGGTGGTGGCTTACCTACGCTTACCGACACTGCTCGCTTTTGATGGTAAGGGAAGAACACTCGTGGCGCCCTCTTTGACATTACCCTTCACTTACCTTATTTATTTTATCCGCCAACAGGGGGAAAAAACGGTGAAAACTAACGTACGAAACCAGAGGGCAGCACAGGATACGATCGCACGATCCTGCCCGTGAGCAATCTCCCAACTCATCTCTACGAAACTGCAGGTTCCTTCTAAGTGCAATTTTTCTAAATACTTTTGCACATAGTTTGCAGTCGCTAGCACATAGCCTTATTCGTTCTGATTACTGTTAAAAGCTGTAAGGATATTTTATTACATTTTGTCGAGTGAGGCGCAACTCGTCAACGGACCGGCAAGAAACCGTGGTAAGATACCTGTATGTTCGCTGTATCAAGGAACTATGTAGTTTCGCGCGAATATATATATTTTTCGTATTCACGATTCGTTCAGGCATTAAAATCGTAACAAGTTTTTACATGGTTTATACAATTTTTTCTTATATTTCCAATATATGAATTTCAGTTCTACTTCGTCGTCACATGTTTTCCTCTTGGTAACGATGTCACAGGTATTTGTCATTTTATTGTGTAATTTATTCAACGTGTGGATTTGTCCCAAATTATTATACATAATTTTTCTAGACAAGTGAGAAGCGGAATGTTCCTTCGATATTGAGAAGAGTCTTGGCAGTGGATGCTTTTTTAACGGATGTCTTTGCTAATACATTAGAAACGATATTGCCCTTAAGACAACTCAGAATTCATTACAAAGTTCTAGAGGTAAGAATACCAGTGAAAACTTGTAACTCGACTTAATCCATGGTATGATTAAACTTATTCAAGGAACGGGCATGACATCGAACAGAGAATAAATTACTTTTTACTTTATTAGGTATCATGTCATGGAATACCTTGGTTAGCCTGTTGGTTATCGCTTATTTGGATAATGAATAAACGCAGCTGGTACCAGATGCAAACAAATTTTTTAATAGGCAGGTGGTGCTTAATATTATTTTCATACGTTGATCTTTAACGATACACAAATCATTATCTAAATTTAAATTTCAACGTGTACGTTACAGGATTGATCGTTGACATCATCTTCGTAGCCATATTAAAAGCATTTACTCGAAGAAGGCGGCCTCGTAGGAATTCGGATCCATTATTACTAGGTCCAGATAAATACTCCTTTCCATCTGGGCATGCTTCAAGAGCAACATTTATAGTATATTTTTTTCTGAGTATTTGGCCTTTGCATTTTGTTTTCATCCCACCTTTGTTTGCATGGTTAATTTCCATTTGCATCAGTAGAATTTTAATGAAAAGGCACTATCTACTTGACCTCATAAGTGGTGTTTTGTTAGGCATTTTTGAAGGTTTCCTTATAAGCTTAATCTATCTCGATGAAGAAACCTGTATAGGCTTAATTTCTTGGTTAACGGATGAAAAAGTCGAAGGTGGGGATTATCATGTTTGATAGTTACATAATTTTATCTAAACCTCTCTGAGATACTCGTTCGATATGAGCTTATTTTAACTTATCTAATATTTTCGATTGAGTTCATATGGCACGCTAAACTGTTCCTGGAAAGGTATTAATTAACAACTTTAAAACTTGTTTAAATTCATCGTGTATCTTTACCAAAATAAAATGTATACTTTAAAACATGGAGGTATAAATTGAATATAAGTGTTCGACATCGTATCGTGTAAATGCTGGACATCGTTCAACCTACTTTTCCACGCTGTTTCATTGCGATTACATGACCTAATGCATTTAAACATATTTACATTTGAGAACAAGGATGATTGAAGAACTCATCCTCTTACTTCTGTACTATTTATTTCTTCGTTTTACATATTTTTCTGTTAGACTCAATAATTAGACATAAAATGATGCTTTCCACTTGCTAAGGGTAATCGTCAGCGTTCGGTACATCCCAGCCCGGTTCCACAACTCGAGTTAACCGGAGTTTAATAGGCTCACATCTAGTTTAAACCAACCGTAAACCAATTAAACTCCGATTAACTCGAGTTGTAAAACCGGGCCTTAGAGGTCTTGCCTTATACCTTATACCTTTGCTGTGTAACTACTGCTGTTAAGCGTTGTATAAATGCCATTCCAAGTTGATGTTACCGGTAAAATCGCGGTAAATCGGTGTTCACGCCATACTTAACGCCACGAGTTATAAAACCCATTTGAGGTAGCCAGGGTAAATCGGTTTACCAGGTAAAAAGTCTGGCAGTTTAAATTTTAATATGACGTTATTTTTTATAATTTACCTTTTCTTTTTCGTTTTTTTTTTTTTCCTTTACCACAAAGGAGAATGATAAAACTTTAGATCAAGATGACCAGATTCGTTTCCGACCACCTCTTGGGCACAAGACGGTGAAGGTTTCAATTGACTACTGGACCTTTCTACCTCCTCAGCCCGAGGGGGTAACGATTTCATCGGGTTGTTTGTTTTTTCGGCTTCCACGTTAATTGGAACGAAAGATGCATCTTTCTTTGCAGGAATTGTTGAGGTTGGCATCGTGGCCAATTCAGTGGAGCGCTGCTTTCGCTCCTCCTCCGAGTAAAGGCTCAAGGAGCGAGGTCGTTCCAATTTCGGGACAGAAGTCGGAACGTCACTGGAAAATCAAGTCCTTCTCAGTGGGCATTTCTCTAAACATGGCGAGGTAGGGAATAATTCATCGCTTAAATTTTTACTGCAGTAGCGGTTCTACTCCGATCGAAGTAAAAGTGACAACACTGATTGTGCACCTGAATGGTGCTCTGTGGTACGACGGGTAAGAAACTTAGTCGCATCTTTTCCATCGAGAAATTAGAAAAAGGGTGATGGAATAGAGAAAAGGTGTGATCTTGGAAGGTAAACCGCCAAAGCTTAAGAATTTTCTCTTTCAAACGTTCCGGACTAACGGGGTGCCCTAATAAATGTACCTTACAAGTTTAAGAGAGAACCAATGGAATATATTAGAAATGTAAGTACATGTAATTAGAGATTTATCGATTGACATTAGAAAAAGAAAACGAAAGGATGATTACCGATACGTATTGAAAGGATATTCTTAAGCTCGTTTGGGAGCCATGTCGAAACGGAGAAATCAACAGTGAGCGAACAAGGTGATAAAATCATTTTAATAAAATAACGCATACGAATCGATTTACAAATCATAATAATTAACAGTAGAAATAAATAGATCCGCGGCATACTAGTCCAGCTAAGCTCGAGGTATGGGAATGTAGGGCATTATGTGAAATAAATAAATTACACGTGGTCTGGAATGCATCACGACTAAAATTACATCTAGAGATATCTTCGGTTCCTCGACGGACCATTATCACTCTCAAGGGTGCAATTATTGCCTCACGTGATCTTAAATCTTGGGAGACCACTTCGTCCGATAGAATCCTGATTTCTATCGTCAATGGTCACAGCAAAGTTGGCAAGAAATGGTTTGCAAACTGTCCACGAACTACTAGCGAAGCACCTTCTTGTAATAAATTAAACGCCTCCAAACAATGCCATTTGTTCAGCAAAACGTTCAAAGAAACTCTTCATATCAGGGATCAACTAAGAATTCGATAAACGTTCCCTCACGTCAGTTTTACTCACCCGGTACGCTCGGCAGGTTGGCCGAGCATTGCTGTGTTATGAATGATCTAAAAGAAATCATTAACAAAATAGAATTAGTAATAATTAATCCCAATTGATTGTCCCCACCCAAGCTTAAGAAAAGACCGAACCGACTGCCAGTCGTGACTTAATTAAATAATTCCTCAAAAGCCAACAAGTTTTGGTATGCATTAACAGGCATTAATAAACTAATTGATCTCTAAATATTAGGTTGTCCCATAAGTTTCTTCCCTTTTTTCATAGGACATGAATACACGATGCGAAAGGAACTTATGGGACAACCTAATATACCAACAAGCACTTTCAGACCCAGAGAAAAGAAATGTGGACGCGAAACGTAGCAACTTATCTAAGGACATAAAGGACGTTTTAATATCTCCTGTACTCACGTTGGCCATGGAGCAAGGTGGTCGCGATGCTGCGTATCTGCCATAGGAACCGCGAGAAACCGACGCATGTGGAATGCCATTAGCGCTGAAAATGTTATTAATAATGAATGCAATCATTTGGAGACTTCCGCTCGTCCAACACAGGCCCCTTCGTCGTTCACGCACCTACCTGCCTATGTTCTTATTTTGGTTGCCGTTTTTCGATGTGGTGGCATCCAAGGATGCCTTCGGAGGCAGATTGTTATGACTGGTTCTCATGTCGCGGCTCTCTGAAATTCATTGTTTCTATTAACAGTCCGTTATTCGATATACCAAAAGAAAGCATCCCACTAAGGCTAACATGGGATGAATGTCCTCAACCCAGAGTGGATTAAAGTGAAATAAAAGTCCAGACAATGAATGGCTCAAGTATAAAAAGTTTGCCAACCATATAGTAGGTCTGTGAGCCTATCGATCGGACGCGAAGCATTCCGATTATAAGAGCGATATGCCGGCATTTATTTCATAGCCTACCGTCGTCGAAGAACCCTTGAAAGACGACAAACTTGTTGTTCTGGGGAATTACCCTGGAGAGACCGTAGTATTTTTTTAGAAAAGCCAGGAACTTCTCGGAGGGACGGTCGATGGCCAATTTCACAGGTCTGATATTCTCCTCCTGAAAGAAAAAGAAAAGGGTTAAAACAAGATTACTTCCCGTTTCTGGCCGAAACCGCAATGGCCGACTTTGGGTTAATCTCTACTATGGCCAAAGGGTGGATATGCCGCTATCACGCGAGTCGCTCGTTTGTTTCTTCCACTTTTGACCTGTGTCAAATCTTGGAAAACATTCGAGAAACTTACGCAAGGCTTGTCCATTCAGCCGTCAGTCTGAATTCTCCTGGAATGTAGGAGGCGCGTAGATAAAAATGTCACAGAAAAGTTCGTACGAATAAAATAGAAGGAAATTGAATTTTTTAGGATCATAGGTCTCTCTTCTCGAGGTCCCAGCGCCCTCCCTTTTATTGCGCACCCCTTTGCGCGGTAGTTCTTTCCTCTTGGAAAAGATTGACCGCAAACGGAGTACTTCCAATTCGCGATGGCACCCGATGCCGATCAGGAGCACTTAGAAGAAGTACTTAGTTACACGAACGACTTCCTCGCGCACGCGATGCCTTCGTCGTATCCGTTTCCAGTACTTAACTCGCTCTCGTTCGTTAGACAAAGCACTAGTTATCGAGCAGAAGTAGGAAGTACTGTTAAGTTACCGGAAACTTACCGTCAGCATGTGCTGGTACAATACGTTTCCGCAGCCCATGCGTTGCCTGGACTCGTGGACATAAAAGTCCAAGACGCATCGGGGTCTAAGCTGATAATGGACCTCTCTTTCGTCGAACATGAAGAGGTTCTTGGACCCGGTCTTGAGCATCCCTACGACGCATCCGTGACCGCTGCAAATCGGAAAGAGCATGGTCAAATTGTGCCAGGAAGACCGGGGCCTTGTAAAAATGCCTGACTAACGTGGGGTCGGTATTAACTACTTCGGTACGGCACTTACCGGACAGCGGGTTCATATCACGACTGTCGACTAAAGTCGACGCTCGGCTGTGCGCCTTCATATCGCGGCCGTCGACTAAAGTCGACGCTCGGCTGTGCGCGTTCATATCACGGCCGTCGACTAAAGTCGACTCTCGGCTGTGCGCCTTCATATCACGGCCGTCGACTAAAGTCGACGCTCGTACCGAAGTGGTTAAGGGGATGTGAAAGTGGCATCCGAAAGCTCAATCGTTCATAAAACTTTTCTACTAACTGGGTGACGTTTCATACTTTAAAACGTGAATATGGAGACCCTAAGGTAGGTCCTGAAACTCGCAAAATTTCATTTTTTATAAACTATTTTCAAAATACCTGTAAACAAATTTGAAATGAATTGAAATTTCATGAGTTTCAGAACCTTCCTCGTAGTCTCCCTATTTTGGTTGTAAAGTTTCAAACTATTCGGTAAACCGAGTTGGGAGAAAAGTTTTATAAACAAAACCTCTTCGACGCCACTTTAGGGCTACTGCGCGGAACACTATGCATCTCGCATCCCACCGTGCTTCGCAATGTCAGAAACCTTTCTCGAGGCGATCGACCTTCCAAGCGTGAGAAGTTACGTTTTTATTCCACCCCAAAGGAACTTCCGAGTCTTCTCCCTGCTCGTGGGCAAAAGTTCCCATTTGCAAATGGCAAACCCTGGGATTTCACGACTCGGACGAGAACGGTTCCCTCATTGATCCACACCCTCGTGTCGCGGGAAGGCACCCTTCCAGTTCTAGGAAATATCATTTCCTGTGCATTTTGCGCAGTCAACCACACCGCTTCCTGTTCACCCTTCGATAATTACTTGTTACCCTCGCTGTCTACGAGCAGGTACACGATATGGTCGGTATCTCGTAGCTTATGGGCGCTCGTGATGGACTTGTTCAAATCCTGTGCCCTTGCCGAAGCCTCTCCCATCTCGTCCAGGACTTTGGCCAGCTGTCTTTGGCACTCACTGAAACATTTAATGGTAAGAAAGTTAAAAGTTCCTTCTAAGAACCGTCCTGCGATTAGAGAAACCGCGAAGTTATTATCACGGGCTCGTCGAACCACCGTCCGAGCTTTTTGTAAAACCATGAGCCGGCAGTGGCTACGGAGAGAAACGACCTCGGAATCGTGGCATCCGAAAACCCTAGGTTTCAGCTTGTTCACGTTCTATAGAAAACCCCGTCGATTACATAGAATTAATTACCGATCATTTGCGCGACATCGACGCTGACTTTCGCTGCAAGTGGCGTGCACTAAGCATTCATCTACCTACCATCGTTGCACTTGCCAGATAACAGCTCAATGAGAAAAATCCACGTTTCTCCCGCCGATCCGAGTTTGAACAATCGCCCTCTCTGGACTCCTCAACGGGAGAGAACGGTGCCGTTCGTTTTCTCCGCTCTGATAATTTACCCTATCTCAGATAATTCCTAACTGAACGGTCGGCTGATTCGCTTTCTCTCTCTCTCCCTCTCGACACCCGCTAAACGCATTTCTCGCATCTTCATCCAACCCGTTTTCTCGTACTCACTTTCAAATTGATATCGAATCATTTGCCTTACGATTTAAATTCCAATAGCGCGTGCCATAAACAAAAATGTCGGTCTTACGTCGGGCCATTTCACGGTTTGGATGAACGTTCAAAGTCTTCCACGTCTCCCATACGTTTTGTTTACGTTTGCCCCGATTGACGTACCACGTCTCTCACACGTTTTCTTCACGTTTCGCCCGATTGATATACCACGTCTCTTATACGATAGTGTACACTGAGAGACATCAATGCCCTCTCATCCTGCACAGGCGATGCCGTATCTGCAGGGGAGGCATTCATGTCCGCCATTGTACACTGAGAGACATCGATGCCCTCTCATCCTGCACAGGCGATGCCGTATCTGCAGGGGAGGCATTCATGTCCGCCATTCTAGGTGAAGAGGTTAACGGATGCGTCGAGTAAACGGCTACCCGTGCGCGAGTAAGCCGGAGTTGCGTTCCGCGCTGCGGCAGAGCGTGCAGAAGCAATTTACTCGTCCTCGTCATCAGACGCGAACGAGTAAATGGATGCCACCGAGGAGGTGGTTGAACCTTCTTGGTTCTCGGTTCGCCGCGCCTTTCGGCACCTCCGCGAAGAGAGTTTCTTATGTTCCAAGGCGGCTGTGTGAACCTAGAATCCAGTTTGAGGCACAAACAAAATTAACAGACTTATTGGAATGTAGACGTTTGTGTCATGTTGAGTTTTGTTTATGGCATTCTTTTTTTTATTTACAAAAACCAAAGCTGATAAAAAAAACAAATCCCGAAATCGTGGAAATTTGGATTTTTCCACTCTAATGGGTTGACTCTGATGTTAGGAAAATTCAGAGCCTCCCCAAACCTCGAAAACATTAAGATGGTCATTTTCGGAATTTATTTTATTTTTTTAATAGCTCTGATTTTTGTAAAAAAAAATAGCACAAACGTCTACATCACAGAAACATTCCAATAAGCCTGTTAATTTTGCTTGTGCCTCAAACTGAATTCCAAGTTCCCACAGCGACATCCCGAAGACTCGAACACCTCTCCTCCAGCTCGAGTCTTTCGTATCAATTGCTAGGACACTCGACAAGCTCTAATAGTTTACACAATTGTATCTAGATTCCACGGAGAATGGAAATAAATCTCGATAATTTCGTATTCCTAGGGTCCATCGAGGAGAAAGAGAGGGTCACGATCAGACGAGAAATGACTCGAAGGGAGAAAAACGGAGTCTTTTAGAAAGAGACGAAACGAGTAAGGTCATTTTTCGGGTAGAAAGAGAGGGTCACGATCGGACGAGAATGACTCGAGGGTAGAAAAACGGAGTCTTTTAGAAAGAGACGAAACGAGTAAGGTCATTTTTAAACGTAGTAGACCGCTACCCACGTCGGGTCCGACCCGTTCGCCCACGTCCGCAGTTTTGCCGCTCGAAAAGCCGGGAAACCTTCGAAACATGGACGGAATAAGTCCTATCGCCGGTAAGGCTCGGTCGCACGCGATAAAAGACAATAAATTGAAATCCCATTCGATGGGAATTCATAATTCGTTCTAATACGTGGTTTTGGAGCGATCTCGTTTATCCCGATAAGTCGGGGACACTCGCGATGATTCTTTTTTCCTTATCAGGGGCTTCTCATTCGCGGGAGGTCGGAGGACGATAGGTCTGGATAATGACGCACGGTTTCACTTTCGAGCAACCGTGTGTCGAGGACGGAAGTCGATCGAAACGATCGCCGAAGGTGAAAGTCTTACGTGTTCGTTATTCGGATGCACAGACCGATCGTGCACTGGAGGCACTTCTCATTAGTAGTTCCACTCCGCCTGCGTAAACGCAAACCGTAACCACTACTGCCCGGGGTACTCGCGCAAAGAAATTCAAAAGTCCCATAGAAACCCAGATCGCATGTTACCGCTCAATGCTTTAAAAATTGACTAACAAATATTAAATGGGGAGTAAATGAGAGATCGCATGTGTTAGCCAACGAGATATCTCACATACGGGGGAAATAGAGACGCATATAGAAAGGCGAGTATTGTGGGTAAGATAGAGAAAGAGTACAATTCGCTATACATCGCCATAGGATTAATAGAGATGGGGAGATGATTACAGCGCCGTCTGTCGGCCAACGTACGACTTATCGAGCATCGAAGGTCCGTATCCTTCTGGGCTTCTATTGAGACTTCTGAATTCTTTGACTCGCGTTCCGTCGTCGAGACTCTTAAAACCTTCGCGAGGTCGGGATTTAATCGTTGAGGTATTTCTGGAGTCCCCGGGTACAACTAGGCGCCATCCTTGCGGTTTTCCACATTCGAGACGACTCCGTATCGAGTATCTCCGAGTCGGCCCACCTCCAGGACATCCCAAGATGAAACGTTAAACGATCCAAGATTTCCCTAAAGCTCCCTGGCCGGGTCGACGTCTCACAGAGGAAAATGAAACAGGCATTTCGTCCAGTTTCACCCGGGAATGTCCACGGCCTAACCCTCCACCCGGAGCCTCTCCCGGCATCCCTTACCTCAGCTCTCTCCGGTCGCCCTTAAAATCTTCCGGGATGAGTGTATGCGTGACTTTGCTGATCTTCCTCGGAAGGAGCTTGTTAATGCTGAACTTGAACTCCATGTCTCCCGGAAAGCAACTGGCCGAATAATCCCACACCCGCTGCCTAACCTCGTAGCCCCACCCCGATCGAATCGAGCTCCTTCCCGCTCCGATTTCGTTCCACTCCCGGGTGAGCGCCACCTGCGCTCTCGTTATCGGCCCTTGGCACGAAACTCGGCTTCCTCGGTTTCCTCGGCTCTCGGAGGTATATCCCGAATCGCGGCGACGTTCAGGGAGTTCCTCGTCAGCCTTCGTCCAGTCCACGAGTTGGCCCAGGGGTCCGAATCTCGAGTCAATACGGATCTTCCTTCTCGCATACGACTAGATTCGCATGAAAAATCTCGCATACGAGGGTGGTAAGACCAACCCTTGAGGACCTTCGAATTGGCTTAGGGCGAATTACTCATAGGCAATCGTATGCGACCTCGAAGCAACGTTGCCGCTCCTCTGTGAAATGCCCGAACCAATGGAATCTCCTCTTTAGCAATTGTTTCTTTCCTCTCCTCTCATTCCCTATACGGTTATATTGATCTTCGAGCCCTGTATAAAAAGCAATAGTTTTGTATTATTTTCCTATAAAAATCATCTCTCTCTCACGTGCTATATACCCATGTGATGTAATTCACATGGTATTTATTGGAATACGGAACCCCGGTGATTACTCAATATTACCAACTGTTGGAAGTCCTATACGAAAGTGTCAATCTCTTATGCGAAGGTTGATCGTATACAGGCGAGAATCGGGCCCCGTGCTCACGATCGGATCGGCAGGCAAGTTGATTCTCTCTCTCTCTCTACTTGCGGAATCCTCAGGGAAGCGACTCGTTCGGCCGGGCCATGCCCTCGACACGACTCCGAGATGACGGAGATGGCAGCTGATCGTAGAGCGATACTGCGCGGACACTCGCGTTTGGAGTCTGCTAGAGAACTGTAGGGACCGTGGAGAACTGGCCGGGATTGGCCGCAAGCGGTCGTATACTTTTTCACGATGATGCGCGCACCGAGCTGCGCGTAGACACATGGAAAGCCGCGCCATCTCTCCTCGGAACCTACAACTGCGAGTTCGGCCGCGTCGCGATGGCAGCGCCATCTTGCGGTATTCTCCTCAAGGCGGTAGTGAAAACCGTAAATGCGTGACTCTGAAACTGCAGGCCGTATCAAGAAGTGGTAAAAATAAGGAACTTTCGATTTCAAATCGTCCGGTCTGGGTAGAAAATTGAACTACGTATCCGGTTACCCGAACGTTGGACTTCTATCCCCGATAACTGCGGGACATCTTTGAAACGGTTATCGGGAGATCCTCCCGGCGACCGCGATGGCGGCAAGACGTCCGCCATTATGATCGGGGGACCGCGAAAAAGTTGTCGCATAAACTAACAATTGTTTTATACGAAAGCCCTACCGAAGATAAACCAGTGCATTTAAATAACTACACCCAAAACATAAAAGAAAACAATATAAAAACGAATTAAGACCTACACAGAAAAAAAGCACATGGGAGATGTTCTAGTAACGCGCGTCACCACTACTAGCTCCCCATGCCGTTACAACCCATAAAGAAGACGAACTCGAATACAGACCAAAGGAATTACACACAAAACAGTTTAATAGTTGAGTTGGCTACGGTGTCCTAATGGATACTGCAGGCCAAAATAGGTGCTGCAAAGCACCGTCACAGAAAACCAGATCGCGATGGCGGCAAGATGTCCGCCATTATGATCCTCGGGGGACCGCGAAAAATTTGTCGCATAAACTAACAATTGTTTTATACGAAAGACCTACCGAAGATAAACCAGTGCATTTAAGTAACTACACCCAAAACAAAAAAGTTTCCCTGTATTTCTCTCGAAAAAGCTTCGTAATCGTGGATTGGTGTGACGATTGAGCTCGTCCCCGTGATCGTCGAGTACACCGCTTAGACCTGTCGCCAGGTAGCATGTAACGAAGAGAATGTTCGTATAGGACCCTCACCGAGCATAAAATGACACGTGAGGAGTGTGTCAACTACCGAATATTCGAACCCGCGCCCGTTTAGGTGCCCAAGAATCGTTCCGTATAAATGATACCAAAACCTGACGGGAGCTTCAGTCGTTCGTTTTTCCTCGTGCGTCTCATTGCTAGGGGCCATAGGGAGGCTAGGGTGTTCTTACGTACTTTCTCGAGATACGTAAGATTTACCGATTAATCCCCCGGGATTTTCGGCAATAGCTGGATTAGTTCCCATTTTAAACTCACAATATAAATCCCAGTGACTCGAATTAAATGGAGAAATTCGGATTAATGTGATTGAAGGCAGGGCGTATTATAAAACGTGGTATATAAATAATAGGTAGAGAGAATTAACGTTAGGGGTATCGAGAGAAGCCCCTTCGAAAAGTTAGTTAAGTGGCTGGGACATAATAAAGCGGTGATTCAGTTTCCTTTCTCATTAAGGCTTCCGCATTTCCCGAGGCAACTCTAGAAGACGTCAGAGTTTCGGGAAGAAGTCACTCTTTGTTTTGAAAGAAAAAAAAAAAGAAAAAAAGAGGATCTACTTAATTATCCATCGCCGCGCTCTCGGAGATTCGAGGGTTAGTGTTTTGTACCCAAGAAGTACTTAGCATAGCCAACAGCTAACGAGTTGCGCTCAATATTCCCAACGCGTGGCTCAGTCATTTTTCTCCGAGTATTGCGCAAAAGACAAGTTGATGCATTGTTGTTCGCGGAGGCCGTTTTCGGACAATTTAAAAAACGTCCCGCAGCCGAACTGGCATCTGCGTTCCCATCGAGGAGATCCGTCTTACGTTTCGATGGAGATCAAAAAGCTCCTCTACATCCGTCAGCCTTGATGGCTTCTGACCCCTACTTAAATGAAATCGGAGAGGAAAACGGAAGCGATCGAGGCGAGAAACGCCGTGAATTAAATTAACCGGAGTATTTGGAATTCCGCGAAGGAGCGCGACAGGCGGGAACCGATGTGCAATGCCAGTCGTTCAAAGAGCGGTTGCATCTTGAAATGCACGCGCATTAACATTTCCGATTGTCCGGTCGAGTTGGTGGTCCATAAGGATTGACCCACCTTTGGAGGGAGACCGCGGTATAAAAGAGCGCTGTACGAAACTCGCTGAACGTCGTTCGAAAAGCCCAGCATGCATTGAGTGAACTTTCAAGGAAGATCAGCTATGGTGCATACGACGGTGAGTGCAATTAACGTCACCGCAAAAGGCACGGCTGTCGGCTCCACCGACGCGACGGGGAAACGTCCTTTGCGGTTCTCCTCGCAGCCCTTGGTTCACGTGACACTAACAATTAGAGTAGAGTGGTAGAAATACCATCTTCTCGATCGCTATCCATCTCGCCCATTCCGCTTAGTACTTGTGCCTCCGAAAGAATGGCATCGCGTACCGATGGTATACCTTAAAAATCTGAGAATTGACTGATGTCATTCGTAGAACACTCGCCAACGCGAAGAAGGTTTCTCTTTCGTCCGAATTGCTCTCACTGTCGGGATAAAAGGCACTTCGGGTCAAGTAATTCTCACTCGTGGTCTTAGAGCCCTCTTACCTTTGCATACACGCGTCATCTATGATCGCGTGCAAAACGCAGTGCCCGAAGTACCTCCTCTTCTAATGCGAATTAGAGAGAATTCATCTGCACTTCCGACACTTTCTACGTACCCTGGAATACAGCTCGGTAAATTCTAATCCTCTCCTTTCTCGTTCTTCCTTTTGCCCTAGTAATTGTTAAGGAATAATCGATCGTTGGAGGCATCGACCAGTTGGGTCGATTTGCATACACGCGTCATCTATGATCGCGTGCAAAATGCAGTGCCCGAAGTACCTCCTCTTCTAATGCGAATTAGAGAGAATTCATCTGCACTTTCGACACTTTCTACGTACCCAGGAATACAGCTCGGTAAATTCTAATCCTCTCCTTCCTCGTTCTTCCTTCTACCCTAGTAATTGTTAATGAATAATCGATCGTTGGAAGCATCGACTAGTCGGGTCGATTTGCATACACGCGTCATCTATGATCACGTGCAAAACCTTCTCTTCTATTACGAATTAGAGAGAATTCATCTACACTTTCGACACTTTCTACATACCCTGGAATACAGTTCGGTAAATTCTAATCCTCTCCTTCTTCGTTCTTCCTTCTACCCTAGTAATTGTTAATGAATAATCGATCGTTGGAAGCATCGACCAGTCGGGCACTTCGCATCGAGTAATCACCTTAACGTGACGGGTACAATGGACCGTCGAGCTCCTTGCCTCGAAGGCGGCACGGGTGCGGTTACGTTTATCAGCGGGATAGGAAGATTGTTTGTATTTCGAATTCCAGCGGGACGGAGCCATCGGCCACGCGTGGGTCTACTTTGCCGTCCTCGTTGGTGCTTACTTGATTTACCGATTGCGGAATTACATCAGAATAGTGATATTCGTATGGGGCTTGCGCGGACCACCGGCGGTGCCCCTCCTAGGAAATGCAAACGTCTTCTACGACAAGGACGGTACGTCCTCGGTTATGAAATAAACGATAATCTTCGATATGAAATCGATCGTTTGCCCTTAGTGCTCCATAAGATGTCTCACGAGATGCACAGAGACTACGGACGAGTACTCCGAGTATGGATGACTTGCTTCCCTTACGTTATACTGCACGAGCCAGACGACATCCAGATAGTCCTCGGTAATCCTAAGCATACCGAGAAGATCTATCTCTACAGACTGCTGGACAACTTTATCGGTAAAGGTTTGATCACCAGAGAAGCGCGTACTTGGAAGAGACATCGCAGGGTCTTGCAACCAGCTTTTCACCGGAACGTCTTGGAGGGATTCACGGAATCCTTTGGCCGTTCCGCCGCGAGACTGGCAAACAAGTTCCTTGACAGCCACGGAAAGGACGTGAACATTACGTCTTTCGTCAACGACACGGTTTACGACATCCTGAATGGTAAGGGGCACTGGGAAAAAAAAATTCATCAAACGACCGACTTCACGAAAACGGTGGAAATTCGGGGAGCGCTCTCGGGAGATGGGCTTTCCGTTGACGTCCTCGCGTTGGGTCGGCTTATCGCCTCGGGACTTTACCCGGGGAATCTCTTCCCTCGGTCACGAACTATTGATTCGAGGGTAATCGCTCGAGAGGCAGATACGACACGGCCGAATTCTCGGTGGATTGCTGGGAAGGCGGCGACGGGGCCACGCCACTCGTCGCCGGCCTCCTTCGAGAGCACTCCTCGTCCGCGCCGTTTTGTGCATCGGAAAAGGGTCGAGTGGAGAAAGCTTTGGCACTGGCGGAGAGACTCGTTAAAATTTTCGACAAGCCGTTGCCAGTAATGCGCGCTCATATGGCTGCGGACGAGAAAGTTATTACGGACGTCGAGTCCCACTTAGCGGACGCCCGACGTCTCCATCTCGTCCCCGAGCCTAGACCCCTGGGGTCTTCCTGCCGATCGTTCGAAAGGGGGATTTTTCTCAATTTTCCGTCACTTTCAGAGACGGTGCTGGGCCTGACGCGGGAGGGCCGCGAGAAGCAGAGGATAGATGACGCGGACCTACCCTTCAGGAAGTGAGTGGTCGAACCAGCCCGACTGGGCTGTTCCTCGTTAATGGGATTCCCCAGAGCATTTCCTCAGAGAACGTTGACGTGTCTCACAGGGGGCAAGTCTTCATGCCTTACCGCCTGATGCGTCCCTGGCTACTGATCGACTGGGTCTATCGTATGACGGACGTCGGGAAATCGGAGGAAAAACAGCGTGAGAACCTGTTCAGGGCGTGCAAAAGAATGATGGCGATTAAGCGGGAGGTGATGCGCAGCGGCGACGACTCAGAAAGACCCCGGGTATCGTTGGTTGGAAGGGAAACTTCCCTCCTGGAGTACATGGTCGAGATTAACGAGAAGGATCCGAATTTCACGGACGAGGATATCATTGACGAGTGCTGCACCTTCATGCTCGCCGGCCAAGAATCCGTGAGCACTGCCACGGCGTTGACGATGTTCCTTCTGGCCGGTAATCAGGACTGGCAGGAGAAGTGCGTCCAAGAGCTGGAGAAGATTTTCGGTCCCGATTCGAGGGCTCCGAGCATGAGGGACCTCACGGAAATGAGGTGTCTGGAGATGTGTATCAAGGAGACCCTCAGGTTGTACCCTAGTGTCCCGCTGTTTGCGAGGACTTTGGGCGAAGACGTCAAAATAGGTAAGAACATACCGAGTACCTAGTTTCCAAAGTGCTGACTGGATCTTTCATTACGTTCCCCGTGTTTCTTTTTTCCAGAAGATCACGTTATCCCAGCCGGCTGTGGAGTAATCATAATGCCGTACTGTACTCATCGTCTTCCGCACCATTACGACGATCCCCATGCCTTTGACCCTGGTCGCTTCGACGGGGCAAACTCGGAGAGAAGACATCCTTACGCTTATTTACCTTTCAGCGCAGGCCCCAGGAATTGCATAGGTACCGGACATAAATGACCTGGTCAATTCTTTTTTTCGAAGATATCCCAAGATGCCTAAGTGATTACAAAAATGATAAACGCTTTCAGGCTACAAATTCGCATTGTTGGAGATGAAAGCAATGATCAGTGCCGTACTTCGCACCTGGCAATTGGAGCCTGTTCCTGGGAAAAAGGAAGTACAACCCAAATTCAGATTGACTCTAAGAGCTACGGGTGGATTGTGGGTGAAAATGAAAAAGAGGACAGCTACCCAAAACATCCATCCTGTTTAGAGTCCCCGATCCGCGCGTGTAGGGTCCAGGCCCTGAGAAAGCCTCTATCAGAAAATATTATGATTTTCCAGTACACCGATCACCCAACCGTGTTAAAAAAAGAATTTGTATCCTATGTATCTCCCCAGAAAAAAAAAGAAATCCCGACAACGCTCGGCTCAATTTCAATGAAAGGACATTGTCCTTCTGGCTCATGAATAGGCAAATGCGGAAAAAAATCAGCGAAGCCGAGGCAGTCGAGAAGACCCGCCAAAAAAATCACGATCCCCTTGTACTCACCTCGGAAATCGCTTGAAAAGTCGACCAATCAGTTAGCGGGACTTCTAGTCCCGTTTTCGCTAAACGACTACATTGGAGTAAAACAAGTAGAGGAATAAACGGCAGTAGTCTAATCGGCCCTCATACAGTAGACAAGACCGATTCCAAAGTCATTCACCCTAAATCGTCGAAGCTGGTCGCGATCGTATAGTCATGATTCGCTAGAAGGCGTTAATCATGTACGAGTACTCTAGTTCTAAGTAACATCTACACGATAGGGAGGGATCGTCCTCCCTCGAGGGGACATTCGACATGGACCTAGGATAACGAATATTTATTAAATTATCTCGACATACCGCTGTACAGGCTGGCACGAATCGAGGGCGCGGGGAATCGAAAGCGCCGAAACTGTTTTTTTTTTTCTCACACGGGAGCGAAACAGTCGCGCAAATGTCCCGCTTGAGAACGGTTTAACGTCTTGGCATCCTCTCCGTTCCCGGAGGTTTCGCCATTATTTGCACACGAGGTGCCAATTGGTCCCGGGACCGTTTCGCGATTGGAACAACCATCGACCCGGTCGATTCAAATGGAAAATACCCCTCCCCGGCTTTTCGAGCCCTCGCACGGCTTCGTTTATAACTAGGATGTAACGATTGGCGACTCACACGCTAAATTGGCGCACGTGGAAGAATTGGGATAATTTACAAGGGGGGTGCATCATTTCGAACTATCGACTGAGAAGGTAATAAGGGGAGAATCTTAAATCCGAGGGACCGGTTCATCCTCTCGCGATTTTTTCGATCGTCGAGTAGTCCTGGATTCTAAACTCTACGAAAGAAAGGTGGAGCACCTACGCTACGCTGAATCCGCGTTCCCTTTTTCGGGGGAGATGACCTTACGGGGAATGGCCCTTGCCCCCCGCCCCAGGCGACGCGCCCGACGGCACTTCCGGAGACACGCGCGAGGTCTCCGAGTTCGGCGGCCGAGATGGACCCAACTCGCCCCCTTGGGGGCGAGGAGAGGATCCCGGAGTCGACTGCCTCGAAATCTCCCCCGACAGTCCCAATAAATATGGCAACGAGGAAAATCGAAATCCCCCTCCGGGGTGAGGCCGCTCCGTTTCGGGGGGATTCTATGTACAAGGTGAGGGATGCGAACCCCGGGAGTCGTGGGCTTTGATTTCAGCCCTGGTCCTCGGACGGAGCCGTCGGCGACGGGCGCGAGGGGTGTGCGTGGAATAAGATCTCGTATCACAAAGTAAAATGGTGTAAGGCGTCGGCGGACGACGCGAGGACGTCCGCCCGTTTCCCTGGACCGTGTCGACGCGAACCCGGTTCGGGCGGTCGGTCCGACTCGACTCCAGCGAATGTTGGCCCGACCGCGTGTGGTCGGTTTCTCGTTTCACCGAACTCCGATCACCCTCGGGGAGGGTCGCAGTCCCGGTCAGACGTAGACCTCGCCCCTCTTGCCGGCGCCGGCGCCGGAGCTCGGCGCGGCTCCGTTGGGGAGAGCCGGGCTGCTGTAGGAGCCGGTGCTGCTCTTTCTAGGTGCGACGTCCTTCGAGCCCGCCAATCTCAGGGGCTCCTTGCTGACACTGGCGGCCCTGTGCCTCACCTCCTGGAGCGGCCTCTCACGCCGGTCGATCGAGCCCGTCGACCCGAGTCCGGGCACGTCGGGTGCCACCGTCACCGAGGCGGCCCTGCCGCTCCTGTGCGGCAACCCCGGCGAGTGCGGCAGCGACATGCTGCGGTCCTCCTTGGGCAGGGGACCCGGTGGACACGGCAAGGAGGCGCTCCTTTTCCCCCGGGCGTTGAGCGCCTCCGCCCCGCGAGCGGTCAGCACGAAGCCCCCCAGCTTCTCCGAGTCGACCAGGACACGCGACCTGTCGTTGTAGCTGTCGAAGGCTGGGGAGCTACCTTGGCTCGAGCTGCCCACGGGGCTGGCGCGCTCCCCGATCAGGGGAGTGCCCGACGTCGCGGGGGTCGAGCGGCCGTCTCTACGGATCGCGCTCTCGCTGCGACTGCTTCCCCCCGAGCTCTCCTCCTCGCTCGTGTTGACCTCGGTCAGGGTCGCCTGGAGGCCGTGATCCTGGCCCGGCCGCGGCATCGGGGAGGAGGTCGTCGTCACGAGGCCCAGCTGCGTCAGCTGGCCGACAGTGACCGGGGTCAGGGTCATCGGGGCCACCAGCCCCGCGCCGGTCAGGGAAGGCGAGAGCACCGCCTGCGCCAGGGCGGCGGCGCTCGCCTTCCCACCGGCCGACGGCGTCCCCTCGGCCTCTTGGATCGGGGAGAGCACCACCTGGACGACCGTTCCGCAGGCCGGGATCTCCCCGGGGTAGTGGCCGGTCGTCGCCGGGATCACCCCGACCACTCCCGCTCCGATGCTCGCCGCGTTGCTGGCCGACAGGGCGAGCCGCTGCTCGCGGTCGGCCTCCTTCGTCACGTCGGGCGTCGGGATGCGGGGACGATTCTTAAGCGAGACCGGGATCGAGTTCAGCTTGGTCACGGTTCCTAAAAGAGACAGTTTCCGAGGGATTAGGGGACGTGCGTTCGGCGGCAGGGATCGCTTCGAGGGCGCGGCCCAACGACTTACCTTGGCGTCCCATCCGCTGGCTGCGGATGCTCTTCCGACCTATCAGCCTGTCGTAAAGGGACATCTTTACGTTCGGATTGTTGGTTTGGGGCAGTCCTCCGGTTTCCGGACTACTGTAAACGCTGTTGTGCCGATTCCTCGAGAAGAAGCCTCCTCCGCTGCTGTAGGTCGTCGAGGAGCTGCGAACGGACCCCATCCTGGTGATCTGCCGCTGCAGCCAGTTCTTCCGTCGCTCCACCAGGGGTGTGTCCACGCTCTCCTAAGATCGAATAGACCGGTGAAACGTGTCACTCCACTCGATCGGCCAATGATACGCAACGGTCGCCCACTCACATAATCGGCGTACATGTCGTCCTGATGAGTCTTCCGATGCTGGACATGGGGATGGATTTGAGAACTGACCATGACGTTGGCGTAAAGGGCGTCGCTTTCCTTGACTTTGTAATGTTCGGCCGAACCCTTTGGCTCCTCTCGCCTGTACTGTTCACTGGCGACCGTGTAGGGCAAGTCCTTCGGCACGACCTCGTCCCAGTACTGATCCTTCAGAAGCTCGGGGTGTTCCTCGTGCATCTCGTCGACTATCATGTAGCCAGCCTGAAAACGAGGAGTCGATCCTTTCGCTCGATCGGTCCGTTCCTTCCATCCGCCCCGAGGTCTAATTCCACCTACCTTGATGTGCCGATCGATCAGCCAATTGAGCTCGATGTCGTCGTCGTCCTCGCCGAAGGGGTTGATCAGCACTTCCGCTACTTTCAGCCAACCCACGTAGAAGCAAAACTGCGAGCAAATAAAGAAACCGTACCCGCGTAAATATCGGGAGTTCTTTTCCTATGCCTCGAAAATCGTTTCCCTCCCCTGTCCTATCCCAACTTTTCACGTTCTCGAATTAATCAGATATCGTATAAGGCATTCAAACCTGAAGCGCAGTGAAGAAGGGAAAGTACATGTCGGGCTCCTCGTACTTGCCGCTTCCGGTCTCGGACTTGTCGATAAACTGCCTTCCTAGGAGCGCCGAGAAGAAGTAGGCGTACAGAGACAGCGTCACGACCTGCAATCGAACCGATTAAATGCTTTCGGAGAAAATTCGCTCGAGCTCGAAACGCGGATCCTTCTCTCCCTTTCCCTGCCCCGAAGCGGCCCTCCTCGCGCGTGGTAAGCGTCGACGAGTTCCTCTCCCGTTCGAGTGGACTCGGATCGATTGCATCGCCGGGAGAGGGCGATTCGGTTTAATCGGTTTCCGGGAACGTTCCGGCGCGAGCCATTGTTGCACGCGCCCAGGAAATCGCGAATTGTCGCGGGACGCAACGGCGCCGCGATATCGCCGAGTCGCGCGACCGACGAGCTCTTTTCCCCTTTCGCCTTGGAGCCCGCCAGGTTACCAGCCGACCGTTTTCTCTTCCCTTTTCCATCTTCCTTCCCGAGAACGTCGGTACACAGGCACAACGCAAGAAATCGCGAATTTACGCGGGACGCAACGGCGCCGCGATATCGCCGAGTCGCGCGACCGCCGAGCTCTTATCCCCTTTCGTCTCGAATCCCGCCAGGTTACCAGCCGACCGTTTTCTCCTCCCTTTTCCATCTTCCTTCCCGAGAACGTCGGTAGATAGGTAGAACGCCAGAAATCGCGAATTGTCGCGGGACAAAACGGCGCCGCGATATCGCCGAGTCGCGCAATCGACGAACTCTTTTCCCCTTTCGCCTCGAAGCCCGCCAGGTTACCAGCCGACCGTTTTCTCTTCCCTTTTCCATCTTCTTTCCCGAGAACGTCGGTAGACAGGCAGAACGCAAGAAATCGCGAATTGTCGCGGGACATAACGGCGCCGCGATGTCGCCAAGTCGCGCGACCGCCGAGCTCTTTTCCCCTTTCGCCTCGAAGCCCGCCAGGTTACCAGCCGACCGTTTTCTCTTCCCTTTTCCATCTTCCTTCCCGAGAACGTCGGTACACAGGCAGAACGCAAGAAATCGCGAATTTACGCGGGACGCAACGGCGCCGCGATATCGCCAAGTCGCGCGACCGCCGAACTCTTTTCCCTTTCGCCTCGTTTTCTCTTCCCTTTTCCATCTTCCCTTCCCGAGAACGTCGGTACACAGGTAGAACGCAAGAAATCGCGAATTTACGCGGGACGCAACGGCGCCGCGATATCGCCGAGTCGCGCGACCGCCGAGCTCTTTTCCCCTTTCGCCTCGAAGGCCGCCACGTTATCAGCCGACCGTTTTCTCTTCCCTTTTCCATCTTCCTTCCCGAGAATGTCGGTAGACAGGCAGAACGCCCTGGGGGGACGACTTTTCGCGGGTTCGGGTCCCCCGAAAAGGCCACGAGACAGCAATACCATAACGTTCACCAAGGCTGCAACTCCGCCTTCGGCTACCAACCGGCGCCGAAGGCTACCAGGAAATGCGGCAGTCCGCGTTAAAGCCGGTCCGAGCATTACGCAATGCGAGCGTGTCCGGCCTCTGGACCACCGTCGTCGCCGTCGCCGTCGTCGGCCCTTCCGGAGAGACTCCCGGCAGCTTCCGTCGTGTCATTCGACGCCCATTGATTAGTTTATCAGGCCGATACCTCGTCGCGACTCGCGTCCGCAAACCCAAGGATCGTACTTTGAAACGAACGGGTATTCGAGCTGCCGGATGGAGGCCAAATACCGAGAGGCCGATAATTGCGATCGCCGCTTGTAACCCGTTCCGCGATCCGCGAATCGCAGAAATAGCTGCGGCGTCTCTATTTTGCAGGCCGCCGACGAGCGAGTCGAACGAGCGCATCGATACCGATCCGCACTGACTATTTATCGAATGTTAATCGCTGGTCGTCCTTGGGCGATATCGACCGCGATGCACACCCTCAGGCGACGCGTGATAGTCCTGCCGAGCGACGCGCCTCGTGTTAAGGGTTACACGAGTAACACCAGTAACGCCGCAACGTGACTTCCTGCACCGCCTACGTGTCCACGGATCATAAGGTGAAGTGAAACCCCTTTAAATCAGTCAATTTGAATACCACACTTTTTTTTAAGAGTATTCGACCAAACTGTCCGAAACTTTGACACACTTGATCATTTAAGAATTTTCCTGACACATTGAAAATTTGGATTTTTCAAAAAAATTTGTTTAACTCAGCCTAGACCAGAACCAAAATGGCGTCGAGCTCTCATATTTCGATCAATATACAATCATCGAAGGCTCTGATATGAGAATCGAAAAGGTCAGGACAATTTTACGACAATTTAGAACACTCTGGTAGTCGATAAACTCGCATTTGAACGGGATAAAGGCAAAAAAAGTGATGTATGCTCTTCTATGTCAAAACGATGGGAATACGAGATCTCGGAGTGAAAATTTAATTGACCTGGAAGTCACAGATGGCGCAGGGGGTCCCTCCGCAGTCAATTAGGGCCCCAGAAAGCACGAATCCAGAGGATTTCTGGAGTTTTACTTTGATTTCTTTATAATTATTCTACGAAAACGACAGGTGGAGTATGCCATTTGGTACAATACCCAATATAATTCGACACAGCTGTCAATATAAAAACCAACGTCGGCAGCGTAGGCATTTAGAAAAATCTTTTTTATCGACGTCGATCAAGTTCCTCGACGTATTTCACTTCACCTTAACGAGGCGCGGAAACCCTCTCTCGTAGTTTTCAAGCTTCGCGTTCCGGAGCCCGGCCGATCGAACGAGAGAGGCGGAAAAGGCTGAATTACGACAGGCAATTTTCTTTCCTCCGTCTACCCCGCGGTCGGTAATTTTCCTTCGTTGACGTTGCTCCCGGGAACTCCGGGCCGGCCGGTGATCGCAAGGATAACATTATCGGTGAGGAATCGCGCGAAATAAACGGCATACCCGCTACGCGGCAAGACTCGAGGTCGGCGGGATAGAAACGATATGGAAAGACCGGAAACGATTGAACCGCCGCGGAGAGGAACGATCGCCGTGAAGGCGCGAGTCCTTGTCTTTGGTACGTTCTCGCCGTCCCTGAGTTCTCGCGATATTGGTCGACGAAGGGTTGATCCGTTCGGAGCCGTCGACTAGGGGCGAAGGCAACGAAAGGGCGGAATCGCGCCTATCCCCGAGAAGGAAGAGGCAGATCGTCGGGCGTTCGACGAATGCCGTGGAGAGCACCGCGACGCAAGATATGCAAACGATGCCGCGCGCAAAGTGCCTCGTTCTTAACCGGCGTTACGCAACGGCTCGTTCCGGCATCGGACGTAAACGCGGCGTTAACGAGTCTTGTCAGAACGCGACGGAGATGTCGACGGAAAGAACGACTCCTGTCGGCGACGAGCGCCACCGGCCGAGGAGGCGTCCGCTCACCTGGGTGTAAACGAGGGGTACGCAGACGGTGTCGTAGCCGATGAGAGCGCCCAGCCGCTTCCGGATGTCGCTGAGCTCGACGAGGAGCGTCTGGACGACTTGGTCGCTGGTGATCAGGGCCTCCTTCCGGGCCCTGTTGATGATGTTGGTCGCCCAAACGAGCGGCATCCAGTACTTGGACATGGCCGCCTTCTTGTTCATCATCTCGAAGATCTTCTTCTCCGACTCCATCATGAGCCCTAGAAGAGAGGACAAAAGCAGACCGGTTAGGCGGATCGGACGCCCCTGGGGGCTCGGACGTCGTCCGAGGGAGGCCGCGCGTTCGGTCCAGGGCGGCGGGGCCCCGAGTTCGAAGACCTCGGCCTCGGGCAGAGGATCTCGGGGTCGTCGTTCGCGAGGATCCTTGCCCGCTCGGCAAGGTCGCCGCGAAAGTAAAAAATAAGCCAAGCTGCCCACCGGTCCGACCCACGGGGAGAACCAGTCTCCGGGCCGGTTCGGGGGACGCCGGCCCCTTCCCCGCGGACGGACGAACGGACGGCGGACTCGCGGCCGCGGCAAATTCCTCGCTTCCGTTCCCCGCGAGCGACCCGGACCCGCTCGAGGCGCGGTGGATGAGTATGTAGACGGCGTAGCCGCCACGCGCCGCGCCCCGGCGCTCCGGCGCCCCGCCGCCGGAGAAACCGCCCGATTGGGAAACGTGGCCGCGTAATTAGACGCGAGCGAGTTCAAATCGGTCCGCGCGGTCCCCGTGCCGAGCATCGAGAGTCCACCGCGGCCAGGCCGATTTCTCCGCGCAGACGAGAGCGAAAGCGTCCGGGGCCGCTTCGCCCCCGCGACGCTCGCCCCCTGCGGGCTCGCCTCGCGGCCGCGGCCTCGGGCAAGGCCGTTGCCGACGAAAAGGCGCGACCGACGCCCGGTAACGGACCTCGGCCTGACCCAGAATCCGAGGAGGCGAGGAGGCCCGCGATCGGCCTAACTGTTTCTCCAAGCCGGGTCGCGCGCCCAAGGCATGGAGCCTGGAAATAGCTCCTTGCCAAAGGCCGGCGATCGAGGAGAAACTACCTTACAGCGGTTTACCCTAAATATATCCCGGCCGGCGCCGAGGAGGAGGTGCCGATTGCCACCTGCCCCGCGAGACGGACCGCATCCCTCCACGCCCGCCCCGCCCCGGCTCTTCCCCCTTCCTTCGACGTTTCCACGGGCCTTCTCCGTCGGCTCCGACGGCGCGATCCCCCCCGAGGCGTCTTCCGGGTGTTCGCGGCGGAGGAATGCCGGCTGACGTCTGCTCGCGCAAAAGGACCGCGACGAGTCCGGGGAAAAGGACCAGAAAGGAGGAGGCTCTGGCGCCTGGCGCCTGGCGCCGCGGCGCCGGGGTTTCTATTTCTAACCGGTGGAAATTATCCAGCCGCGGAGGAAATTACCGTCCAGCCGACTCGCGGTCGCTCTCGACCCGATTTCCCGAGGAGATTGCCGCGAGGAGGCGGCCTTTCCGGACCGGAAGACCTCCTGGAAACGCTCGAATCGAGACGACGTCGACCGAGCCAGGGTCGCCGCTCGCTCTAAGCGACGCCTGGCGCCGATTACTCTCCGCCTTTCTTTTCGTTTTACCGAGCCACCTTTGTGGAAATCGACGGATACCCGGTGGAACGCGTTAACGGTGTCAAAATCGGGCGGTGAACAGCGGCCGCTCGGCGATCGGACCGCTCGTGGCGTGGTACGATGCACGATGGCGCAAGACCGAATCGGCAGTCGACATTGCATCCGGGTCTGTCGCAACCGCATTCCTCCTTGCCTCCCGACGCATATTTTCAAAATTCCCCTGGCTCTCCTCGAGGCGCGATCGCGGCTCCCGGCCTCCGTAATGGCAGTAAGTAAAGAGAATCCAAGAAAATCGACGATAACCGACCCTCCTATCTTTAAACCTCATTAAACGGTGCCTCGAAGATTTCTCAATTTTTACCTAGCGTTCATCCGCCCGCCTAAAGCCATCGTCCTCCTCCTCGGCCCAACCCGTCGTCGATCAATTTCAGGAGAAATATTAATATTAATCGCAAAATGGCGAGGTGCCTCGCGCTTCTCCGAAGAAGTTACGTCGCTCCCTCCGGATCGCGCTCGGACCCCCGCTATCAGGACGCCCGTGTTTTCCTGCCGAGCGACCGATCGAAAAGCCAACGTGCACTGGGAGGGGACTCCCTCCGAGGCCGCCCTCGTCGCTCGGCCCTCCGACTTTCGATAGACGAAGAAGGGAAGAGCGTTAACTCACTGACCCACGTCGACGATGTGCTGGAGCGTGGGGAATCGCCTCTTGACGCGCAGAGAGATCCTCTGCAGGGTGATTACGTACGCCAGGACGGCGTACCTGACGATGTTCCTCCTCATGAGCCGTCCCCTCTCGTCCTGGAAGAGTCAAAATATGAGAACCGCGTCCGGGGTTGATTCTGGACGCGCCGGCACCCTAGCCGCTACCGGACCCGTCCCGTCCACGAGTAGACTCGACACTCCATACCGCGTTGGCTCTCTTTTTCGTCTTCCGGCGCGACTCCCACCTCCCACGTCGGCCCCCCGAGGTCCCCTGAAAACCCCCGAACGCCGGAAAGTGCCGAAGAAATCGATCCACGTGGTCGAGAGGAACGCGGCGACTCGAAAAACCGAGTCGTCCGGACGGGGCACATTTTCATCGGACTTCCGGACGGATTCCGGACACGTTTCCGAGGAGACGGGGAAAGTCTCCGGATACATCTACTCGCATGGCCTCCGTGCATATCTTATGCGCGACTCGTTGGCCGAGCGATTCGTTTTCAAGCTAATCGCCCATTGAGCTCGCTCTGAAATTTCTCTCGGTACTCCCACGCGTCGTAACCGACTCGGCCGACGATTTTGTAACGAGCGAACGCCGTCCGGGAGTATTTTGACACGCGAGGAACGCCGAGGCATCGACGATCCTCTCAACGGACGAAGTGGGGCCGGCTCGCGGATTCCCAACTCTCCCGGGCGAGTCGAGATGCTAAGCTTGGGAGCGACGGCGGAGGGGAGCCGTCCTCGCTCCGGGGCCTGCATGTCAATAAGGTTTCAATGAAAGGAATGCCTCGATAACTCCGTCTTCCATTCACGAATCGGACGGCGCGTGCCGGCTCGACGAATCCCAGGTCGAGTCGCCCGACCCCTCGAGACCGAAGACCTCCGGTTGTTCCTCGCCCAACTTTCGCGCTACGGAGAAGAGAATCGCGGATAATCCCCTTGAGCGCCGTTCTCCTCGAGGCGTGGCGAACGAATAGACGGCACGAAACCCACTCGAGAGTAACGACATCGAAACGTGTCACGGCGACTCGACGCGCCCGGAACGCGTCCGGAAGGTGGGTGGCGAGGCCGCCCGATGCGTCTCGCCCCGTCCGAGCAAGCGTCGCTTACGTTTCCGGGGATGGCGGCGCTTATGAAGAGCGCCAAGTTGTCCGGCCAGGGCAGCAGCTTGTACTGCTCCCACCACCTCTTCACCACGAGGCTCACGTAGAAGCCCAGGACGAAGGACATGGGGATGGACTCGCTCGAGTTCCCAAAGTAGTACCGTATCCTCTCGAAGATCCTGCAAAGGACAGGAGTAGTAGACTCGTCGACGCGGCCAAGTTAGTTGTGGCGCGGACGCGAGGGACGCTAACGACGCGGCGTCGTGGTGCGGACGCGGCGTCGTGGTACGGACGCGAGTGACGCTACGACGCGGCGTCGTGGTGCGGTCGCAAGCAACGCGAGCGACGCTAACGACGCGGCGTCGTGGTGCGGACGCGAGGGACGCTAACGACGCGGCGTCGTGGTGCGGACGCGAGTGACGCTACGACGCGGCGTCGTGGTGCGGTCGCAAGCAACGCGAGCGACGCTAACGACGCGGCGTCGGCGGCAGGCGCGAGCGCGGCTCCGCCGAGCGATTGCCAAGTGGAGCAAGGTTGAGGTGATACCGTCACTCGGCGTTGGTTCTACCGGTTTAGCGCAGGTGCGAGGAGCTCGGGATCCCGGACCGACCGGGGAAACGAGGCGATCGGCTCGTCCTCCGATCCTCGGATTGCGTAAGGACGGGCCGATTACTCCGGCATTTGTCTCGAAGCGTCGCCGAAGGAGAGGGGAAAGAAGTCCGTCGCGTTAAAGCACGAGTTAACTCCTCGTAAACCTCGTTCCTCGGACGCGGCGGGATCTAACCACCGTTCCACCGGTCGCTCGAGAATACCGATTAACGAATGCGGAAAATGAGCGGAATATCCGCGGTAAATTGAAAATTAAGTATCCTGGACACGCTCTGGGAAGAGGAGCGTTCACCGCGACTGACTCCTTCCGTGGATCTGGCTCTCGTTCCGTGGAGAACGCACTCGCGATTCGCGGCGCCCTTTGTCCGCGAGTCCGGTATCGCGCGATTCCGCGTCGGCACGGGGAAGGCCGCGGGACCTCCGCGTCGGCCGATATACCCGGTGAGGTCCAATCGGACACTTTTCGAGCGCGAACTTCACGCTGAGCCTCCAGGCTCCGAATTTAACACGTTCCGTTCCACGTGTACTACTTGTGGTACACGCAGCATATACATAAAATGCGCTGAAAAGATACGTTTACGACAAATTTTATTCTGTAAAATATATTCTAAACAAAATATTCTACTCTACAAGATAACTGCGTATGGATTGATAATGTAATGAAATATTGTGTGATAATATATGAATCTTTAGTCGAAATATCAAATGGCCTGGACGACAAATCAGGCAAAAAGGGCTTGGCACGGAACGCGTTAAGCGGACAGAAATGGCTCAACCAATTCGGCACCTTTCTCTTCCTCCGAGTACCGCCAACCGAGCACTCACCTCTGTTGTTGTTCGTTGAGGGCGTATCGATAAGTTAGATTGATTAAATAGTACACGAAGAGGTAGGCCAGGAGCTCGCGCCAGATCAACTTGTAAACGGACCCTCGCCATCTGCAATCAAAACGAAGATACGGTGAAAATCGATCTCCCCGGGACCCTTTTCCGCACCCTTTCCCACACCCTTCCCAGGACCGCGAACGACGCGGTCGAGATTCTCCGCACTCGAGAACTCGGTTCGAACTCCGGCCGGAGCGAAATGCGCGGATTCCGGATCCCTCTTCCCTCTTTCGATCCTCTTCCGGGTCTCTTCCGGGTCTCTTCCGGAGGGGGAGGGAAACGCGATGCATCGGCAGGAGTAAAAACGCGACCGGATATCCGGAGCATCGAGAGAGTTAACTCCCGTGCGCGCGACACCGTGGCGGAACCGCGACTCGTCCGGGACGGAAAAACGCTCCTTGCGGTCCGGATGCCGGAAATCGACGTCGTCGGGGAATCGGTGCGGATCGGTGCGAACAGGACTCCGCGGACGTCGGGAAGGTCGAGGGGGTCGAGGAGGCGACGATCGGAGGCGATATCGAGAGGCGTGACGTCAGGCCGATGGAACTCGTCGACGCGCTTCCCGATGCGGAATCGCCGCCTCGACCTTCGGCGCGTCGGACACCTCGGCCCGTGCGGGAAACATTAATTTGCATGCTAGAATGAAAGAAGAAAAAACGCGGAACGTTTCTCCACCCTCCTGCGGGCCGGATTCCTTCCGCGAAGGGCTGGCCGCGAAAGACGCCCGGCTCGGCAGCGGTTTCCGGGCCCGGCAGCTGACGTCCGCGTTGTCGGCGACTCGGTGACGTCGGCGAGCTCGAGGTCGGGGAAAAGACCGACTCGAGCGAACGGCGAGCCGAGAACGCGCTACCGGCCAGATATGTCGAGCCAGTTTATGCAAGCGAACGTTACGCGGTAACCCCGGTCGGTAATTCAGCGGCGAGAGAACGCGCGCGTTTCCTTTTCAGGCCTTTCTCCGGCCTCTCGGCCGGCCGCGGTTAATTCGCCGTCTCCCTTTGGCGCTCCTCGCGATCGGGGAAATCGATCTCGGAGGCTCCAGGAAGGCCGACTTTGATTAGAGGATCGATATACCGGGAATTACGCGCCCGGTCGTAAGACCGAATGTCGCCCTCTCGATCGGGGAAATCGATCTCAGAAGCTCCAGGAAGGCCGACTTTGATTAGAGGATCGATATACCGGGAATTACGCGCCCGGTCGTAAGACCGAATGTCGCTACTCGATCGGGGAAATCGATCTCGGATGCTCCAGGAAGGCCGACTTCGACTCTACGAGCGATATATCGGGAATTCCGAACCCGGTCGTAAGACCGCATGTCGCCCTCTCGATCGGGGAAATCGATCTCGGAGGCTCCAGGAAGGCCGACTTTGACTCTACGAGCGATATATCCCGAATTCCGCGCCCGGTCGTAAGACCGAATGTCGCTACTCGATCAGGAAAATCGATCTCGGAGGCTCCAGAAAGTCCGACTTTGACTCTACGAGCGATATACCGCGAATTACGCGCCCGGTCGTAAGGCCGAATGTCGCCGTGGACTGAGTCATCAGCCGTCCGCTCGGAGTTCGCCTCGACGGCTCGGCGGAAAAGAACCAAACAACGACGCCTTCCGTCCGAATCTAAGATGTATTTCTCCGCCTCGGCGATCGGCGTCGTCGTCTCCGCAAGGAGAGACCCGGTAGATCGAGTGGTTTTTCTCTCTTTTCCGCTCGAACTGCGCTCGCGACTCCGCTCGTGACTCCTTTGCACCTGCACAAAGCGTATCCGGGATATTCGGTCGGTTATCATCGAGGTTACGTGACACTGGCGCATCGTCGACGCGGCCTCGCGGAAACGTACTCGTGGAGCTCGGGTTTGGCGAGAACGTTGCGACCGATCGTAACCGGGGATCTCGCGGTGGGGTCCATCCTAATCTTTCGAGCCGACGAAATAGTCCGCGAGAGAAACATTCGCGGTAACCCCGGGCAACGGAGGACGCCGAAATGACATTCGACTCGTTCCGATTTACACCTCTCGGACAGGAACGACCCGGTTCGTCATTCAAGCTCTCTTCGTTTCTCCGCGATCCCAGCGACGGACCTCTCCGAGCCGAGACCCTGAAACTAATTAATCGGGGGAACGGCGATCGGCGCTTAGACGAGCGTCGAACATACCGATGAGCCCGACCGACAGTGACACCGATTCCAGGAGCCTTGGCCACTTCGGCCGAGGGTACGCGTCATCGAAAACCGAGGGAACGAGCTCCTTTTTCGTCTGGCCCCTGGCCAAGGCGCCGAGGAACCGCGCTCGCTGAAGATCGCTCCCCTCGCGCCGACCCGAGCTTTCGGAAGCTTTTGATAGTCCCCTCGAAGACGCGACCTCGGAGGTCGATCCTCGATTTCCTGTCTATTCGACTCGGAGCGCGGTCGTACGCGGAACGAGCAGGCCGCGGCCGATCCGAAGGCCGGCCGACCGATCGACGAGGATCGGTATCGAGCGTCGATTGGTAGGTCGATTGGTAGGTCGATCACGTACTCCCGCAGCCAGTCGGCGTCGGAATCTCCGTCGGACCGAAACCGCGCGACCGTTCGACCGACCTCGAGGCGAGCCCGACCGGGGCGAAAAGGTTCGCCCCTCTGCCGGTCGCCTCGGAAGGGGCTGGATCAAGGCCGACGACGCGAGGGTCGTCCGCGGAGAGAGGGCCAGAGAAATCGAAAGGTCGCCGCGGGATTTCAGAAAAGAGCCCGGTCGGAATACTGATGCGCCGATCGGGAATGCGCGTTCCCTTCACCTCTCCGGTTGGCAACATCAAGGCAACCGATCGTAATCGATTCCTTCCCCGGACGGCGAGATAACACGCCTCGAAGAACAAGGTTGCGAGGCAAGGAAAGGTTGCATAACTAACGTCGGTCACGCTCCGCGGATCGAGGCGTTTCGCCGCGTCCTGCCCGGAGAATCGCGACTTTTTTCCCGTTTCCCCTCATCCTCTCGGGTCCTCTCGCGCGGTCGTCCCTTAGGTCCTTCATCGCCGGCCGGTCGAGGATCTCTTCCCCTCGAGGAGGCGATCCGGGGGGAAAGCGAGGACGAAGGCGAAAGCATCGGGATTCGACGAGCCAGGAAGCCCGAGCGCGACCGATCCTTTCACGGAAACGAGACGGGACTTTGGAATCGGGATTTCGTAAGACCTCCAGGAGCTTGACGTTTCTCGAGGCGGAGACCGAGAGTACCCCGGACGCCGGGGGAGAAAGTGCGAATTCGCCGACCGCCGGAGAAAGGAGGATGGCTCCTCCGTCCCACGGATTCGGATTTCTCGCGACGCGGGAAATCCCACCGTCCGGTCGCGAGAAGCGCCCGGACGGTTTCCCGGACCCCGAGAGACTCGTCCCGGTCGCTCCGGGTTGTCCGAGGGGAGGAACGGCGAGCGGCGGAGCGCTTTGGAAACGCTTTAAACCGGACGCACGTGTCCGGGTGGGCTTTCCAAACTGAGCGATGCCCTCCCCCGCAGGAGGCACCGTTCCCTGGTCGACCGAACTCGCGTTCCTCGTTCTCGCGTCGCGTCGACGTCGTCCACCGGGTGTCGCGTTTCCTTTGCGCAACGCCCGCGCCGAAGCAGCTCCCTCTCCGACGCTGGCGACTGGGCCGGAATTCTCGCCGGCGAGAGTCCTTTCCTCAAGGACCCTCCGCAGTCGGTTTCACGCCCGGCCGTCGAAAGTCCCCGCGCTTGCCCAACGAGAGGCTCGCCGGAGCCTCGGCTTCGGGTCGACCGGTCGCGCGGCCGCCATTTTGGACGACGCGCCTTCGGGAGGGTGCGGAGAGGAGTCCTCGCCCGTTGCCAAGGCCCCGACGGTCCTCTCTCGGGGGGCCGCGGCCACTCCGCGCGTTCCGGACCCGCCGGGACCGTTCCCGGAGGCCGCGCACGCGCGCGACGTAACCTACATTTCCCCGGCCGCGGAGGGAAGCGTAGCGAACTCACTTTACGAGGATCCTCCAGAAGCAGCCGAAGCTGGACCCGTTTGGCACCTCGCTGGCGTAGGAGACCGTCATGTCTCCGGACCCCTCCGGGTCCCGGCGCGGGGGAACCGGTCGCCCTACGCCCGAACTCGCGACTCCGCGACGCGCGGACCGACCATCGAAACTGACGCGGGACCGACCGACCAGCGACTGGCGGGTCCGGCGGCGCCGCCGCTCGGGCCGCTCCACCGGAGCCGCGGGACTGGCCGCCCCTCCCCTCGTCCCCCGCGGCCAGTCCCGCGCCGAAACGGGGCCCGGGCCCCCGCCGCCATCTTTCGGCCACGCCGCGAGGCTTCCGCTCTGGTTTTCTCGCTTTGGCAGACGATCAACTTTATTCGAAAGAAATCTCGTACGCTTGGGACTCATGACTTCGTCTTGACGCCCTTCTGCACGTTAAAGACGGCGTCCGCCGACGTTTGGAACAGCTTCTTCTCGTGCTCGGTGATGCGCATGCGGATCACCTTGGTTACGCCGTTTTCGCCGATGACGCAGGGTAGGGAGAGGAACGTCTCGTGGCAGACGTCGTGATGGCCCTGAAAGCGTTCGCTCGACGTCACGTTTCTCCTCACGTCGACCTAGGGCGAAGGGAGACTCACCTGGATCATGGTGGAGACCGTCTTGACGGCCTGGCTGTCGCGCAGGATCGCCCTGGTGATGTCGGCCACGCATACGGACACCGCGAAGCTGGAGGACCCCTTCAGGCACCTGACGGTGGCCCCTCTGAGACGAAAAAGGGGTGAGATTTACCGGGACGTGGCGAGACGGGATTCCACGACAAACCTACGCTCTGATCACGTCCTTGTGGATCTCGTTCCACTTCTCCTCGTCGGTCTCCAGGCCGATGTTCGGCAATATGTCCCGGAACTGGATCCCGGCGACGTTCACCCCCGACCAGACCGGGACTGAGCAGGGGGAATCCCCCGTCCGTTAGTGTCCCCGATCGACTTCCCCGCGACCGACCGGGCCTTACCCTGGGAGTCGCCGTGTTCGCCGATGACGTAGCCGTGCACGGCGCTGGGCGCCACGCAGAGTCTCTCCGCGATCAGGAACCGAAACCTGGCCGTGTCCAGGTGGGTCCCGCTCCCGATGACCCTGTTCACCGGAAGCCCGCTCACCTTCCAGGTGACCCATGAGAGGATGTCCACTTAAACAAAGGTGCGCTGATAGAGAGGAGGCAGGGGGAGGAAATGGGAGAAGCGAGGCTCACCGGGGTTGGAGACGATTACGAAGACCGCGTTGGGGCTGTACTCCACCAGCGGGGGGACGATGTTCTTGACGATGTCCACGTTCAGGCGGACCAGATCCATTCGGGATTGGCCCCTCTTCTGACGGGCACCCGAGGCTACGATCACGACCCTGGAGTTGCTCGAGACGCAGAAATCTGCGGACAGGGCGACTCGTCGTCGGTCCTCGGGCGACCGACTCTCGGTAAGGCTCTCTCCCTCGGCTTACCGGTGTCGTACTCTATGCGCGGGTCCCGCAGCAGCATCGCCGCGTGGGAGCAGTCCATCCCCTCGCCTTCCAGCTTCTTCGGGAACGCGTCGACCATCGCCACGTGGCTCGCGATGTTCTGGGGGAGACGTAATCATTGGGAGCTCTTTGGTAACCCTAGGCGGGGTTACCGATCGCGCCAGACTTCCGCGGGTTCCGATCGTCTCCGTCAGGCGAGCGATTCGCTGCGATCGAACGCGGTACCTGGAGGAGGATCGAGCTGACGCAGGCCGCCCCCACCTGGCCCGCTCCCACCACGGTCACCTTCCCTCTGCCGTCTCGGACGGGATCGGACACCTTGCAGAAGAGCTCGTCCCTGAGGCACCCCGGCCGCGACCTGGAAACCACGTGTCCTTTCAGTCTGCCGAAGCCGCTCTTCCCGGAGGAGGGGTACTTACGCGGACGAGGAGGACTCCCTGGGGCGCGCGGACTCCGCCGAACTCCGGAGGGCTTCTCTCAGGGCCGAGGGCGGGAGCGCGCTCCGATGTCGGCGTCTGGGCACGAGGTACCTCCAGGGGCTCCGGCCCGTGAGTTTCAAGACCATCTTGCCGGGATCTGGCCTCCTTTTGTGCGCATCCCTCGCGCTTCCGCGCGCTAGCTCGCGCAGCCGCCGATACCGACTACCCTCGAGGGCCTGGAGTAAAGACCCGGTCGGGACGACGGAAACTCTTCAGGGACTTTTTGCGAACGAAAGCCACGGGAGCCCTTTTGATATCCGACCTGGCGCGGCTACCAATTGTCAAACGATCTCGTGGTTACCGATGCACTCGGTGGCTCGGGTCTTTCGGATCGCGCAACCGATACAAGAGGTACCTCTTTTTGCAACACTTTATTTAACACGACGTACTCAAATCGGGCACGACGTCGCAAGAACCTTTACAGCCTTCATACACACGGGTATACATCGGGACGAGTACGAGAAGAATGGCATCGAGCCAGCAAGGGAAGGTTTCAAAGGACAACCCCTAAAAAAGGTAAACGTGGCAGCAAGACCAACCCCGTTCCTTTGTCCCTGCCGTCCTCGCCTCACCCAGAGGATGATTACCGTTGGTACTCGCATTCGATTAACTTACTTTACGGTAACGCTTGAATTATTTTGGTTTTGGGAATACTGTCAAACGCTATATAAATGCGAGCGAACGCCCGTAATACCGGCAGCGAGTAAATAACTCAAAAAACCCGCCCACGTTAATATCCTTTCTTTTTTACGTTCTCTCTTGAAATACGTGGAAAAATAGAAAATGGACTCAGTCCCGGAAGGTGTAGAAAAATAGAGAGACCGCCGGATGAAGGAGATCAAAGTTTGCGGAGGTACATGCATACATACCCTAGCTTCCTCGTGTATATGGCACTGCCAGGTGGTGGGGTCAACCCGCTAGTACTCGACCCCACCACCTGGCGGCGCCATATACACGAGGAAGCCATTCATGACCGCCAGGATACCAAGTGCGGTGGACGACATCGAGTCACACAAAACACTGGACGAACGTTACGACTGGCACGAATACTACCTCCACTTTTCTTAACCGCTTTCCATTTAACAATAAGTCTTAGAACTTTAGGCCCGCTTGCACCTCGTCCATGGTTCGAGCGGATTTATGCAAAAGTCCCTTTTCCTCGTCGGTTAGTTTCTGCTGTACCACGTAGGTGACCCCGTCCTGACCAAGGGTACAGGGTAACGACAGGAACACTTCGTTGGAAATACCGTGCAGATCCTGAAAATTTAATAGATAAGATTTCACGCGAGACGTCAAGAGACCCGCGAAAATGCTCGGAGTTTAAAGTTTCCCCGTACACATCAGCAAGGAACGACGTTCGTGGGGACGATCGCATGGGAAGGAAGAAAGAAAATCATCCTCAGGACGCACGTACCTTGACCATAGTGGAGACGGCGTGGACCTGGTTAGAGTTCCTCAAAATAGCCGAAGCAAGATTCGAGACACTGAGACCTATTGCCCAGGACGTGTATCCCTTTAGCTTGATCACCTCGTAGGCGCTCTGCACGACCTGCTCGTGAAGCTCGTTCCAAGACTCTTTGTCGTTCTCGGTTCCGACGTCCTTGTCCAAATCGCGCAGCCGCACTCCAGCGACGTTCACTCCGGACCAGACTGGCACTGAAAAAAAAAAGAGATGGTTTAACTCAACTACTCGTGCGTACGGCGTCAAAAGGTGAGAAAACGGAGCACCGCGAAATCCTCAAGGGATCCTCGACCGTACCGCTCGTGTCGCCGTGTTCCCCGATGATCCACCCGTGACAGGACGTCGGTGCCACGCCGAGTCTCTGCGACAGCAGGAAGCGGAACCGCGCGGAATCCAAATTGGTCCCGCTACCGATCACTCGATTCTTCGGCAAGCCGGACAGTTTCCAGGCGACGTAGGTAAGGATGTCAACAGGATTCGAGACGATCAGGAGGATCGTATTCGGGCTGTGCTTTACGAGCTGGGGGATGATGCCCTTGAAGATGTCGGTGTTCCTCTGGACGAGGTCCAGCCGAGTCTCCCCCTCTCTCTGTCGCGCCCCCGCGGTCACGATGCAGATGCTGGAACCGGCCGTAATGGCGTAATCGGTGCTGGCGTTGATCCGGGCATTCTTCAGGAATGCACTGCCGTGCTGCAGGTCCATCATCTCGCCCTTCAGCTTGTCCTCCACGACGTCCACCAAAGCAACGTCGCTGGAGACATTCTGAGACCGACGAACATATGAGAAGTCGTTAATAGACGAGTAAAGACATGACCGACGATTTTCAATGTTCCTCGGAGCTTACCTTCGTTAATATTCCAAACGCGCAGGCCATGCCGACCTGGCCCACCCCGACGACGGTTATCTTATTCCTGCCGTTAGGGACGGGATCCGTCACGGTCTTCAACAGTTGCTCCTTCACGGAAGTCATCCTTAATGGCCGGAGTCAACGATCTTCCGATAACTGAAAAAGCAAACCGACGTTATTACCCTCGATCGACCTTCGCCCGAAAGTTTTTAATACCACGGGCTCTCGCGAGCTCCCACGTGGGGATGGAGACGTTTATTTATATCGGCGGGAACGTCCTCCCGGAGACTCTCTCCGAATTCGTTCCCTCCGGGCGATCGACGCGATTCGCCTCGTGGAACCTCCCGACAGACATCGAGGGGACGCCGAGTCCCGGCCAGCCGCGGCAGATGTCGCCACCGTGCCGGCTCGAGGAGCGCGTGTCCTCCACCGGCGCGCCCTGCGATGTCTCTCCCCGATCGACCTCGATCGACCTCGATCAACCGCGATTAAGGGGATGTGAAAGTGGCATCCGAAAACTCAATCGTTCATAAAACTTTTCTACGAACAGGGTGTCTCAAATCGTTTCATACTTTAAAACGTGAATACGGAGACCCTAATGTAGGTTCTGAAACTCGGGAAATTTCATTTCTTTATAAACTATTTTTAAAATACCTATAAAGAAATTTGAAAAGAATTGAAATTTCATGAGTTTCGGGACCTTCCTTATAGTCCCCCTATTCACGTTGCAAAGTTCCGAACTATTCGGTAAACCGAGATGGAAGAAAAGTTTTATAAACATAACCTCTTCGACGCCACTTTCACATCACCTTAACGTACTCGGCTTCCTCGAATCTCGGCCAGTACACGACTGGCCTAAGAAATGCGAAAACGCGATTTTACGCCCGCGACGAGTCGGTCATAGGAGACGAGAGGAAACGAATATCTCACTCCGGCACCAGACTCGAATCGTTAGATCCGGAAAAAGCAAGGACGTCGGAAGGGCACGAGGACGAGACGCGGTAACACTCACTCTATGCAGGACTTCCGGGAATCCGCGAACCTTCTTAGCCTCCCGCTGGGTCCGTCGCGTTTGACAGCTCAAAGGCGTATGATTCCGAAGGTGACCTTGCTCGCCCCTTTTATAGAGCCGGCGCGGCCTGGAGAGCCGGTAGTCCTCCCTCCCCGAGGAGGATTCGTCGGCCCACCGGCCGCGAATCCACGACCGAGGAGTCGAATTCGTCACCGTCGAGGCGAGTTGCACGACTCCTGCGGTCGGGCCATCGATCCGGTTCTCCTGGAGCCGGCCAATCGCGGCCCGTCCTTGCGCCGTCCTCGCGGACGGGTGACTCCAGGGCGCCGACCATCGGCGCTGACGCCAAGGGTCTACGCGAGTCGGTTCCTCCAGGAAGTAGGGGCCTATCGATTAGGAAATCGTTTTGCCACTTCTTCTCGGAACGAGGGAAATCGGTAAAGGCCGCAGTCGTAACCCGCGTTTACTCGACCTCCGAGCGATTCCGCTTGCGTTCCGCTCGTCGACGAGGACTGCGACTACGGGAATTTAATCGGTCGACGGTTCGTCACCGACGGTACCTCTCGACGCAACGCGTTTATCGCCAAACGGAGATCGCAATCGCGGAATTCGGAGAAGTTGCGTCAGCCCGAGCGTTCGCGTCGCTCGGGCTTATGCAACCGCCCGGTGCAATTAACTAAACCACCTTTGAAATCGAGGACTCCCGACTTCCTGGAGGAGGTGAGATGTCGCCCCCGCCACCGAGACGTGACCGGCCACACGCGCGGAAGCGATTCCGCGAGACGCGCCGCTCGTCACGTCTCCCTGCAAGAGGGGTCCTGCTCCACCCTGGGATTCTTACCCCCGCGCGAGTCCGACCGAGTCTAAATACCTCAGCGGCTATTTTTGCACGAGTCGTTCGATTCATCGCACGGACGATTCCCTAGTAGCATAGAATAATTTCTAAATATTTCTTCCTAATCTATGCTAAATATCTCAAGCGACAGATCTTTTAAGATTTCCTTGTAGACTTCATTTGAAGTATTTCTTGAAATTCACAATGACATATTTAGTTTCAATAATTTATAAACATGGAGAAATTATATTTTCTAACTCGTGAACATAAGAAAAGTACATTTTTTACTTCACGACTATTATCGGACATTTCATTATGGGAGCAAAACGTGTGATATTGATTTTAAATATTTTTAAAACGGTTATAATGTATTCGGGAGATAATGTGTAAAAAATACTTGTATTAAAATGAAACGAAATGTTTTCTATATCTGGTGGAAAAATATTATGAAAACACATGGAGCTAATATTATATAGAGATAATATTCTGAAGTAGACGTTTTGCAAATATTTCAAATGTCTGGTCAATATTTACAAAGTGTACGATATTCGTTAAATACATAGAAAATATAGGACAAATATTTTGTGCTACTAGGATTATTTACGGGAGCCGCGAAGGGAACCCTCTAATTCCCCTGGTGGTTGTTAAGTTATTGGTTATGGCTCCAGAGTCTTCATCGCGCAGACTCTATTAATGCTGGCTTATTTACCGACGGGACTATTTCCAATATGAAGAATGCAACGGATGGGCGATATACGCCTTCTGCTAGGTTATAAATGTCTTTTATCACGTATGTAAACACGGAAATATTTTAAGAAAGAATGTATTATTTTGCCACTTGTATTCAAAATTCTTTAGAATTTCACGTTTCCAATGTGGCGGATGCCGTAGATGCATGATATATGTATCCGCTAGGTTAATGAACGTCTTTTAGCACACATGTAAACCTGTAAAAATTGTTAAGAAATCATTAACTCGGCCTCTGTGTTCATAATTCTTTCGATTTAACCCTGTTTAATGTCAAATTTCTCCCCAGAGCTATTTTATATTTAGAAACAAAAGGGCGTAATATACTAAAATTAGGGACGTATTATCCGTTATAATATACGCATAGGAAACCACGTATATTACATGACGTATTATACCTACCCAACCCTGTGTGTACAGCCCTTACGACATACCCAGCTGGGAGCGATTCCTTAACGTTTATCGATACGATTCAGAGATGGCGCAACGAGTACTTGTCACAGGTGTCCGTGAGTAATCGGTTTAAACGAGAGATGGCTCTTCGTCCTTCGTCCCGGCGTTGAAACGGCTCGTCTGGTACCTCGATCATCCGCAGCAAAAGTGGCGCTCGTGTCGCAGAAGAAATTTCATAGCTGTGCCCGCGTCCCCAAACGGAGGCTGCTTCGATTTTTTTCCCTGTTCCGGGTAAACGGAGATAATCGCCCGTGTAGCTATCCTCCGCTAAAATATTAGGAAAAGAGAGCTCGCGTCATCGAACGCGGCCAAGAGACAGAGAGAGAGAAAAGGAGAACTTCGTTCTCGGTGGTTTACGAGTAAAGCGGCTTCCGTGATTAAGCGATTTTAATTAATCGTTTCTTCCCGGCAATCGAAGAGACCCGAGTCCACCCGGAATACCGCTCGCCTCCTATCGCGAACGAAATACGTTCCGCGACGATCCGACGATTCGAACGGAGGGAATGGACGAAATCGAGCGAATCGATAAATCCCGGCTAGATCGCGCGTCGCGATCGTTTGCGGCTCGCGCCTCCCCCGAGGAAACGGGACGCGTCGTTCGTTTATGTATACGAGAGCGCGTCCCTCTCGCGCGCACCGGCCACTCCGTGTACGGTCGGAGGGGATCGAGGGGACGCGGTCGATCGGCGCGAGCGAGATTCCAGATTGCCGGCGATTATGCCCGATTCGAGATTTACGGGGCTGTTTGGCGCGGCCGGGACTTATTTATAGGCCGGAATCACTCCGGCCGGACTGTCGGGTCGCGGTATTCGGCGTTTCGAGGCCGAGGCGAGCGACGAGCCGGTATTTATGCGCGCCTCCGAGAGAGGGAGAGACCGCCTTTCAGCCGGCCGACGAGCCGCCTTTGTCGCCGCCGTGTCGCCCCTCTTAGCCCTTTACTCCCGACCGCGGCTCCATCGAGGACCCGAGGCCGGAGAAGGAAACGCGCGGGGCTCTCTAAATCGAGGAGAGGAGAGGGGAAGAATTCGGAAGCGGTAGATTAGCGGATATCTTAAGGTGAAGTGAAACACGTCGAGGAACTTGGTCAACGTCGATAAAGACGATTATTCTAAATGCCTACGTTGCCGACGTTCGTTTTTATATTGACGGCTGTGTCGAATTATATTGGATATTGTACCAAATGGCGTACACCATATATCGTTTCCGTACAATAATTATAAAGAAATCAAAGCAAAACTCCAGAAATCCTCTGGATTCATGCTTTCTGGGGCCCTAATTGACTGCAGAGGGACCCCCTGCGCCATCTGTAATTTCCAGGGAAATTAAATTTTCACTCCGAGACCTCGTATTACCATCGTTTTAGCAAAGAAGCGCATACAACACTTTTTTTGCCTATATCCCGTTAAAATACGAGTTTATCGATTACCACAGTGTTCTAAATTGTCGTAAAATTGTCCTGACCCTTTCGATTCTCATATCAGAGCCTTCGATGATTCTATATTGATCGAAATATGAGAGCTTGACGCCATTTTGATTCTCGTCTAGGCTGTTAAACAATTTTTTTGAAAAATCCAAATTTTCAATGTGTCAAGACAATTCTTAGATGATCAGGAGTGATGTGTCAAAGTTTCAGACAGTTTGGTCTAATACCTTTAAAAAAAAAGTGTTGTACTCAAATCGACTGATTTGAAGGGTGTTTCACTTCACCTTAATTACCGATTGAGAAGTAAATCGAGCCGGGCAGGTGGGTGGATGCGGAACCACGATCTTATGCCGTCTCGCCCCGGGACGAGCCTTTGACCAAAGTCGACGACGAAATGACCAAGATATCAACGAGGTCGATCGGTTTCCCGAACTCAAGGTTTATTTCCGTTTGGCGAGGTTCGCGGTCACTCCAGCTGGTCCATTATCGGCTTCTGCGCCTCGTAGATCGCCCTGCAGGACGCGGTCGTCAGGTCCTGCTCCTCAGGTGTGTAGAGGTGGCGAACGTAGGACTGGACGCCGTTCCTCCCCACGACGCAGGGCAACGACGCGAACACGTCCTTTTCCAATCCGTGACGACAACCCTAAAAATCGCTGGTGGATTCGTCGAGTCTCTCGTGGCCGGGCTTCCTTTCCTCACCTTGACGAAGGTGGACACCGTCAGGCAAACGCGAGTATTCCGGATGACCGCGTCGACGATCTCCCCGATGCAGATCCCGATTCCCCAGGGACAGTGACCCTTCCTCCGGGTCAGCTCGTCGTTGCTGCGGACGACCCTGGAGTGGAGCTCTCCCCAGGCCTCGGGGTCCGACCTGGAGCCGATCTCTCCGTTGACGTCCCGCAGCTTCGTTCCTGCCACCGTCACGGCGGACCATACCGGCACTACGGACAGAGGGGGTCGTCAGGGCGGAGGCGCCGGAGCACCGGAACTTCGATCAAGAGTTACCGGAAGTGGGTCCGTTCTCTCCGATCACGAAGGCCTGGACGGAGCTCGCGGAGATGCCCAGCTTCTCGGCGATGAACCACTGAAACCGGCAACTGTCCAGGAAGGTCCCGACGCCGATCACGCGGTTCGGGGGGAACCCCGACAGCTTCATGGCCGCGTACGACAGGATGTCCACTGAACAACGTTCCACTTAGTCGTTAGCGTCCTGCGGGATGGGACGGGACGGAGATCCTACCGGGGGTGGTGGCGATCACCAGGACGCTGTTCGGGGCGAACTTGCAGACGCTCGGGATCGCCGTCCTCAGAACGGCCAGATTCCCGTCGAGGAGGGTCCTGGGATCTTCATCGGCGGCTGGACGTCTTCCGCACGCGATCACGCACACGGCAGCCTCCCGGGCGGCGGAGAAGTCTGCGGGATTCGTCGAGCTCGCTTTCATTCCGTATCCGGGACTCGGTTCGAGAGAACCTGCGGAGGAGCTCAAGGGAGGTCTTACCTTTCGTGCCGACGATGGCAGGATTGCCCAGGAAGCCCGCGGCGTGACCGAGGTCCTCGGCCTGCGCCCCTGCAAGGTCCCCGTTCGCGTCCAGGAGCACCAACTCGGAGGCGAGGCGCTGATTGAGAATACGACCGGGCGACGATTAACGGATCGTCGAGATCGCTCGTCCCCCACCGACGCCTCTCCGACGCCTCTCCGACGCCCGAACCGTTCGACGGTTTCTTTCGCTTCGTTACACCCAATCGTTCTACTTTACGGTTCCCGGAGAAGGTGTTTCCATTTGCACTAGTTTTTTAACCACGACGTTCGACGGATGGGGAACATCGAAGAATCTCGCCGCCTCCGGTGACACGACGACCTCGTCGACATCCGTGATCGGGGTGCCACCCGTCGGATCTGACGGACGTCCGGCAAACGCAGGCGTCGACCTTAACGAATCTGCTCTTGAACTCTCTCTCCAGATGCGCCGACGAGAACGGCGGATCGTAGTCTCGAGGAAGACCCGGCCCCTTCGCGGAGCGGCAGCCGCTCGGGGCGGGAAGGTCGACTCCAGGAGGGAGACTCCCGAGACGAGGAGGGCGGGACCACACTCTCCAACGCAAAAGCGGGAACAAGGACCTCGTGTTCCAGGGAACCCCGAAAGGGCCACATCCCCTTGACCAGGGGAAGCGAGGACCCCCCCAGGGGGCGAGACCCGGGGTCGGAATCCTCGGCCCGAAGATTCCCGGGACCGGGCCGCAACGCTGCACCGGGCGACGCTCGTAAAGGGACAGGCGTCCTCTCAGAAACGGACACTGGCCTTTCCTCGCGAGGTAGCGTAGGAGATTCGGTCCCGGGTGGACCGGCGGGCCCTCGAAGGGGGACGGCAGTCGACGGTCGACGGTCGAGCCGGGGCACTCGCCCAGGGCGCTCCCGAGGGGCGACTCGTACCTGGCGACGATTCGGTTGATCCTCTCCGAGAGGGAAGGCCGCGGGACCGGGAGGCAGGCGCGGAACTCGCACATTTCACGGGGGCATTTCGCTCGACGCCGAAGCTTCTCGCTGGGAATTTTCCACCAGGACTAACCTAAAAGGGGATTTCGGACGGCAAGGTCGGGAGGACCCGCCCGGCCTCCGCGCCGAGACTCGCCCGTCCTCTTCCCTCGTTTCATTTGTCGGGAACTCGTTTCCGCGTGGTCTCCGCGGTACCTGGATTCGATCGATCGATTCCCTCGAGAGCAGCTTGCCCGCGTCGAGGCCGGCTTCCGTCCGGTCGGGCCCCGAAATTGGGCCCGCTCCCGTGGAAGGAATCGTCCGGTGTCGACTTACTGGGGCGCGCCTCATTTTCGGCAATTCCTCGCGTCCGTTGGTCGGTCGGGGTGCGGAGAGGCGAGGCGGATTTCGACGAGGCTCTCAAGCGTTTCCCTATCTCGAGCCGATGGGTCTCCGGTCGACTCGGTACCCTCTCCGGGGGTATCGGTATTCGGAGTGCACTGTTCCGGGGAGGTCTAGGTCGCCGGCCGATCACCGGCCGAAAAGAGATTACCTTGAAGAGGATCGCGATCGCCGCCGATACGCCGACGCATCCGCTGCCGACTATGACGATTTTGACGCGTTGGCCACCCTCGAGAAAATCCGCGGGTTTGGTCATTAGATAAGCCGCCGTGTTGGCCCGGGTGCTCCGGGGGGATCTCGACTCGGCCATTTCGCGAAAAGGCTCCCCCGATGGGCACCGACCGCGATTCCCGGCTCGGGAGGAGGACTCTCCGATTTTGGACCGCGGAATTTCCTTTTTAACCCCCGCGGGCGGACCGAAAAGTTGAACGAATCGCTTTGAAGTCGCGCGACTTCTCGCGACGTTCCGAGGTAGCGGCGTTGCTTTGCCGGTTAATCGACTCGATGTCGACGAAGCTGCCTCGGGACTTTCGAATCTCGCGGGGGAAAGTCAGAACTCTGCCTCCTCCTGGACGTCTTGGAAGATCCCGGACTCCCTGAGCACTCCTCGAATGTTGTCCGCGCAAGTCTGCACCGCGGATTTCTCCGAGTCGGTTAACTTTTGACGCAGAGTGCAGTGGACTCCTTCCCGGCAGACGACGCAGGGAACGGACATGAACACGTCCTTGTCGGTCCCGTGGGAACAGCTCTGGAAAGAGACGAGAGGTCGACCCGGTCCTCGGAGAGACTCCTGGAACATTGCTTACGTGAACGTAGGTGGCCACGGGGAGAACGACTTTGGTGTTCCTGACGACGGCGTCGACGATCTCGGCCGCGCAGAATCCCAGGGCCCAGCAGCTGGGTCCCCGGTCGCCCATCCTCTCGTCCAGCCTGGCCTTCCTGAAAAGACGGGCAAGGGTGAGGACGGGGATCGATCGGGACCGGTCTCGGAGAAATTCGGTCCACTTGCGTCTCGGCCACTTCCTTGGCGACGTCCTGCCACCCCTCAGGGTCGTCGTCCTCGCCCATCTTGGGGTTGACGTCTCGCAGCCTCGTCCCTGCCACGTGGAGCCCCGACCACACCGGCACTGTCGGGGACGTTCCAAGCGGTTCATCGGGGAGAGTTTACCGGGTAAAAAGGGGGCGAGACGCACCGGAATTGACGCCCTGGGCCCCGATGCTCGTGCAGTGGACGGCGGAGGGGGCGAGCCCCAGCCTCCGGCCTACGAGGCTCTGGAATCGCACGCTGTCTACCAGGGTGCCGACGCCGAGGACGCGGTTGCGACACAGCTTGGAGAATTTCCAGGCGATGTAGCTCATGACCTCGACCGGCGGGGTCGCGATCACCAGGACGGCCCGGCAGGCGAACTTGACGATCCCGGGGACGATCGTCCTGAAGATCTCGAGGTTCTTCGCGACGTCCGGCTTCTCGCCAGGACGGGGCTCGTTCACGGAGACGACCACCACGGTCGAGTCCTTCACCGAGCTTATGTCTGGAGAAGATGCGTGGAGCGACGGAAGTCGAGAGGGGCTTCGGCCTCGCCTCGCCGTAACTCGGAGGGTATCTCGCGCCCCTGACGCGTACACGTCGGCGATCCGGCGCCCGATAAATAAATACGCGAGATTTACGGCGGCGATCCCTCGGGGGAAGTCGGGCCCCGTGCAGGAACGCGTTCCTGCCCGGGACGAGATGGGACCCCGAGATACAAGAATCGGAGAATTCGACGGAGAGCCACCGTCCCCGGGGCCTGACGAGGAGGCGAGACGACGGCTGATCCTTTAAACGCGCCGATCCCCCCGGAGATTCCCCGGGAAAAGACTCCCCCGCGAACTCGACGAGATGTCTTTCCAGAGGAGGGGGCCCGGAGTGCCCGAAAGTACCCGAGAATACCTGACCCGCCGACGACCAGCGGACAGCCCAGGAAGACGCCCGCGTGCTGGATGTCCTCGGCCTCGGCCCGGGCTCTCTCCTTGTCCTTGTCCACGAGGCACACCTCGCTGGCCGTCCTCTGAAACGAGGGACGAAGGAGCGAGGGGTTCCCTAGGAGGTACTCGGTGGAGGGACGTACTCGCATGAGAATCGCGATGGCGCAGGCCATGCCGACGTTGCTGACGCCGACGACGCTGACCTTAACTCGGTGGGGGTAGGACTCGCAAGGGCCGAGCTGGGTGGTTATCAGGGCGTTCCTGGTCGTCGTCGTCGTGACGGGGATCTTCTCCGCCTGAAAGGGTGAATCGGTCAGTCGAAACCCGAGCGATTGGAGTGGTACTCACGTCTTCGCAGTCGTCGTCGTCTAGAGGGCCGGCCCCGGGCTCGTCCCTGGCCGCGTCCTGCATGACCGGTCCTTCTTCGGGAACCCAAGGGGTTTCGGCTCCGTATCTGCGAACCTGGAAGGTCGGAAGCGAGAGTCGGACCTTCGATCCACAGCGAAGGAGAGAGAGAGAAAGAGAGAGAGGGATTCGCGACTTTCGGCGCGGGAGAGCGTGAAATGATCGCCGTCTCGGGTTTCGCCAGGGTGTGACGGCGAGTTCGTTCGGACAAGAGCGGATCGAGAACCCCGACGACCGTCGAGTTCGCTACGCGTTCTCCTTTCGGTCGCACTTTTTACGATCTTCCTTTCCCTAGCCGACGAGGGGTCGCGGCGACGGGGCGGAACGGCCGGAAGGGGCCGGAAATTATGCAGAAAAGTGCGATCCTCCGCCGCGTCGGAGTGGAAAGCTAGTCGCGACTTCGGGACCGAGGGCCGAATCGTCCTCCTGGCCGATCGTATCGCGGTCGGTCCAGGTCGGCCCCGGACCGGTCCCGGCCTCGGAGGGTGCGAACGGCGCGCGGGAGCGAATTAATAGCGCAGAGGGAGAACTACCGAGCGAGCTATCGCGCGTCGAGATCGACTCGCCGTTCCTTCGACTCTTTCCTTTTGCGCTGGCTCCTCTCCCAGCCGGTCCCCCGTCCCGCGCGCGAGATCTCGCGGGGTGCATTCAATTTTAACGTTAATAATCCCGGGGAAAAATGCCGCGCGCGCCATTCATCAGCGCCGCTCGATATCGCGAATGCGCGACTTAACGACCGAGGGAGATACCATCGACCGGGACGGCGCGTCGCTTCCTCCTCCTCGCGCCGGCCGAGGGACTCATTGAATCGCGGCCAAATAATATACGAGCCAATAACGTACGAATAGTCCTACAATTATGGCCGAGCGATCGCTATCCGAGCTCGCGCGGTGATTTAGCGGCGCCGCGTCGAAAATCGGTCGAGCCTCCCTCCCCTTCCGGGTCGCCCCCGGCCGGAGTCCTCTCCGCGCCGGGAAACTCGGAAAGCAGAGGCGACCCGGGGGTCAAGGTCGGCCTGTAGAGGAGGAGCGGCTGGGCCGTTTCGTTGCGCCCATCGGAGGGGGCGAGGCCGACTCGCGATCGTTTATGCCCGAGTCCGACCTATCGGACGCATCGGACACCCGCGAGTACCGACGTTCCCGGCCTCGCGGGACTCCGCTCTTTGTTTCGCCACTATGAGATTATTAACGACCACCGGCGCGGTCCGGCCGACCCGGGGCGGGACGGGAATCGTGGGACCGGCCGGGTCCCCGGAAGCGCGGGGCGGAAATTCCGAGTCCCGCGTCCCGACGTCCAGGGACGCCGAGCGGCCCGGTCGGGGCCGGCAGGAGCCGAGAGCGAGACCGGGCGGGCCCGGTGATTTATACGGAATCGTATCTTCATCCGAATGTCTTCATTTTTAACGCACGGCCGGCCCTCCGGCCCTCTCCTTTCCCCTCTACCTCCCGACCCTGGCACGCGATCCGTCCGAGCCCTCCTCCCGGCGCTCCGCGTTCCCCGAAACGCACCGTCGGCGTCGGCTACGCGAGAGGGTACCCTTAATGCGCGACGTCACGCTCGCGCGGCCCATTTTGCACGGTGCATTCGAGTCCGCGCCGATCTCCGACGATTCCTCGAGGCCGATGCACCGGGGTGAATTATCGGCTACGCTGGACGCCGTCCGGGGTCAAGGATGCGAAAGGGCGACGAGAAGGGACTCCTTTCCGCGGCTTCTTCGATCGACGTCGATTTCCCGAATGCCGGAACGGCGACGCTCGACCTGCCGGAGAGGACGTCGGCAAGGTGCCGGACGAGGGCGTCGGCCTTTGCTTTACGAGGAGGATGAGCGACGTTTAATGCCGCCCGGCGCCCTTTGGCGCCCTTTCCGGCCTTCCCGGCCCTCCCGGAGGCTGCGCGCTCCCCTGGTGTGGTAATTCCCGACCGACGACGCGCCCGGTCCCGGTTCCGCCGGACGCCTCTCGGGGAATGAATCACCGAGAGGCACGAGCGTGCAGGATCGCGCCGACACCTTTTACGCGAGTACCCGGCCAAAGCCGGAAATTCGACTCGCGAGCTCGTTTCCGCGAGTCTGGCCGTCGTCTGCGCCTTCCTCTCGCCGAAGGACCTTTACCCAGAGCCTTCGAAGCTCGTTTGTCCCGCAACCGGAGGGTCCGTCCTGCCGCGCCGCCGTCTCGGCTCATGTCCGTGTAGTTGGTCCCTACTTTTCGAAAAAAGTCGCAGCCGCTCGCGCCAAAGACCAATTTAAAGGGAGGAACCTTCCCCTCGGGCTGAAGCGATGGCAGAAAAAAATGGAGGAAAAAATCCCGATGGCGAAAAAAATCGACGTAGAAGGGGGTACAAGAGAGTACGAGCGGTTAAAGTTTTTCATTTTCAATCCAAAACTTTTCCGGGTGGGGAAAAATGGGGAGCGCGGAAAGAAAAACATTTTTCTTTACATAACCTCCTTTTTACATTCTCTAAGGTGTATTATATTTATATAATTTTTTTTTTCAAACGTTTGGTACAACCAGTACAATCCGGTATAACTAAAGAAAAAAAGATCGAGTTTCAAGAAAGTAGGGGCTAGCTGAAAAACTGAACATTTCTTCATTTTCGATAAAGTAGTGGCCAATTTTCCGGACATTCGCGGCCCGCCACCTCGGACGAGAAACTCGGAAATTTCGATCGGAATTGCTCGAAAATTTTTCTTTACATAACCTACTTTTTATATTCTCTATGATGTATTATTTAATTAATTTAATTAATTTTTTTCCAGAGGTACAATGTTTGGTACTACTAGTACAATCCGGTACAACTAAAAAAAAAAGAAAAAAAGACCGAGTTTCAAAAAAGGTAGGGGCTAGCTGAAAAACTGAAACACTTTTTTATTTTTGATTAAGTATGGGCCAATTTTCCGGACATTCGCGGCCCGCCACCTCGGACGAGAAACTCGGCGACCGCGACCGGTCGGATAATGGGCAATCAGGGAGGCCGCGAGTTATCGCGCTCGACGCGCGAGAGAAAGGCTCGAAGCGATCCGGGGCTCTCGCGACCGATCTCCCGCGGCGCGTCCCGCACCCTCCGCTTCCTCTCCTCGCTTTCACCGTGGAGGTCGCGCGTCGATCCTCGGACGGCCGCGTAGTTAGGCCGATTGTTCGGCGGTCTCGACTTCTCGACTTTTTGTCTCTCCTAATGAACCATTGACCGGGCCGCGAGACTCCGGGTGAAATTTCTCGGGCTTCGATCCGAGCGAGCCACGCGGGAAGGAGAAGCGGGGGGGGAAATTTTTTCCCCGGCTCCGGGGAGCGCGGAAGCCCTCCGGAGTTCCAGGATATCGAAACCTCGTAGAGGTTGCCGAGGTATGCGCGGGTGTACGGTTTCGCGAGAGTCCGGCACCGGTGGACCGGCAAAGAGCCGCAACTTTTTCCGTCGACGTTTCGTTCCTTCCCGCGGAGCGGAAAGAACCGCGTCGGCCCGGCAGAAAACGGGGGATTTCATCGGGGACAAAAACGCGGGAGAATCGACCTCCTCTTTCCCCACGTGGGCCGCGAACCGCTCCGAGGACGACGACGCGCCGTAACGGGGATTCGGGAACGCCGCGAGGAACGCTCCGAGGAAGCGTCGAGTCAGGCTTCGGGCTTAACGAGCAATTATCGATCGATCGGCCCCTCGATTTTCTCCGACACCCCGGGCGATGGGTCCCCTCCGGTCGGGCAGGGACGCGAGGGGGAGGGCGTTTAAACGATTCCCGATGACTTTCCGACGGACGCACCTAGGCTCTCCGCCGGGCGGTCGTTTCCCGGACCGCCTAGACAATGGGACGTTAATCGGCGAGCATGATTCCTTCGACCGGGGCACGTCCTTCAATTCCGGAGCCGAGGAGCCAGTCGGAAACCGACCTGGAGGAACCGAAGGAACCCCCAGCGGGGTCGCTTGCGCGACGCTCGACCCCAGGGGGACGGGAGCCACCCTCGGATCTCCAGGCGATCGGCGCCGAAGCGTCCTCTAATTTCGAGACCGAAGGTCCCACGAATATCCCCGGAGTGCCGGCCCTGCCCCTCTCGGGGCCTCGATCGTAATATCGAATATATTGGATAATGATAAAGCCGCGAGCGCGTACACCCTCTCTCGGGCCGGTGATTGGTTATTAGTTTTGGCCCCTCGATACGATCTTAATGGGAATACTTAGGTGGGAGGCTCCGAAGACATCGAGGATGATCTACGCTCGGATCGGGTATACGTTCCGTCGGTCTCTCCGCTCCCTGCAGCCGCGCCGAGTACTCCGGGCGGACGACTTCGGCGGCGACGACGAGGTCAGGGGGACTCGCGGCCGCCCTTGACCGAGTGCGCGGTCCGCGCCGGTCTCGGGTGGAGGTGCTCGCTCCGGAGAAGCTCTTCCTTCTCGCCGGGGCGGGACCCCGCGACGTGACGCGACGCGACGCAGCTCGGGGACGTCTTTTTTACCAAATTAAAATGGCACCGGAGCATTAATTAATCAAACGCGGACGGAACCCGGCCGGCGAGGGGGGTCGAGAGGAATATCTCTCCGATTAAACTGCGAAGCCGCTCCGGCGCTCCCGGCAAAAACTGGACCCCGCGCGACGCCCGCTCCCATAAACGGCTTTTTTCCCCCGGAGACTTTGAATATTCAACGAGTGGTATGGCGCGCAGTGCCCGACCGGCAATTAATATTGATTTTATTAAATCGCCGGTCCTTTCTTGCCGTCGACCGGCGACTCGCATTCCCGGCCTTCTTCGGGACCCGACCCGGCCCGACCCGGTCCGACCTCGCCCGGTGTGCCGGGTCTTCGGGCTCCGGGCGAGTCGGACGCGCTCGGCACTTCGGTATTCGATGAATCGCGCCCTCGACTCCGGGGACCTTCGGGGGACTCGTCGGGGGGGCCCCATGAAGGGCCCTCGAGAACTCACGGCCGAAACATCGGGGCCCCGAACAAGAAGGAGGATTCCTCGGGACGTATCTCGGCTCGGCGCGCGGTAACGTTGATTGCGTGGAATCCGGCTCTGCCCTCCTGGACGCCTAGGCTTCTTGTCGTCGACGTCGGCGTCGGCGTCGCCACCCACCCTCCCTCTGGCAAGCGCCGGCCCCGAAAAAGGGTCGTCGAAGGGCCCGGTGGCGGCTTCCAAACTCGTTTGAAACTTACCCCGACCACCTCTACGCCGGCCTGCCTTCCTCGCCACCTCGCTTCTTATGCAAACCGGCTTCGGCTTCGACCGGGCAAAACAAAGAGAACGAGGGCCACCAGGAAACGATCCTCCCCTCCGCCCTTCGGCCGCGAGACGGTCGCGGAAAGCGGGACCGTGGGACTGGCTCCTTCCGGACTCGCGCAGCGGGGACGAACCGGGTCGGACTATCGCGACACCTGACGCGACCTCGACGCCGCCCCCGGCGCGAGCGACTCTCGGCCCCTCGATTCTCTGAACCGACGCTCGAGATAAATAGACCCGAGACAATGGGCCGCCAAAGGAGGGGACGGCCGAATTTGCATGCGTCCCTGCCCCCTGCTCGCTCGTAAATCACCCGGCTCTCCTTCGGGCTTTTCCTCGGAGATCGAGCGGGCCCGAGGTGGACGCGAAAACTGCGCGCGTCCCGGCGTCGAGATTACGCGCCCCGTCCGTTCTACGATTTTATCGCGCCCACTTTTGTCCGGTCCCTAATTAATGGGCCGTAAATTAGGAGCGACGAGTCGTTAACGGCAAGATGCTCTCCGGCGCGGACCTCGTCCCCTCCCGAGCGATTTTGCCCCGCGGAGCCGCGTCCTCGCGCCCGAAAGGCGAGGACGTCCCTCCGGACGGAACCGGACTCGGTCTCGGCGGAAACGAATTTCCCGGGCAGAGAGGTGACGGGACCCTCCCTTTCGTCGGTGCGGGTGAACGCGCCGGAGAGAGGAAGGCGACTCCGTCTCCCCGATTGTTCTTGCCAAGGGGAACGAATGCCGGCCCGAATAATGCCGGGGCGATGTTTGTTTTGGGTGCAGGTTGCGGCCCTTTGTTCGGGCCCGGGCGGCGTTTTCGACGTCGGCCGAGCGATCCTGCCGAGAAATCCTCCGAGCTTCTCGACGGACTCGTCGACGGGGGATGACGTCGACGGTCCGGGGGACCTCCGCTTCGCGTTTCTCTGACCCCACGAGGAGAGGGCGTGCTCCAGAAATCCAGGGGCACAAAGGGCCTGGCCGATTTCGACACGCGATGCCGGTTTCGCCGCTCGATAGAGACGTTAGGCACGCTCCCCGTTCTTCCGCCATTTTTCTGCCCTCGGCCCCGCGCGCGGTCTCGGGCCTTCCCTCCACTCGCCCAGGGAAAACTCCGCGCCGACCGGATCACCCACACAGGGACGGGAATTTTTTCCGCAGCCGGGTCCCCCCGATGACGGGCCCGTGACCGGTCCGTGACGGACCGTCACGGTAGATCGATTCGGCCTCGCGGCTGAAAGTCGGAGAAGGCTCTCCAAAGACCGCTTCCGGTTCCTCCGGTTCCTCGGTCGGAGAGCCGGCCGCCCCTTCGGGATCTACCCGGGGTCCACTGCGGGTTGTTATCGTCCTCGCCGTCCGCGAAACGACCGCGAGGGGACATTCCAAACCAGGAAACCCTATACCGACTCGATAACGTACGACCTCGCCGAGACTTTCGGGTGGACGGGCCCGAGGATGCGACCGTGGCCGGCGAAAGATAAATCCCGCCCGGCGAGAGCAAAAGGATCCCGTCGGGCCCGACCCCTCTGGGAGGTCAAGGAGGAGGACCGCGAGGAACGACACGAGATTCCGAGGGTCGAGGCGAACCTAGGCGGCGAGTCGGGAGATTCGGCGACACCTGGGGCTCCCGCGGCACCTCCGGCGACCGTCAAGCGGAGGAGTCGGTGCCGCTGCTGTCGTCGAGGAACTCGGGCTCGCGAATCCTGCCGGCGAGGGCCGCGGGCCTCTCCGTCGTCAGCACGTAGGTGCCGGCCCGAGTGCGCTCGATCTTCCGCAGCGCGATTCCCGCCTTCAGGACCCCGAAGACCTCGTGCCGAGCCCTGGACGCCGGGAGCCTCGTCCGTCTCAGGACGTAGCCCACGATGCCCTCCAGAGTGGCGCCCCTGGCGACGTCGGCGCACCTCCCGGGCGGCATGCCGGCTCGTCCGCTGCGGAAAAGAAGCGATCAGCGCGGTCGAGACAAGTCGGCGCGGCCGCCCCGGGAGCTCGCGTCGACCCGTCGGTTCGGGCCCGGACGATCCTCCGCCGAGGCGGCGGACGGCGATCTCCGCGGCGAGCGAGGAATCAATATCGTTGGATCGACTCGATAACGCCTCGTAAATATAATAAAGCCTCCCGCGCTCTCGCGCGAGATAACGGTCGAAGCCTTGGGCGGTCGGCCGGTGGAGGGGACCGGCAGGAGAAAGGCAGGGGCGAGGGCCCGGTGAGTCCCCACCCGAGCCGCAACTCCACGTCGAGGGCTCTCTCAGTGGCGTCGTGCCTCGGGACCGTGAATCTCGCCGCCAGTCTTGTCTCGCCTCCACCCGTCGGCCGCGAAAGGAGTCGCCGAACCGCGCAGGAGTCGACGAGCACCAGGGCGGTCATGCCCGCCGTCGGCTGACTCCGGGGACTCGGACGCCGCGGGCCGGTCCTCGATGAGGTCTCGCGAGGACGCGCCGCCCGCCTCTCTTGCGCCTCTTCGTCGCCCGAGGGACCCCGAGGAGCGGGGATCGGTGGCCGGACCCGGGCTTCCGTCGCGCGCCCGACATGACGACGCGGGGCGTCGTCGCGTCGCCCGGAGTGGCCCGAAACCTCGAAGCGGCGACCGGGGCCGGGATCCCCGAGAAACGTCCCCGACCGAGCTCGCCCGAGTGGCGGTGAACGCGTTATCCGGCCAGGGATCGTTCCGCGCACCGGATATTCCCGCACCATGGAGGATCTCGGGGTGAGTATCTCACGGCGTCGTTTGCGTTTACGGGACTCGACGTAAATCCTCGTCCACCTCGCGGCCCGACGCGAGACGTCCCGCGAAATCCCTCGAACCGATCCCCTCGTCGACGTCCCTCGATCGTCCCTCTCGGGGGGCCACGCCGTCTCCGATGACACGGTGGGACAAATTATCGCGAAACCGCGAGAACCCGCAAACGATCCCTCCTCGGCGAGCCGCGGAGTCGCCATAAATCACGGGGTTTGCCTGCGAGAGCGGGTATCTCCGGCCGCGCGATAACCCTTAATTGGTCGGCGCGAGAGGGAGGGAAAGACGCGCACCCCCCTCTCGAGAGAGCACGATTGACTTTATCCCGCGCGAAAGCGAGCCCGCTCCCGCCGACGGCGATGTCGATGGGCCGGGTTCGCGTTTCGTCCTGGGGAAGGGAGGAGTCCTCCCGGCTATATTTCAGGAGGCAATTTGGCGGCGCCGCCGAGAGCAAATATTAATTTGCCGCGCTACCAGGCCCCGGCCGGCCGGGAACTCGACTAGGCCCTAACGAGGGCCCAATCCCGCGGCTCCTTTAGTTCCTAGTTTCGGGAATCGAAAGGCGGCGGGCGCGCCCCGGCGCTGCCGTAAAACCGCCGTAAAACGGCCCCCTTATAAACGCTCGGGCCCGTAAACCCTCGAGATTATCGCGCCCGAAGGACTATCGGCGGAGGTGCCGGGAAAGAATCCCTTCGGATGATCGGGTTCGCCCTGAGGAAAGGGCCCGACGTCTCCACGTGTAGGCGCTCGTGCTCTACCGTGGCCAATCGCATCGATCCATTAGGCGTTCGATTAACGAGCGATCGGCCCGGTTCGTTAATTAAACCGAGTGTCTCTCTCGGCCGAGGGGCCCGAGGGGTCCGGGGTGGAGGGACTCCGAGAACGCGGCATTAACGCGATGCTTTCGAGTTCGGCCGCGTCGAGGAATAAATTGGCCGATTTGCATGGAAATTAGGAAGTCTCGGAACGAGCGTCGGTCCGACCGATTTCGCGCGCCTCTCCTCCGAAGGCCCCGGGACCGACCCGGGCCCGTTAAGGTCGCCTCTTAAATTAGGACCTGCTTATCCGGACGCGAAATCTCGTCGGTAGGCCGCCTCTCCGGGTTGCCGCGGTCCGTTACGGCAGGGACGTCTTTATTACGAGAACGGGTCCGTCGCGCGATCGAGGCGGGATCGGCCGCGGAACCCCGAACCTCCGGACGGCCGGCTTCGAGGAATCGACGGCTCGACTCGATCGAGCCCCATCGATCCTCGATTCGCGACAGCTCCCGAGGGGCCCGGTTCCACGCGAAGCGAAGGAGGCGGAACGCGGTGAGTGGAGGATCGACGGGACCGGAGGGGAGGGCCGAGGGAGAGGGAGATTCGGTCCCGCGGACCAACCCGGACCAACCCGGACCGCGACCCGAGATCGAACGCGCGATTGCGTGTGTAAGTGCGAGCGGGCCACCAGCAGAGCGGACCACCTCGGTCGGCAGCGAACCGGGCCCGAGATAAAACGGGGGCCGGGCCCTAACGATTCGGACTTTGTCGGCGCCGCGCTCCGGCCGCGGGTCGGCCGCGGTTCCGCCGCGACCGCGGCGACGAGGTCCGCCGCCGAGTCGAGAAGCGGCGGGGCCTTCTTTCGGGCCCCGTCGACGCCGCGACTCGGGGCAGGATGAAGACGTCTGGAGGTCCGTGGCAGCTCAAGGTCTGCCGCTTCTCCTCCTCCCGGGAGGACGCTTCGCCTCGGCAGCTTCCCCGCAGGTGCACGCACGCACGGACAGGTTCTCAACCGACGCTCCTCCGGCGTCTTCCGTCGCGGCCCCTCCAGGCGGAGAGCCCCGGCTCGGGGAAAGGCCCGACTCCGCTCCGGTCGGCCGAGGTCGGGGGGAGAGGGGCACCGGGCCCGACGGGCTGAAATAATAGGTTGCGCCTGCGCGCTCATTAACCTTTGTACCCCGCCGACCGCCCTCTCCCCCTGGGGCCCCGAGCCGTCCCCGGTCCGCCGATAGCGGCGCTTATCGCGGGGCCCGAAAAGGACCCGAGTCCGGACCGACCGGGCGCCGTTCCTCCCCCGATCTCGGAGGAAATTCGATCGAACGAAATTCGGCGCCGATTGGCCCAGAGGAGTGGTGGCCCCGAAGGGGGACGAGGGGGAGAGCGAGGCAGCGATGAAAATCGCATCGGCGCCGGGAATGGCGCGCGAAGAAGACGTCGGACGTATTTCACCCAAGGGGTTGGCGGAGGGGCACGGAGGGGCACCAAAGGGGACGGTGGAGGCCGAGCACGGAGGGGGCCGGGAAGGGGACGGCGTGACAGCGTGTAATCTCCGAGTCTCCGAGAGGGCGAAATAACAGGTTCTCTCTTTCGCGCCGACTGGCCCCGGCCCTCTCCCTCGCGCAAGCCGCGGCTCTTCCTCCTCGTCTTTTCCTTTCCGAGATAAAGCCCGGCCCGAGGACGCCGAGTCGAACGACGTCGGCACGCGCCGTCTTGTTCGCGAGACTGCAGGAGTCCGTGAAAACGACGGATTTTCCCCGCCCGGGCGCTCGGTCGACTCTCCGACTCCCTTCCACCCTCCGCGGGGAAACGAGCCGGAGACTCGTCTCTCCCGTCCCCGGAGGATCCGACCGATCGAATCGTACCCGCCATCGGACGTCCCGAGCCGAGTCCTACCCGGGACGGCTCGACGGAGGAGCGGAAAGCGGCTCGGGCGCGCTTCCCGGTGGCGGCTCGGAGGGAAACGCGCCGACGATGCCGAGCTCGGCAAGAGGAAAGGAGAGGAGAACTCGACCGAGATCGTGAGGGGCGGAGGGAAGGTGGCGCGGTAATCCTCGAGGCCCGAACAAGAGGTGGAGAGATTCCTCCGGTTCTCCGAGGGGGGATAAGAGGGGAAAGCAAGCCAGATCGCGGATTGAGTCATTATGCTCTCCGCGGACGAAGACCACAGGCCTCGATGCCGAGAACGGCTGCCATCGGGCTCGTGAAAGGAAACCAACCCGGTGATTCAGCTCTCGCAAACGGACAAAGTAGTCGCTCGCTCTTCGCTCCGCGCTCGACCCAGCGAGGGAGCGGGGATTCCGGACCGAGAGGGACGTTTCGATCGGCGCCGAATATCCTACCCCGGGACCGGCTCGAGACGTCGTCGCCTCGGTCGGGTCCCATTTGCTCGATCTTCGCGGGCGAAATCGGGACGACTCTCGAGACGAGGGACAGTCGCGGCGATTCCGCGCCGTCGAAATCGCACCCGATCCGCGGGCAAAGTCGAGGCGAGTCGCCTCCTCGAATCGAACGTCCATGCAAAGCAAACTGCTGCCCGGTCGGCTGTCAATTATCCGTTATATACGGCCGGGCCCTCAAACCTAACTTAACGACCGGTCAAACCGAGGACGGGCCCTCGGGCGTCGAAACCCCGGACAGGAGGCCGGGGCTCCCGGGCAACCGGCGGTCGCGGGCTCCGAAGAGGCGGTGCCGAGGGGATCGCGGAAATTGAGAAAGGAACGGAGACTCCACTCACCGGTTCGACGCTCCTCTCGTGAACTCGGTCGCCTCCCGGGCTCTTTCCGACTCTAGTCGATCGATTTTCCAAACCCGAAGACCCTGAAAGAAAATCCTTAGGCGAAGCTAACTGGCACGAACGCTGGAAATTTTCTCTACCGTGACGGCGCGATTCCAAAATGGCTTTCCGAAATGACAGCGCACGCCGCTTGTTTCGAGCCCCGACGACTTGGCTAGGGCCGGAGCGGAGCGTCGGGACGCTGGGTACGATAAAGCGCGTTTCGTCCGGCTTCGAGGTCTCGGCGCGGAATATAATGGCGTCCTGGAGGACGCGACGAAAGGCGCGCTCCGACCAAAGCGACCAAAGCGACCAGAGCGACCGGACCAAAGTCAGGCTCGGTCTTACAACGACCTTTAATTACGCCGATATCACGGTAATTAAGCCGATCGATACGAGCCATTGTGTGGGCTCGTCTCACCTCGAGTTCGGCCACGTTACCTTCGACTTAATGGGCGAGCTCCAAAGGAGGCTCGCGTCCGAAGGACCGATCGTTCACGAGGGCGTTTCCTCTTTCAGATGACCGCGAGCACCTCGAGCGGCCTGGGGAGCACCGTCAACGACGTGGACTGGTTCGCCGGCGTCGTGGAGGAGGAGCTGTTGCACTACACGGGGACCGGAAACGACGTGGACTCTTTGTGGACGGTGATCGGCAGTTTCGTCCCCCCGCCCCCGCGGCCCCCCTATCTCCCGGAGGACGGCGTCTCCACCGACGGCCTCACGACCTGCGACCTCTGTTCCTGGGCCTGGAGGAACGACAGGCACGGCTTCTCCCTCGACGGCGCTCTGGGTGATTTTCCCGCTTTCCTACCGTACCGTCTTCGTCGCGGAGACGACCGGCCAAATTCTATTTTTCCCCGATTTCCTGCCTTTACCTCTCCCGTTCCGTCCGCCCCGAGAGAGGGGAGACGTCTTCCCTCTTCCCGACGCCAATCAAAGCGGAACTCGACGTTCGAGGCCGAGGCAGATTTCATCCGAGATCCGCCGACGCGATCCGAATCCGAGACCTCGGTTCGAGAACCTCTCGGACGAAAACGCCAATAACGCCGCGCCTCGGCGAATCGCGAAGGACGACGCAGGGGATCGGAGATCGAAGATCGGCTACGATAAGGGGACGTCGAAAACGTCCGGACGAGAGAAATTCAATCGAGTTTCTCTACGGCTGGCACCTCCGCTCGAACTCCCCGCGACCGATCTTTCTTCGGTGGGAGAAAAAGACCACCGTTCGTTCCAGGCTCGAAGGATCCCGTCGAGACGGTGGGCGAGGGTGCCGACCGAAATCGGAATCGTCCCTTCCGCGCGTGACTCCGGCTCCTAGGCCGGGCCTAACGCGAAACCAGTTCGGGGCCTTCCGCTACGGATCGCGGCGAGACGTCCGCGGGGATTTCGCGAGATAAAATCGCCGATCCGGATCGCTTCCAGAGCGGAATCCGGCCTTTGGAATTTCGGATTCGAAACTCCGGTCGCCCGGGTCGCCCCGCGCCCTGGTCGACTCGTTCCCCCGGGGTCTCGCGAATCTTCCCGCGAATCAGCAAACGGGCACGGCGCGAGCTTTTTCGCAGCACCTCCAGGGGGCGATAATTTACCGGGAGCGACGGGGGCCTCGAGGCCGAACCGAGAGGGGCCCCATAATTGAGCCATCTCGCGCGATCGCCAAGCCGGGGACTTTTTAATCGCGGCTCCCAGAGAATTTTTATTCCCCCCCGGATCCCCCCCGGCGCCATCTCGTAGGCGTATTTCGCCATCTATTTGCCGCGTCCCGCCCTTCTCTCCTCTCCCTACCGCCGAGCGGACTTATCCCTTGTCAACTCGGCGATCTGCGCCGGTTCCTCGTTCGATGTCTCGATTTGGCTCCCCTTTAATTACAGGGAGAGGACAGTCGCCTTGGGCGACTCCACTTTCGACGCGAGAGCACGGACGACCGAGGTGCGATTTCTAGAATCGATACCGAGCGGCGAAAACCAGTCGCGGCGGTACTCGGAGCGAGCCCTTTGGTTCTCCTTGGTTCCCTTTGGTTCCCTTTGGTTCCCTTTGATTCCCTTTAGTTCCCTTTGGTTCCCTTTGGTTCCCTTTGGTTCCCTTTGGTTCCCTTTGGTTCCCTTTGGATTCCTTGTCTCCGACCGAAGCGCCTCCCCGTCCCAGGGCGCGGCGAGTCGTGGACCGACCAACGGCGATAGGCACCGACTCATCCGGACCCTTTTTTGCCTTCCAGAAGCACCTGGAGAGCTCGGCTGGCTTCTGACACTGGTGATAGTGTCGCTGGTGTCCGCCGGCATCGGCGCCATCGTCATGGTGACCCTCCTCCACTGCAGAAGGTCGGTACCAGGATCTCCCTGCTTTGCTCGGTTCGCGGCGCGAGAATCGACCGGAGTCGGTGGTATTTCCTCTTGGAAGCGATCTACGAGTGAGCACTCGTTGGGATGCAACCAAGCCGGTACCATTGCACGTGGCCGACGTTAACGTCCCTAAGGACGCACTCGTAATCTCGAGAAGAATCCGCCGGACCGATTGCGTCTCCTCCTCGAGGACCGCCGGGCGGAAGCGCGACCGTTTCTTTTTCCCGTCCTCCTCGCCCCATCTTTCGACGCTGGATAAATGGTAACGGGGACAAACGCGACTAAGGGATCGTCTCGTTTCTTTGTTTCAGGCTGAAGAGTACAACCGGCAGGGGTAAGGGCACTCCCTTTAAAAACGATCGACTTCTGCATGCGCTCGCGTTAACGGTTCCTCTCCTTCTTTATCTCTTCCTCCGCGCCGAGACGATACCGGAGACTCGTCTAATTAACTTTCCGATTAAAGTCATCCGATCGATACGATCGGCGACGAGCGACACCGCGGGGTCACCGGCGCGCTCGAGTGCGAGGATCACCCGAATTAATTACGGTTCCCTCTCCCTCCCTCCCTCCCACCCTCACGAAGGGAGAGACGGAGGGGTCGGCTTCCTCGCGGCGAAAACTCTAGCCTTTTGTCGTCGGTCCTTAGCCGGTTGCTGTGGAGTCTCCATGGACGAGTCCGGCCAGGAGTCGGCGCCGCCGGGGAGCGGCGCGGGCACCGGGGGAGGCGTCTCCGTCGTGCCCGAGCGGTCGTCCCTGGAGCTGGACAAGCTGCCGCCTTATCACGACGTGGCCCCGAGTCCGGGTAAATCTTGTGTGAACACTCCCGATCGCGAGCCCTTGCCTAACGAGACGCGTCTCCGGCCCACAGGACGCAACGTGTGGTCGTGGCTGGGGTCCCGCAGGGGCGGCGGCCCTGGAGGGACGGGGGGTGGCGCCGGCGGCGGCGTTCCCGGCGTCCTGACGACTCCTCTGTCGCTGCCCCGACACAGGAGGGCGATGAATCTCCCCGTAGAGAACCACTACACGCACATGCAGACCGACGAGGCCCTCTACGCCGAGCTGGACTCGCAGGCGGCCAGCTACGCGAGCGATCCGCGGTCGCGGACCCGGGGAAGCTCGACCTACGGGTCCGCTTCCGGCGCGCGCGACGACGAGTACCATGAGCTGGACGTCGCCGGACTCCACCGTCGCTACGGGGACGACCCGAGGAGCGACGCGTCCCGGCTGCGTCGGAGCCAAAGGTAACCCTCCCTCGCGACCCCTCGGACCGCCGGCGGCAGGCCGATCTGTACTCGCGACAATTCCAGGTTGCAGGAACCGGACTACGAGATGTACGAGAACGGCCCCTCCACCCCGAGGCCCGGCCAGGCTAGACGCTACCACGCTCGGCACCTGCACCACCACCACCATCACCACCATCACCACCGCCACCGCCACGTCCCGGGGGACGGCGAGGCCCCGGAGCACCCCTCCTACCAGAACACGGCCTACACCGGAAGCGACGCGGAACCGGACGGTCCCACGCTGAGCAGTGCCCCCAGCAGTGCCTACTACAGCGACCTGAGCTCCACATCCGCGAGTCAATCGACTCCGGCCCCCGCGCCCCCTGAGGTCGCCGGGCCAACCCTAGACCCGGACCACCACTTGGCGGCCATCGACGAGAGTTCCGCGCCCTCGGACTAGGTGTCGGGCGCGGACCTCGACCGAGGACCTGGCCGGCTCGGCGGATGCATCGATGAGCTTCCTCGGAGGCACGCGATAATTAATCGCATCCTCGCGACCAGGATGCCGAGTCCTTCTCCCTCTCCCTCTCCCGGTCGAGGCCTTGTTGCTTTCCGGTAAGAAAACGAGGAATCGTCCGCGGTCCTCGGAGGACCTTTTCCGTGGAATTCCCGATGACGGTTCGGTTAAACGTTTCCGGGAACGATCCTCGAACCGCGGAGAGGATCGAGCGGAAACGAGGACGCGGGGTCGTGGGCGGTAGACGCGGAACGAGGATACGGCCGCAGGGACGGTGCGGCCGCTACCTTCCTCTCTAGCTCGGTATATAAATTATACATGTAAATATACGAGCGGCCACGCGGAGGAGATCGAACCTCGCGATATCGGAATACGTGTTGGCGGTGAACGCGCCCGCCGCGCGGAATAATATTCCTGCAGGGTGTTCGCACCCTTTCCCTCGAGCGTTCCTCGAGACGTTCCTCGAGGAACTCTCCGGAACGCGCGGCCGTCCGGGGAGAAGTTGGATCTTTCACGGCAAGCTGCCCCACTCGGATACGGTGCGACGTAATTGCTCCGAACGTCGCGTTCCCTCCTATCCGGCAGAGGAGAGGAGGGTTAATTCCAACTTTGCCGAGGACCGGCACGAAAGGGTCCAAGCGGAACGTAAACGTTGGATCTCGGAGGGCTCGGTACCTTCCGGGAGCGAACGCCTCGACTTGTATGTACATAGTCATTAGGGGCCGTTACCGTTTGTAAAGACGCGACTTATCGATGTATGTACATATCGTACTATAACGTAATGTAATGTAATTAACGAGCTCGAGATCGGTTAGCGAGGGGCGTGCGTCCTGACCACGCGACCTGCTTGCCCGGAGTCGGCACGGCTGGATTCGATTCAACCGATGCGGTCCGTTCGAATCGTTCTCCTATGTCCGGGTAATAAAGGATATGTTTCGCACGTTCCGTGCCTAAATTTTTCTGTTTCGTGTTCGTCAATTTTCAACGTATACTTTTGTACACTGGGAGACATCAATGCCCTCCCATCCTGCACAGGCGATGCCGTATCTGCAGGGGAGGCATTCATGCCCGCCAATGTACACTGGGAGACATCAATGCCCTCCCATCCTGCACAGGCGATGCCGTATCTGCAGGGGAGGCATTCATGTCCGCCATTGTACGTACAGTCCAGTTAGAAGTTGTTTGACCCTTTCATTGCACATTTAAATTGTAACCTAAAATAATGTGGATAGTAATAATATGATCTTATGATTCAAGGTTAACCTTTATCTGGCAGATATCTTTATACGAAGGATAGCTATCCGGGAATATGAAAAAATCGGGTCTCACTAGATTTTGAGCGACTAGGATGCAAATCATACAAATCTCTCCCTCTCTGAAACAACTTTACCGCCTACATACGCTTAAGCGAGGCGAGTGCAGAATTTCAGTGGCATGGCCGCTCTCTGCTCTCTGCTTTGTTCGTGGCGATCCATGACGGTGTTGTCAGGTGTTGTGAAAGCCTTTGTCCGTACTGATATTGGTAAATCGCAGAGCACGGTCAAGAGTTTATTAACCGTTAAAGAAATGTTGAGCTTTAATTGTCTGTGCATTTATTAACTTGTAGTCGACTAAGTTGCCCAATTACCGAAGATGTCCCGACATCGAGATGTTCGTAGTATGAACTACTCCGACGGTAGGTTAAAGTTTTGTTATGTTAGGTTAGGTTATCTATCGACATGTTCTTTTCGTGACTGGTTCTACATTTCCTTAATAATTACACTATTACGTTCCTCGAATGGGAAGATAGTTTATTAAAAGCATTAAATAACGCTTCATTGTCTTACATATGTTCAGAATACGACGGTTACGATGACGTGTATGGACACTCTGTACCAGACGACGACTACTGTGTCTCTCCGGGTGGTAAGTTGCTCTTCCCGAATTAATACTATAAAGACACGACTCAACATTATGGGCATTGGAACAAATATTTGGTTATTATTACAGTGGAGCAATTCTTATATGATCGTGCCAAGAAACAGGACATATCGTCATTTCTTACCGAGGCGGATATAGAGGAGGGCAACGAGGATGCGCAAGAACTGTCAACGGGAAGATACAAGACTCTGCAACTTTCGGATTCAGACAAAGCTAAATTATTATCATCGATTAAAGTTATTAGAGATATCGTTGGTGACATAATAAGCGATTCGGTTCTGTCGCGACGGCTTATCGAAACCAATTTTAATACGGAGGTTGTGCTGGATGCAATTTTAAAGGAATTGCCACCTAAAGGTGAAGTTATAACTTTTTGGTAAAATACTTTTTGTAATTCTAATTTGATTAATGATAAAAGAATATTTTGTAGGTCAAACACCTTTGAAAAAGGAGCTAAATACTCACATAGGTATGTTTGAAAGATTATACATTATAAGTATATAACAAGATAGGCTTCTTTTCGAATGTATATTTACTTTCCTTTATTGTTAAGAAATATTATACATTAGCATTTTTGACCATGGAACTTTTCTGTTTTTTTTCCATGTGCTGCTATACTCCGTCCGTAAGGTAAGGTTCCTCATTTAATTCTTTTCCCAATTTAATCACATTTCCTGATCAATCGAAATGGGAATTGTCAAGCAGACCGTGTAGTACACACGACCGAACAAGTGAAGTTTCTTTAAAAGAGTCTTTGACCAGCTCGCAAGATTCTAAAAGTGATGCTAGTAGTACAAAATCGTTTTCTTCCCTTTCAGACATGATAGCTAACCATGCTAAATCTTTTTCTCCTCTATTAATTGCATCCCCTAAAAGTACCACAAGCATACCATCTTTTGGGACATTAGCAGATCTTACATCACATCATTTAAAAAAGTCTAGCAATTTGAGTGACCTTTCTGGTTCACCTATGAATTCATCAGCCCCAAATTCTGGTTTTTTTATTCCAAAACTACGTACAAAAAGTAATTCTGATAGCACTCCTGAAACTCTGTCGTTAAAAAACCTTTGCACCGAGAATCCAGAAAAACCAAACGATAATAGCCAAATACAAGTGAACAGAGACCAGGAATCATCAATTGATTCTATCAGAAAGAATTTCTCCAATGTGTGTATTTCTCCAATGGCTGATATCAGCAGTGTTGATGCAAGATGCGAGAACCCAACGGAAGAAACTCTTAATCTACCAAAGAATAGAAGTTCTTCACCGGATGAGTGTATCATTGATCTCAGTACTGCATTAATCACAAATTCTGAGATCGCAAAGCCTGCCGACAAAGTTGATTCGTCACTTGTAGATCATTTTCACATGGACATTGCCCTGGACTTGCATTCCGACTCGGTGGAACTTGACGATGCAATAATAGATACCAAGTATTGGTATAATTTGGATTTAAGCAGCTTACAATACAGCGACCTTAAACATTCGAGCAAAATGGTCTCACTGTTTGGCAGAGTGCTGTGCAGAAAGTGGAAAACAAAGAAACCATACTTGAGAGTTCAGGAGTCAGAAGTTCATTACGTTAAACCTTTTGATTTTTCTACACCGTCACCGGACAGTTTAATCCTGGCGAGATTAAATCGAAGATAATCGAAAGAATCCTTGAACGTGCACCCACTGTTCCTTTACCTTGTTTTTTCTGTCTTTTATTTTTTATGAATTTTATTGTTCGAAAGCCCAGAATTATAATGAAGAGATTTTCACCAAGTTTACAAATTCACAACCTATTGTATACCTCTAACGTAACAATAGGAAGAGACTTAAATATATTTTTTATTCTTCTGACATACGAAGTACATATAAAACATTTTTGGAATAGCACGAAGCTGACTCGTGAATTTTAACGAAGCTTCGTGAAAAGTGACTGTGACGTTACTCGTTATCCTTTTATTATTATATGAATTTGTCAAAATGTGAACTCTATTTTTATCCATTGTACGGACATTTTGTGTCCTAGGAATCATGTTGGTTTATCCAATACATTTTCTGAGTGCACCCACGAAATTATTTCTTGCAAATAATACCCCTTGAATAATTGTAAAGTAATTTTATGGTAGGTAATAAGATATCAACAAAACCAACGATCCAGCTAGCATCACCAGGAGTAAAAGTCGTCCCCGCAGCTACCAAGACCATCGTTAAAGGATTCGACCTAAGTGGATCGGAAAATCCTGATCTGCTTTATCCAAGACTAGAAAGCCCCAGAGCGCAAAGTCCCGCCTCGGACAGAAATTCCCCTGACAATAGGAGAAAGAATGAAGGTTTTCAGAAAGAGAAGAAGACGTTATCCTCGAAAGCTGGGACACCGAGGCGTCGGTCTCCTGCTTCGGGCAGAACCACTCCCGAATTAGAGTCGAAATCTAAATACTCAGACAATAAAACCGATGTCCTGACTTTGTACAAGAGTAAGCGAGCGACTAGCAAGGATCAACTGAATTTGGTGGTAGTTGGACACGTCGACGCCGGGAAGAGCACGCTACTGGGGAGACTTCTTTGCGATCTGGGCCAAATTCCAAGTAGAGTGATGCACAAGCATCAGCAGGAAAGCAAAAAAATAGGAAAACAGTCCTTCGCCTATGCTTGGGTTCTCGACGAGACCGGGGAAGAGAGGTACGTCGTCTCTTTTTATCATTTTCTATTAACACATTCGCGATCGCTGACGTGGATTCACGTCTTTTTAAATTCTATTCCTGATTGCCGCTGACGTGAATCACGTCCATAACGATACACGATAGAAGTTTACGGCAACCAGTTTCAGGATTTCATTATTTTCGCCGGTACTCAGTATTTGAAACGGAAAAAATTTGGCGGTCGTGAATGTGTTAATACTAATATCCTTTATTTATTTTTTAGAGAGCGTGGGATCACAATGGACGTCGGACACTCCAAGTTTGAGACGGAGACCAAAAATATTGCACTCCTTGACGCTCCCGGTCATAAAGACTTTATACCAAATATGATCAGTGGGGCTACCCGAGCTGACGTAGCCCTTCTGGTAGTCGATGCGACCAGAGGAGAATTCGAAACGGGATTCGATAGCGGTGGTCAGACGAGAGAGCATGCTCTCCTGCTGCGATCACTTGGTAACTTTTTATCAACTTATTCATATTTTTATGGACTTATCCCGATTGAATTCGGTCTCGTATGTCGTTATACCGATGCGATATATCTTAATTATGCTTCGTAGGAGTCAACCAGTTAGCAGTAGTCGTTAATAAACTGGATACAGTCGACTGGTCTCAAGATAGATTCAACGAGATCGTTGAGAAGCTGAGCACCTTCTTGAGACAAGCAGGGTACAAAGATTCTGTTACTTTTGTGCCCTGTAGCGGATTATCCGGAGAAAACATTGTCGCCTCGCCGACGGCTGAAGGCCTCTCGAAATGGTCCGTCATCTTGGAATATTTTATTTAACTGTATAGAAATTTATTGCAACTTTGTCTCGATTAGTGTATTTTTGCAAACTGTTCTTTTAGGTATAACGGACCAACTCTCATAGACGTTATCGATAGCTTCAAGTGTCCTGAACGTCCTATTAGCAAACCGTTTCGTCTGTCCGTTAATGATATATTCAAGGGAACGGGCTCTGGATTCTGCGTCTCTGGCCCAGTTGAAACTGGGATAGTCTCGATCGGTGACAAGGTATTGGTCATGCCACACAACGAGGTTGGCTCTGTCAAAGGTTTGTCAAATCATTGATAACGAGGAGCATGCGAACATAACAGAATTTATTATTTTCTTTATGCAAATAAAAAAAATATATATATGATTAACTTGTAGCTCTGCAGATGGACGACATTTCTATTACAAATGCATTCGCTGGAGATCATGTAGCGGTGACGTTATCAGGCATTGATCAGCAAAACGTCGTGATAGGAGATATTCTTTGCCATGTACAAAATCCTGTACTAACGACAACATGTTTCCAAGCACATATTGTAACATTCGCTATTGCGATACCCATTACAAAAGGTCTCCCAGTAGTGGTTCACCAGCAATCTTTGGTCGAGCCTGCTGTCATAACAAAATTGATAGCGCATCTTCATAAAAGCACGGGGGAAGTTGTCAAAAAGTATCCCCGATGCTTGGCAAAGAACTCTAGTGCTATAGTTGAAATCAGTACGCAAAGACCAATCTGTATGGAGTTATATAGAGAGATTAAACAACTTGGTAGAATCATGCTCCGGGTAGACGGAACCACTATTGCAGCTGGTCTTGTCACGAAAATTAAGTAATTTGATTAATTAGTGAGTTATCGTTAATAAAACATCATGTATTCTTCTAGCACATGGTGCTGGCTTGCCGATAAATTACACTGCTTTGTACAGAGGTGCAGTAGGTATCTTTATTTGAAAATATAAAAGATTCCTTAATTAATGCAATCTTTTAGCATGGGTCATTCTCGATATCGTAATCGTCTCAAATGAAGATAAAATTAATTTTTGAAATAAATCCATTTACATCAAAACTTCCATTATTTTATTATCATTATCATTTCATCATTACAGGGTAATTAACAATTTTATTTCATGTAAATTGTGAAGATATTATATTTCATATGCATAGATTATCATTAAGACTCAACATTTATTTTTATTTCTTTAACCAGCACAACTGCGACACCCACCAAATGGAACACTTACAGACCCTGTATTCGGTCTTCCCATTCTACGCGTTGGTGGACGTGGAGGCCTTAAAACAAAGATTTTTTCAAATATATGCTACTAACTAAGGTATTAATTAAGAATTGCTTTAAGGAATTAACTTACCCAGAGCCAAGTCTGTAGTCTTGAGTGTACTGAATGCCACGACTATTTAAGCTAGGGTCAACTAATGTTCTGAAACTAAAAGAGATTTGTTAAGGCATTCTAAAGGAGTAAATAATCCACCTTGATGCATGGAAAAAATGTTGGATCTTGAACTGTCTACGTTAAGATGAACACTTATCTTGAAAGGAAATAAAGTTGTAAAATATTAACACACGAAATACTTACAAAAGGAAAACCGTATTAAGAATGCCTATAGGAATGGACAAAATTCTGCCAAGTGTCCAAGGTGTCGACTCCAGCACTTGTCCTTCTAAAAAACAATACAAGATAAGTATCATATACATTCAGAATGCTTAGCTCACAGTACGTACCGTCAGAGATGTATACCATGTTTCACTACTTAATAAGAATTACGGTAGTGTAAGAAAATTAACGTTACGATTATAAATTTGACGTTTCGCAAAGATACAAGCTCATCGCCCCATTGAAAACTACTGAAAACTACAGATGCTGTTGAAAACATTGATCATGTCTCCATCGCACCCCTAAATCCGGGATTTATCAGGCGCGGATCCAGTAAATCACACGTCTCCATCGCATTAATAAATACGCATATTCGATTTTGAGCGTCTCGCTCGACACTTAAATTCGGATTTACTAGGTTTGGACCCGATAAATCCCGGATTTCGAGTACGGTGGAGACGTCATCACGTTCTGGTTAAAATTTCTCTAAATAAGATGGCCGACGCAAATCTACACGGAGTATAGTTTTGCCGACATATTGCTTTGACTACTCGTTCTCTTTAGCGTAGATATTCATCCAATCGCATCTCCTAACTCTTGGATCCGGCCAATGAAATGCCTGTATTGGTAAACGAATCTTCGGCGACGGTATTCGCCCACATTCGCCAGTGGTCCGTTTTGGCGGACGACCGCAGACGGCCATCGACAGGATCAGAGAGAATCTAAAAGAATGTAAGAATATGGCCGACAATACCGTAACGAGAAAAGGGAGAAGCTGCGTCCTCGCATTGTCTGACGGTTTCTGAGTGCCTATGGAACGACAATATGAACCGTGATGCCGTATCTGCAAGGGCACCGACTTCCGGATCGCTTTTGAGGTTAGCAGCAACCAGGGACTCCATTCCACTGCCCTGAACTCGAGCAGGTAAAACGAATTTCTTCCGGAGTGGTTCTTGTCCCGTTGCCCGTTGGGCCTGTTGGACACCCTGTCGTATCTTTTCAATTAATGCGGTATCAGTTATTACCCGTCGGTCTCTGTCGGTGGTAATTTAACTCCGATTCCACTGCGCGGCGTCAACTCTTACAACCTGTCTGAATCTGAAATTCTAGATTCAGATTATTTTATCTCTGGAAGAATAATACTAATGTGTACCTACAAAATGTTGGATTATTTCATGCAAATTAGAAAAGAAATGGAAAGTTGCTACAAAACGTAAGCAATGAGTAACAAAGATTAGACCACTAATCTCTGTGGTCAGTTGTTTCTTAGGCTAGGATGTCATATTTGAATGTAACATTTTTTTTAGTTGAAGCAATGGATGGGACGAGAGCGGCAGAGGTTCTTCCTCTGCTCCAGGAACGTCTTGCCATACTCCCTGGTGGTCGAGACCGGCGGGGAGGTCCAGTGCTAGTGTTTCCAACCACTTCTAGACGCGAACGGGCCAAGCCAGAAGATTACCGTCGTCTGTTGCAATATCTTCTAGCCATTCCAAATGACGAAGCCAGAGGCCTTCGTTTCACGGTTATCGTGGATATGCGAGGTGCAACTTGGGACTCGGTAAAGCCAATTCTTAAGGTCTGTGGAGCCTAACGCTGTGATTTTAGTTACCGGTAATGGATGTTAGAAGTATAATTTATGGACTACGTTTATCACCTAGGTGTTGCACGAACATTTTCACCGGTCCGTGCATGTGGCATTCATCATCAAGCCAGATAATTTTTGGCAGAAGCAAAGGACATCTCTGGCGAAGCAGAAAAAGTACAACTTTGAGGTAAATAGAGCAATCAATAGCTGTAGGGGATAGAGCAAATATGAAAGATATAGTAATAACGGTATATATGCATGACCTTGGCTCTACAGACCCACCCTCCTCTGCCCTACTTTAGCACAAGGGGCTTTTGACATTCATCGAATACAATCAAGTAGGATCAATGCAGGCGCAACCATTGCCGCTAAAAACGCTACTGAGAATTTCTCAGTTTTCAAGTCGTTAATACGCGATTAATATTTCGAGTGAACCTGCATTCGTATATTTTTATAGATGGATCCCACTTTTAATATAATTATGTATCATATGCGTTTTGATCCACAGATTAACACGATTAGCTTGGAGGCCCTTGCAAAGATCATTGATCCTTCGCAACTGACTTCCGATTTGGACGGTTCTTTGCAATACGACCACGCGCAGTGGATAGATACCCGATTGGCGGTCGAGGATTTTACCTGGCAAGCGGCTGACCTTTTAGATAGATTAGACGACCTACAAGAGGACCTAAGCCGTAACGACTTCGCCGACGACGTTGGCGGGGCTAAGCACGGTATCGAACTGCACAACGAGATGAAGAAGAAAATCATGAAAGTTCCTGTGGAAGATGTCGAAGCGGTCGGACAACGTTTGCTTCAACGCTTCAACAATGGCGAGTGTTACATTTTTCATTCGTATCGTCCTATAAATAATTTTCTTACGCAGCACCTAACAACCTTTAATGGATTTTAGGCATTTCCGCAAACTGTGGAGAAGGTGGTAGTATCGAGAGCGGAGCATCCGGCGGTGCAGATCCAGATGGTAGAGCATTGGCAGCCTTGGTTATTCAACATTTGGACTCGGTACACGCGGCGCAGCAACATCTTCTGCAACTCTGGCACATCAAGAAGATGAAGTTAGACCAATGTTTCCAATTGCGCCTCTTCGAGCAGGACTGCGAGAAGATGTTCGATTGGATATGTCACAACAGAGAGGCATTTCTAGCGAATTACGTCGAAATCGGCCGCTCGTACCAGCTAGCTAAGAACCTCCAGGAGGAGCACAAGCACTTCACCATGAGCTCCATGAACGTCTACGTAAACATCAATAAAATCCTGACGATGGCGGGCAGGCTGTTGGAGACGCAGCATTACGCAGCCGGCCACGTTCGTGCCGTAGCCGGTAGATTGGATCGAGCTTGGAAGGAGTTCGCAGCTGGCCTCGACGAGCGCACCGCCGTTTTAGGGCTGAGCGTGATGTTCCACCACAAAGCCGAGCAGTACGTGGACAGCGTTTCCGGGTGGAGCCAAGCCTGCGACTCCACGAGTCTACCGAACGAAATCGCCGTGCTGGAATCCCACATCAGGCAACACCAAACCCTCTATGAGGCTATGTGTCAGGCGTACACCGAGGTAAAGTGACATCGGTTACGTTTCCATCCTTCCAAAGATCTTCTCCCTAAGCGAACGGCCGATGATCAGTTCCGTCCGGGCGAGAGATCGATTACCTTACGATAAGAAAATGGTATTTGGCAGGTGTACAACGCCTACCAGGCACTCTTGAGCGGACTGGGCTCCATGCTGCAAGTTTGCCACAGTCCGAGCGGAGTCGGCAGCACGACGGGCAACCCTGTCTCAGCGGATCTATATCGCACCGATTATGTACGGGATATATTTCGTATTTTTAAGCGGTTCCTGCCCTGGGTGGTTGAATGCTGGAATGCTCGATGCCTGGGTCTTAAGGATACCCTCGACTAACTTCACGGCGAAGACCCTTTACTCGTTTCAGGGTTGGCGTTGCTAACGATGGGTGTCGGACGATCTGGCTTCGATTCCTTCGCTTCCGGTCGTCCTCGAAACCGTCGTTACTTCAAATCGAAGAAACCTAGATCGTGTCACGGAAACCGATCGTATCGGAAGATGCGGAAGCGAAGGCGTCGAATCACCTTGTAATAAACTTGTACAGTATTTTATCGAGGCCTCGTCTTGATAGCGACATACTTTCCCACCGGTTCACCGATTCTGTCGAGTCGGTGGCACCGGAGGGAATAAATCCGTCTCTTCCTGCCTAGTACGAAAACACTAATAATCGGGTTTGGCTGATACCGTTGTTTAGGTACACAGTACCAGTAAGAAGCTTCTTTACCAACTGGATCATCTGGTGCAAGTCTGTAATCAACCCCAGGGGATTGACCACGCCGCAAGAAAACACGTATGTCCATCCGTCCGACCGCCCTTTCCTACCTGAGTGCGTTGACCTTGAACCTGCACGTTGCCTTCGCTCCGACCTCGACCCTCGTAGGTTTCCTCGTAGGATCCCCCGCCGACGACGGAGTCGGCCCGGCCGCGGTTCCTCGAGGCTTCGGCCGGGTCCGTCTCCAGGCTCCCGGTCCCTAAACAAGTACTCGCTTTGGCTCATGCGGCTCTGTCCTTTCTTCGTATATCGTCTAACCGACCCGGTACGGGGTGCACGCATGTTAACCGTAAAAAGGAGGAAGGGAAAGGTACCGTCAACTTTGCACGCCCTAGACGTGGAAGGATATCGTGAAGGGCCGCGAGGCCGACGGTGCCCGGGATGCGTTTAAATGCCCCACGAGTGCCTAGACACGCCTAGAGGTGCATAGAAATGCATAGAAATGGATTGGCTTGTCCCTGGATAGAGTCAAGAGGGACACGGAATGGACGGCGGCCGCGGCAGTGGCGGAGGAATGAGCGGGAACCCGGCTGCGGATTACAGCGAAGGAGCCTCTCATGTCTTGGCCGTCATTCACCGAATTCTCGGCCATCACCGAGCCCTCGAAGCTCGCTGGCATGCCCGTAAAGTCAAGCTTCATCAGCGTCTCGCTTTGAGGTATAAGGCACGATATATCCTTGTGTGCCCTTTTAAACTTTTTATTAACTCGTAAACGCCAAGTTTTACCCCGTGTATCTCTACCGCGATATCTGTGTCGTGCCCCGATTTCATGTTTTAGTTTTGTCGTTGCCTGAACTCCAACGAAACACCGATTCACTCTCCTCGAGATACGCCTAGGACATTCCACCTTGGCTTGGGACTCGTCCGACCGTTCCGAGCGTTTCACATAATTTGATTAGATTCGTTGAAGAAGGAAATACCGTCCTTTTCGCGAAAGAAAGTCGTTGCGTTTCGAGGCGCGTTCGAGAGGCGTGCCCGTCGGTGCCCCGACTCGGGGTGGAGTGGCCCGAGTACGTCTCTTTGGGTCTTCGCGAAGACTCTTTCGCGAGCGCACCATGGTACTCGCACGATGTTCATAATTATCTGTCCGCCCCCCGTCCGCTCCACTCGGATGATTTAAGGCACTCTCGAAAGCGTTGGCGGATCGACATTTTTCTCCTACCGAAATAATTATATTTTCAGGCTCTTCCAGGAGGACGTGAAGCAAGTGCTCGATTGGCTGACCAATCACGGCGAGGTCTTCATAAGGAAAAACACCGGCGTCGGTCGGAACCTCCAAAAAGCCAGGGTCTATCAGAAGAGCCACGAGCACTTCGAGAACGTCGCCCAGAACACGTATACGAACGCGACGAAGCTGTTAACGGCCGCCGAAGAGCTCGCCCATACCGGCGAGTGCGCCGCCGATGAGATCTACGCCGTGGCTCAGGAACTGGAAGCTCACGTGAGCAGTTTCGCTGCCAGGGTGGAACAGCGTCGTCGCAGGTTGGACTTGGCGGTCGTGTTTTACACCCACGAGAAAGAGGTCCGCTAGGATGAGTCCGTCTTGCTGTAATTAAACGTGCAGCCGTGTATTTCACTAGGTCCAAGTACAAACGTGTATTTCCAGCTGAGCGGATGGGTCGACGAGTTGCGGCAAGAGTTGCAGCAGGACGAGGTCGCCGAAAGCCTGGACACCGCCGAGAGATTGTTGGATCAGTGCACTCAGCACCGAGCTTCTTGCCACGAGGCTTGCGCCTCGACCATCGCTCAGGGGGAAGCTTTGCTCCAGGAGCTGAGGGACTCGAACGACGGCCCGGACACGACCGGATCTGTAAGTAACGATTTCTATCCGTCTTTTCGTTCCAGCGATCCGGAGACTGTCGATTGATCCGAATGTATCTGGTTCGGTCGACGAAGGTTTCCGCAGTGGAGGCGGCTCTGGACCGATTGGCGGGTCTTCGCCAAGAACTCGAAGACCTTTGGGCGACCAGAAAGCTGAGGCTGGAACTATGTCTGCGGTTGCGCGTCTTCGAAAGAGACGCCTTGGAAGCAAGCGGCCAGCTGGAGATGTGGGCCCAGGAGTTGCAGGGTTCACCTCGGGAAGGCTCCCCGGAGCAACTGCTCCGCGTGCACAACGATGGGGTCGCCCATATGCAGAACACGGCTTTCCAGGTCCTGCAGCAGGGACAAGAGCTGGCCCAGGTATCGACGGTCTCTTCCGCTTAAGACGTTGAAAAGGAAAAACGGCATCGACTCTCGTTTTATCTCGTGATCCCGTGATCAGGTGTTGGAGCAAGCCGGCGTGTGCATCATGGCCGATGGACAGCACAGCGCCACGGCCAGAGTCCAGGTTCTCCTCGAGTTTCTGAACGAACGGGAGATGGATGCAGAGGATCTTGCGGAAATGCGGCGCGTAAGACTCGAGCAGGCCGCTCAGTTGGTCCAGCTGCAGTCGGATGCGACTCACGTGGCCAACTGGATCAGAAACGGCGAGGCGATGCTCCTGGCTTCGCTCAGAGTTCCCGAGAATCTGCAAGACGCCGAGCAGCTACGTCTGGAACACGAACAATTCCAAGTGGCCATAGAGAAGACGCACACTTCCGCCGTGCAGGTAATCATTCTTCTGACGAATTCTCTCGGTCGGGTAGATCTCTTTCAAGAAGCAGATCATAGAAAGAGACCGATTGAAAAATTTTTCCTTGACCCTAGGTAAAACACAGGGCGGATGCTCTCGTCAGCGCGAATCACTACGACCCTAAGAGTATACGCGACGTTGCCGAGGACGTTACAAAGCGGTGGCAGCAGCTGGTAACGTGCGCCGAGGAACGGCACAAATTGGTCACGGCTAGCATCAATTTCTACAAAACCGCCGAGCAAGTGCGCTCCGTTTTGGACAGCCTAGAAAGAGAATACAAGCGAGACGAGGACTGGTGCGCCAGCGGTGAAAAGGGCGGACAGGTCCCGACTCTCGTAGGGAAGCACCAGGAGCAGAAGGAGGCCTTCTTGAAGGCCTGCACCTTGGTGCGGAGGACTGCCGAGACCTTCCTGAAATACACGAATCGGAGTCTTCAGTTCTACAGCTACCAGACGAGCAACGCCGGCTCGGAGAACAAAGTCAAAAGTGGGTACTTCCAGCCGGTTCGGCGCTCGTTGATAATTTCTCGAGATTCGTTCACTCCATCAAACGCTAGTTGTTTCTCTTGTTGTCGGGTTGCAGATATTTTGGAGGAGTTGTTGAGCAAGGAGAACAAGGTACTCGAGTATTGGACTCAGCGAAAGAGACGGTTGGATCAGTGCCACCAGTATGTCCTTTTCGAACGTACCGCCAAGCAAGCCTTGGAGTGGATCAGGGAAACCGGGGAATTGTACTTGGCTACTCATACTAACGTCGGAAAAAATCGGATGGAAAACGAGCACCTTCTTCGGGAACACAACGAGTTCAAGGGAGCGGCTAAGGTACGTTCGTCGATGAGTGTAGGGAGGCAAATCGATTTAAGGTTCTCGCGGTTTTGTTTTCTTTTTTGAGCCGTTAATCATTTTGAGCACTAAGGGTTCACAATTGGTTTATAAGAGACGATTTTCCGTTTCCTATCCTTGGAGCATTCCTTTGATCTCTCTTTGAAAACCCTCACGCGTCGATCGTTGCTTTCGACTTCGATGGACGAGAAGTCGTAAGCTCTAAAGAGAACAACCCACGTCACCGGGTTGCACAATCCTAGGAGTGTAAGAACCTCTGCCAAATGGCACCAAATCGTTGGACTGTTACAATTATATTCACGTAGCTTCGTAGTACGATGGTTGTGAACTCTGGCGGTAGATAACACTAGGAAAAAAATTGCTAACCGAACGAAACCTTATTGGTGAAAGAAATTAACGTATCCAAATGATTCTTGTAACCTGGTATTTTCGAGGGAAGAATCGATTTGCATCATTAGGCTCCTCCCGTTTATTAAGTTACCTGTTGAGCTTTTCGTCGAGTCTTTTCGAACGAATGTTAAACATTTGACACGACGACAGGAAACTCGAGACCGAGTGAAGCTGCTCATTCAGCTGGCCGATAATCTTGTCGAAAAGGGGCATGCTCATGCCGCAGCCATCAAGCAATCCGTTGCCGAGGTGGACCAACGATACAAAGATTTCAGCATGCGAATGGACAATTACAAGACGCAGATCGAGGATGATCTTGGTATCCAATCCGACGAAGTACATAAAGACTTGTCGATTGATCGTAATTCCGATCCTCTCCTCGAAGAGAAAATCAAAGGGAAAGATCTGAAAGAGCTAAACGAGGAGAAACGGAGATCCGCACGTAGGAAAGAGTAAGTTCCCTGATAGTAGATGGTAACTTCTGGCGTGTCTCTACTTATTCTAATTAAAACAATATTTCAACTTTCCAGGTTCATTATGGCTGAATTGCTGCAAACCGAGCGCACCTACGTGAAGGACCTGGAAACTTGCATCCGTTGTTTCCTCGAGGAGACTCGAAACGGAAAGGCTGCCGTTCCACAAGGACTGCAAGGACGCGAATCTGTCATTTTCAGCAACATGGAAGAGATCCATCGGTTTCATTGCGATACCTTCCTACGCGAGCTGGAAAAATACGAGACTATGCCCGAGGATGTTGGACACTGTTTCGTCACCTGGGTGAGAGATTAGGCGCTACCATTCGAGATACCTTGTTAGTCGAATCGTAAATCAGATAAAAATGTCCGTGCGTTGCATTTTAGGCCGTTAAATTCGACATGTACGTCACTTACTGCAAGAACAAACCCGAGAGCAATCAATTACTGGTTGCTCATGGTGGCACTTGGTTCGAAGAGCTGCAGCGAAGACACAGAGTCGAGCATCCCATAGCTGCGTACTTAATCAAACCCGTTCAAAGGATCACGAAGTATCAACTCTTGCTCAAGGATCTTCAGGTACTTAAAGAGAGAGCGTTCAAGCAGTCCCGAATTTCTTTAGATGCGTCATAAGAGAAAAGTCGTTTAACTTGGAAATATTTCCTACTTTGCGATCAGGCCTGCTGCCAAGAAGGGCAGGGTGAAATCAAGGACGGATTGGAAGTGATGCTGAATGTGCCTAAGAAAGCAAACGATGCCTTACACTTGAGCCTCCTCGAAGGCTGCGACGTCAGGATAGATACCCTAGGGGACGTGGTTCTCCAAGACTCCTTCACGGTCTGGGACCCTAAACAGCTAATAAGAAAAGGCAGGGATCGACACATATTCCTCTTCGAGCTATACCTCCTCTTCAGTAAAGAAGTAAAGGATTCCGCTGGCAAGGTGCGTGCTCGCCTCGCATTGGGTCATCCCGTAACCGAACGTAAATCCGCCTTGCCCTAACAAATCCAATGCTCGTTAATTTTCCTATTCGTTTCTTCCCGGTCGATCCAACCAGGTGAAATACATCTACAAGAGCCGTTTGATGACCTCGGAGCTCGGGGTCACGGAACACATCGAAGGAGACGAATGCAAATTCGCGGTCTGGACCGGGCGAGCACCCACGGGAGACACGCGCGTCGTTCTAAGGGCCAACTCTTTGGAGGCGAAACAACTCTGGGTCAAGAGACTCCGCGAGGTCATTCAGGAAACTTATTTCAGTTTGAGTATGCCGAAGAGCCCCGCGAAGAAGAGCTCCAGTCAGCGATCGAGCCGCGACCTGGAGGAGTGCACGTCGCTGGACGACAGCGTGGAGAACCTCGACAGGAACTCCCTGGCCTCGTTCGGATCCACCAACACCACGGATTCGGATAAGGTAAACGATCTTTAAGATAAACCTCCAGAAAAAAAAAATATTAAACGTGCTCGTCGAGTGCGTAGATTTATGGGCGCGAGGTGCATCGGAACGTCCACCTCTAAAAATCTGCCGATGGCAAAATGGACGCGCTACCGGATACGTGTGCCCGCGATTACCTACGCGAATTCCCTTAAACCTCGAGTTATTCCTCCACCCGTCATTATAAATCGCTCATCCTCGAGGCAACGAGTCTCATCTCGAGTTACCAACAACGCGGTACAACTTTTATATCTCCTAAAAACTAGAAAAGTCGGGATGTCGATCGTCCGAATTAGGAGCGATTGGTCGCGTCGCTAGAATCCTCCTCGAGTGATTGCTCGACAAGGAGAACGGTATGAAATTCCGGGAGAAGGAGAACTCGAAACCCGTAAAGCCGTCCTGTTGCCGGAGGTCGGGGGGACGCCTCCAAGGAGTCCTCGCTGAACGCGGAGGCTAAGGACCGTCATCGATTCGGTCCGAAGCGTCCCTTGATCGGCGCGTAGTCGCGCAGAGGTCAGTGGCGCAGGGTCGATTTTTCGGAGCAGACGCTCGAGTGCTCGCGAGTCCTTCGCGAGCGCAGCGTCCGCAGGGCGCAGGCGTTGCACATGTTGCCGTTGATGCCCTTGTCGACGGACGGGCGGATTAACCTTGTACGTTAATAACTGGGATGGCGACCCCTCCTAAAAGTTGACCGGAGGCCTCGAGACGACCGCCGTCCGTCGATACCGAACGGCAAGGTTCCTCGATCCCCGAGAGTCCGGTCCCGTAAACCACTCGCACCCGTAGCTTCCTTGGCCGAGTCGACCGTACCCCTTGGCAGGCCACGGGGGAAGGATTGAAGCTCGCGAGGGGCGTAACGTAGGGGGTCGCCGAAGGAGGCGCAGGCGTCGGGTGGCGTCGCGCGCCGTCGACAGAGGGACAAGGAGACGGAGAGAGAGAAAGAGAGAGAGCGCCTCCACCGCGAAGGCGCGCGACAGAGACGGGCTCGCTCGGTCACGGGAATATCCCCGGCGAGGCCGGCCCCTCGGGGTGGCGCATCGAGGCTGCGGACCCGAGGACCAGTACGGAGCCGACTCTCGGGTCGGCCGGGCTCCAGGCGTTCTCCAGTCCGGGCTCGCGCCAGAGGATGGTCGCTCCGCCGCGCCTCCGCCCCGAGGTCGGCGCCGACTGAGGCATCGAAAGGCATCGAGAGTCATCGAGAGGACACGGCCGAGAGGCCTCGAAGCAGGCCCCGATGTCGTCCCCGGCCGGCAAGCCGGCGACGATCGTGCAAAAGACCCGTAGGAAGATCTCGCTGCCCTGGTTCCGACAGACGTCCGTTGCCCCGCCGCATCACGCCCTGGCCAGGCAGCACACCATCGACACCCCTGGCTCCTTCCACGCCAGGCTCAAGAGGCAACCCTCCCTGGCGCAGGTACCTTCGGGGCTCGAGGCCCCGCGCGGTCAGATCGAACTCGGACCTACCCCAACCGTGAGTCGACGAGGGTCGACGCGGAACCGAGCCCCGATCGATCGGCGATCGTCTCTCGGTCCGGCGTAGGGGGCGAGTGCCCTCTTGGCCCGGTTTACGTCGGCCGGACTTGACCCCGGACTCGGGTCGTTCGATCGATTCCCACGCTTCGTCCACCCTCGGGCCTCGGTGGTTCACCGGATGAATCGACGCTTCCGGGCCTGCCGCGCGTCCGGATCGGATGGGATTCGTTTCTCCCCTCGCGCAGCCAGGTTCGGCGGCTCGCATGGACCGTGACCCAAACCCGAGCGATCGCGCTCGCTTCCCTTCTATATTTGATTCCCCTAGGAGGCGGACCGAGCTCGAGCCCATCGGGGCGGCACTAAATCCCCTAGCCGCTCCGCCGGGCCGCGAAATTCAAAGGCGGCGGTAGGTCGCGGGCTTTCAAAAAACCCAAAGCGTCGTCTCTCTTTCTCTATAAATACGTTCCCGCGTCCGTCTCCTTCCTCGACGGCAAGAATGCGCGGAATCGATCGGGTCCCGGTCGACCCGGACGATTCCGGATCGCCACCGGACGGTCACCGGCCCCTTGTCGTTGCAGACCGGAGTAGCGGAGATGACGTGGGTGGTGGCGGACCACTCGGCGACCCCGGGCACACGGGAGCTCACGGTGACCAAGGGCCAGCAGGTGGAGGTGCTGGAGAACGGCGGCAGCTCGACGTCGGCCGAGTGGACCTTGGTGCGCCTTCCGGGCCAGGCCGATCCCCCCGCGGAGGGCCTGGTGCCCACCAGCGCCCTCAAGCAGCCCCCGGCGCCCTCCTGCAGGACTTCGCCCTCGAGGAAGGCGCCCTCGCAGACCTCCAACGCCGCGGCTTCGGTCTCCGCCTCGGCGACCGCCGAGGACATCGGTAAGCACCGTCCCTCTTCCGCCGGGAAGCCGGCGGAGACGTCGACCTCGACCTCTCGCGTCTCCGGGCCTCGACTTCGATCGGCTCGGACGCGCACACCTACGTTCCTCGTTCGGTCTAAAAATACGGATGCGGTCTGTCGACCTCGCGATGCATCCGAGGTGGTCCGAGGGAGGGAGGGAACCGTTCCTCCCAAAGTCCTCGGATCGTTGCCGCGTATCTCGTCGTCGGGAGAGGCTCCCGGAATCGCCTATTTTTAAAGCGGTCACCAAATCCGGACAAACTCGAGCGGCGCCCATTTCCGGGGCCGGTCTCGCGGAACGCGGATCTCCGATAATCCGAGGGGCCGGGGTCGCGGGTCGCCGAGCTCGCCTCCGGGTTAATATCCACCGGACGACTCGCTTCGCGTTACAGAGACCCTGGGCAGCGACGGAAGCGGATCGGCCGGCACCAGCTCCCCCGGGAACAAGAGGCGCGGCTTCGCCGGGTAAGTCGGAGTCGAGGACTCCCGCTCGCTTACGTGGCACTCCGTTCTTGGCACGCGCGTCTCCCGATCCCCCGCATCCGCTCGGCCGCGGCCGCGGTCGCGGCCGCGCGCGAGACGAGTGTTAATCGCGCGGCCGGTTGCGGCGCGGTTTGCTCGCGGTCGCGAAGTCGCTCCCGAAGCCGTTCCCGAAGCCGTTCCCGAAGCGGTGCGAATCGGTTTCCGGGATCTCGAGAGGGGAGGACGGGCGGCGCGTGGGCCGGTTCCAATTTCCGCGTCGATGCCGTCGATCCGTGGGTCGGGCGCGCAGGTGTCCGGCTGACAGTCCCGGTCGGGCCGTGCTCGCAGGAGGAAATGGCTGCCGCCGCCTCTCCGGAAGCTCAGTCAAGGCAAGGTCGAGAAGGCCCCGGCCGCCGCGAAGAAGGCCGCCTCGGAGAAGAGGTTCGAGCTGCCCGCCGCCGATAAGAACACGCGGCCGCCCTCCGAGGGCGAGGAGGAGGAGGAGGAGCCCTACGAGGAGGAGGCCGAGGAACCCGAGGACCTCGAGCGACCGGCCTTCCTCGAGCAGAACGGCGGCGAGGACGCCGAGGACGATCTCGAGTTGCCGCCGCCCATGAAGCCCATCACCGAGCCCATCCTCAACGTGCAGACGGCGAACGCCCAGCCCGGCTCGGCCATCCCCGACCAGTTGCCCGGCAAACGGGTTAGTCCGCCTCCGTCGAGTGTACGCCTTATCTCCGATAAGGACGGAGCGAGCGCTCTAATCTCGCCGGCGGCGATTCGGTACGCCGATGACGCGTCCCGCCGCTCGGCGTCGCGTCGACTCCCGGCCGCGCCAGTGACCCTTTTTCCTCGTTCGGCAGGTGTCGGAGCGCTCCATCGAGACGTTGGACGGCGGCGCGAGTGCCGACCTCGCGGAAATCGAGCGGATCGTCAAGGAGAGAATGGTAAGAGTCCCGAGAGCTCGGCGAGTCCCCGGGAGTCCCTAACGACGATCTTCTCCCCCTCCCAGGAACAGCACTCGGAGAACCGGGAGAGGCAGAGCCTACTGCGCGCCTCCGGACGGCCCCCGCCGCCGCCCCCGTTGCCTCCGCCGCTGCCGCCCGCAGTCGACGACGGGACCGCTTCCGGTTCCGCGGCGAGCGGAGTCCCGGACGGCTCGACCGACCCGGAGGCGGCAGCCCTGGCCAAGCGGCGCTTCGTCGTCAGGGAACTCGTTGACACCGAGCGGGACTACGTCAACGACCTTCGCCAGATCGTCGAGGGCTACATGGCGCTGATGAGGGACCCGGAGACGGACGTCGTTCTCCCGGAGGACCTCCGAGGCGGCAAGGACAAGATGGTCTTCGGCAACGTCGAGGCCATCTACGAATGGCACCGAGAGTAAGTCGTTAGGGCAACGCAGTCGACGCTCGAGAACCGTCCGAACGCTTTCCGACTTATTCGGCTTCGCAGCTTCTTCCTGAAGGCGCTGGAACGTTGCCTGGAGCGGCCGGAGGAATTGGGGCCCCTGTTCAAGAGGTACGAGAGGAAGCTGCACATGTACGTTGTCTACTGCCAGAACAAGCCCGTGTCCGAGTACATCGTGTCCGAGTACATAGACACGTACTTCGAGGTGAGCGCGGGAGAGAGTCTTTGCTTCGTTCGGTTAGGGCCTAAAGTGTGGACCATGGTGATCGAGACGAAACGCGGTTCCAGGATATCAGGCAGAAGCTCGGCCACCGGCTGCAACTGTGCGACCTGTTGATCAAGCCGGTCCAAAGAATCACCAAGTACCAGCTGCTCCTCCGCGAGGCTCTGCGGCTGACGGAGCGCACCCAGAGGATATCGGAAATCGAAGGGCTGCGGGCCGCGGTCCACGTGATGAGAGTCATCCCCAAGGCAGCCAACGACATGATGGACGTGGGCAGACTTCAGGGTTTTGACGTGAGTTTCTTTTTGCTCCTACTCCCGGTATCTTATTTCGCGCCTCCTGCCGACGTGCTCCTTCGGTACAAGATGCGAGGAAACGCGTAATTTCCTCTTTCAGGGAAAAATAACCGCACAGGGTAAGCTTCTGCTGCACGGTCCGCTTCTCGTCGCCGAGGTAGCCAACGTGCCAACCCGCGGCAGAGAGTGGCAGGTCTTTCTCTTCGAGCAGAACGTCATATTCAGCGAAGCGGTCGGGAAAAAGACTCAGTTTACCAGTCCTGCCTACATATACAAGGCTCACATTCAGGTAAATCGCTACTCGGTCCTTACCTCCCTCGTCCTACGTGCTCCCCGGGAAGATGCTCCTTCCGAGTTTACCTCTCCGGTCCCCCTTCGAGAACGTCGTTCGAGTCGGTCGGTCTGACTCGTCGTCGTATGTCCAGGTGAACAAAATGAGCCTGGAGGACTCCGCGGACGATCCGGAGAAGTTCGTCATCCGGTCGACGGATCCCCGGAAACCCGGTCTAGGATTCTCCTGCGCTGCGGTAGAGGACGGCGGTCCTCGGAGGCAGGAATGGGTGGATACCATCACTGCCATCCTGCAGACGCAGCGCGACTTTCTCAAGGCCATACAGTCCCCCATTGCCTACCAAAAGGAACTTACCAAAGACCCACTGTAAGCGTCTCTCTACCACTGACTTTACACCGGTCGCTCCTCTCGCTCCTATCGCGCGAGACCCGCAAGACGGACACGGGCACGGACACACGGATACATACGCCTCTCGACCTGTGAATATATTTGTTCCGGCATATTTTTATATATTTTATAAAGGACACGATAACCGCGCGCTGTAACCTAGACGTTAACGGTAGCCGCGCCTTCCCCGCGTCCGTCCCGCTCCTCGATTTCTGGCCCGACGCGTCCCGGTAGAAACGTTCCAAGCTCTGTCCGTCTGACCGTTTGCGTCCGCGTTTCGCCCCGCGTCCAGCGCGACCCCCCGGCCTTCCCCGAGGACGCGGTCTCGGTTGGTCCCCGTAGAGCTTGTAAGAAGAGGCAAAACGGAAAAGCCATCGGCTCTACGAAGGAACGGTTCCTACAAGCTCTATGGCCGGTCCCTTTGAACGTATCCTCGATCTCTTTCCAACTTAGCGATTACTCGACTATTTACCGTCGCTCTTTCGCTCTCTCTCTCTATCTCTTGGCTCTTTCTCCCTCTCTATTTCTATCCCTATCTCTGTCGCCACTCCAAAGCCTGTATAGTGCGTGCTAATCCGTTCCAGTATATACAAGGGCACCCGCCGAGGAAGTACGGTATTAATGTTATTGACGATACGAGGAGAAGAGAAAGAACAAAAACAAACCTGTACGATATATTTATAGTAATTTTAATAACATTTATATAATGCGGCCACACTCGAGAGCTACAGGCTACAGTGTATGTACATACGAACACGTATTACTGGAAGATACTTCTATGCTATTAATGATATCGACTCGTGAGAGCGTAACATCCTTGTCCTAGAATAAATCGTAAGTCGATCAGGAGACCGATGGTGTTGTCCATGCGTGTGCCGCCCCCGACTAACCGCTCTTTTATCGTTTCTCTTCCCGTATTCCAACTAACCGGACGCCTCACCGGCCGCATCCGAGTCGCTCGTTGCAGTCTGCAGAGACGGGGCCAACGTCCTGAGGATAACCCTGAGGAGGCTGGTGTACGCTCCGTAGGTCTCGCGATCGGCGCCACCGAGCGAACCGCTAGCTAACCTGCCGGAGTCGTCGACTCGTATCTTTTTCCCTTTTTTTCATTTCGTTTCGCCTAGTTCCCTTTCCCCTTTTTAACGGGCGAGGATCGAAACGTTTTCCCGCTCCCTCTGGTGTTGGGCAGCCTCGAGCTTCGTCCTCCGGTCCCTTTGCTTCCGTTCCTGGGGGATCTCGCGACCGACTTCTCTGTCCACGCTCTCGCTGACGCAGGGGGAAACGGAAACGAGGGCGTAGAGTCGCGCAATTTTGGGATACGAGACCAGGTAAGGCTCTCGGCATCCGCTCGAGAGGCCCCGGGATGCGGCGGATATTCGGAAGCGGCGAGAGTCCCCGCCGAGATGCGGAATATCCCCGCATCGCTGGGCCAAGGCGACCCCTCGACCGGGAAATGTATGATTTGCTGGCGTGCAGCCTCGGCCGGAGCGCCTCCTCGGACGACGCGGGACAGCGGGCGGCCCGGGTGCCCTGCCCGCCCTGCGACCTGCCCGCCAAGGCCCTCACCAAGGACAAGGCCGAGTCCAGGAGGAAGGCGGACTCCTCGGGGACGACCAGGACCCCCAGCCCGACCAAGAGCAGGCTCAACTTCCTCGAGGGGTTCCGCAACACCCTGAGGGCCCGCTCGCCTGTCCGCCCGAACCCCACCCCGGTGAGAGGCATCCGCGTCCGTGTCGCGAACCCCTCGGCTCCATAAGAGCGCCCTCGCTGACGACGATTTCTTCAGGTCGCGCCGGGCGCCAGGGTCCGACTGGCGGCGGACTGGGGCAAGCTGCACGCCGGGGACGAGCTCGTGGTCTCCCACCTGGACGGACCGGGCCTGATAGTCTCGCCGGTCGACGCCAAGGAGGAGCTCTGGATCCCGGCGAGCCTCGTCCCGAATTCCTCGACGAGCAGGGCCTGGTCCTTCCGGCCCAGGAAGGCCAACGCCTCGAGGAGCCTGGCCGCCTCGGAGAAGCTGCCCCCGGAGGTGACGGGCGGTGCCTCCTCCCCGATCAAGGTGGCGGCCGGCGAGGTCGCGCGGCTCACCCTCGAGGCCAGAAGGACCGACGGGGCCTCGGTGTCCTGGTGGAAGGAAGGCGAAGCCGGCTCTTGGTACGTGAAGGAGGACGAGCGGCACCGGTCGCGGCAGAACGCCGGCGGGATCGTCTACCTCGAGATCTCCAGGTGCCGACCCTCGGACTCGGGCACCTACCGCTGCGACCTGCGGACAGAGAACGGAGCCTGCTCTGCCACCGTCGCTCTCGACGTCACGGGTAACTACCATCCAGCGGTCGACCCCGTCGACCCTAGCGATCGGCATAACCGGCGAGCCTTCTTCCTCGGCAGGAGCGAGCGGCACCACCTGGGCGCGTGTCCTGGGCTCGGACAGGGTCGAGGTCGACTGGGAGCCGGGGGACGTGCCCGGGCCCTGCACGGTGGAGCGCCGGACCGTGCCCTCGGCCAACTGGCAGGTGGCGGCCGAGAGGGTGGCCGGCCCGCCGGTGGTGCTGCGGCTGTCCCCGGGCGCCTCCTACAGCTTCAGGGCCGTCAGTCGAGACGGCAGCGCCAGCTCTCCCTCGACCGTCGTCGCGCTGCCCCTAGACGACGGCACCGGCTGGGAGGCCGAGCAGTTCGTCGGCCGCTACCTCGAGCTGGACGAGCTAGGCAGGGGCCGGTTCGCGGTGGTCCGCAGGGCCAGGGACCGCGGCACCGGCCAGGAGGTCGCCCTCAAGCAGACGCCCCGGCACAAGCAATCCCGGGCCTCGACCAGGGCCGAGTACGAGCTGCTGGCCTCGACCCATCACGCCAACGTCGTCAGGGCGTTCGCCCTCTTCGAGAACGCGCCGCAGCCCGGCGTCGACACCATCGTCCTAGAACTGTAAGTACCCGCTCCGCCCCGCCCCACCTCGTCCCGTCGCTGACTCGGCCCGTCGTCGCCTCCGCAGAGTCCGGGGACCCACCCTGTTCGGGCACTTGAGCGGCCAGACCGACTACACCGAGGCCACGGCCAGCAAGTACGCGAGCCAGCTACTCTCCGCCCTGCAGTGGCTGCATCGCCGCGCCACCCCACACCTCGACGTCAAGCCCGAGAACGTGCTGGTCGACCGGGAGACCGGCGTAGTCAAGCTCGTCGACTTCGGGGACGCGGTCACCGTGCCGAGCGGCAACGAGGTCCGCCCTCCTGCCGATCTGGAGTTCGCCGCCCCGGAGCTGGTGCTCGGCAGGCCGGCCGGCGCCTACACCGACATCTGGGCCGCCGGCGTCTTCGTTTACGTACTCCTCAGGTGGGTACCCTTTCGCTTTCGGATGCGATCCTCTCGGTCCCGGACCTGACGTCGCCGTTCGCTTCCAGCGGTCTCTCGCCCTTCCTGGACGACTCGGTCGAGGAGACCACGTCCAACATTCTCAACTGCGACTTCTGCTTCCTGGACGAGTACTTCGAGGGCGTGTCGGAGGACGCGAAGGAGCTCCTCGGCAGGATGCTGCTCCTCCCGGCGGAGTGGCGGGTCGACGCGGAGACTTGTCTGTCCTCGCCGTGGTTCAAGGTGAGTCGGGCTTTCCGGGGGTGGCCTCGTCCTCGGGGAGACATGCTCACGGTGGCTTCCACGTTGCAGGTGCAGCGAGGCGCCACCATTCCGTCCGGCAGGATGGCGGCCTTCATGGAACGTCGGGCCCAACGCTCCAAGTCGCACCGGGACCACGAGACCTACTATTCCTGAGGATCGTCCTCTTCTCCTCGACTTTCCTCGAGTCGACGACCCATGGAGACGTGCCCGAGGGGAATCGTCCGTCCTTCCTTTTTTATAGACACGTGGATGCATATGAAATATTACACGATTCGTAAATCCCGACTTTTTTTTCCATCCGGTGCCGTGGCTCCCGCGGTTTCCCTTCCCAGCCGAGTGTGTCCGGTCCAACGTCCAAAGATGGCGGTAACGTCGTCTCGAGCGAAAATTCGGCCGACTCGTTGACCTCGGAAGACCTATAGGTTGTCTGCCTTGTCGACGAGCCGATACGTCCGCTGTTGTTTCGATCAGTTGCCGGTAATCCGCGAATCGATTCAGTGACGGTCCAATTATTTGGAAGAGATCAAAGGTAAGCCTTTTGAATAAATCCATGGGGAGACTCTCGATCGCGATATATTTGCCCTCGTTCTGGGTTACGTCTTACGGTAAATACAAACTGTTTTGGAATATGTCGAAGTAGTTTCACCCATGCTTGGCTCGGTTGGGTGTCTGGAGGGGCGCTATCGGATTCGTGGATAATATCAATTCTAAGAAAATATGAAAGGCACTAATAATGACGATCCCGACCGGTCGGTGAACGCTGGTAAACTATAACTAAATTAAAGATCGTCCTCGTAATACTGTGCGTTAAAGAAAGCTTATGTCGCGGTTCGGCATTCGACTAGAGTACAGTCTTCTATCTCTTCGATCGCTTCCTTCGTTCCTTCGTTTACGCAAGATCGTTGAAATTAAATCGCCTGTAGTCTCCTACATATTTACACGTACAATTCCAAATACTCGTCCTTTCCTAAGTTTACGTCGAAAGGATACCTCCCAAGCATGAAGAAAGTTGTGGGAAAAGGTCTTTCTGGTGTTACGATTTCTGCGTACCATGTGGTAAAGCAATGTCGAATACGATTGGAGGATTACTTGGTAAATAATTCAAGTCACAAGTTGAGGCGTTTACGAATATTATCTTTCCATCCGATGATATTCCGTAGCCTGAAACCAAAAGACAATAAATAGCTGGCTATCGTAATAGAATTGTTACCGATCGATTTACCTTCGTGTATGTGACCGAACACGTGATATTTTGGTTCGACACGATTTTGCACGGTTGACAGTAATTCCACGCACCCAGCTCTGACTCCGCTGCAACATAGATCTCCGTGACCAACCGGAGGCGTATGGGTGACCAATATATCGGTGTCCGAAGGAATCATATCCCACTTGGACAAGCACGGCTCTCCTCGGGGAACGTTAAAAGCCCACTTGCAGAATTCCGGTTGCCTGGAACATACGACTTAAACCCATTATCCTTCGAGAACTTTGCCAAGAAACGCATATATTTACCATGGTGTTCCATAAATTTTAATCCCATGGAGAATAATTTCGGAATCTTCTAAATAAATGCAATTGGTTAGATAATCCTTGACGTTAGTAGTTTCGATAGCTTCTGCAAGCGTAGCCTTGGACATTCCTAAGGTAGGGATCTCGTCTAATATGCGAGTTCCTGTATGTTTCTGACGCCCCGAAGACTGCGTCGAGAACGGATGAGTAAAGGTAGGATCGAAACTGAGCTCGTGATTGCCTGCTATCACGATTTTGTGTTTGTGGGATAAATTACCGATCCAGTTATTGAACTCCACCACTTCTTGGAGACTACCGCACTTTGTGAAGTCTCCGGCATGGATAAAAATATCTCCATCAGGTATATCAAACTTTATAAACGGAGTCAAGGAATGAGTGTCGCTCATACAAATTACTCGGAGCTAAAGTGCAATTAAAAACATGACTTAAGTAACGGCAACGAGCGGCCTACGTTAAGATCGGTGCCGCATACCTTATCACTTGGAGGACCTCCAGTCGGAGGCTTGACATTGATTTTAAATACTTTCTGCTGCTGTGACAGTTCTTTCCAAGCAGCGGTAGGATTACTTGTTAGAGGATGAATAGCTATCTTCATATTTCGGTATTAGTTGCCAAACTGTCAATTGCTAAGCACTTCAGGAAACTGTGGGTCTAGTGATGTTTAGGTTAACAGATCTTGTCATGTTTCAAGTCAGAAAAAATTCTGTGCAACGACTATATCACTATTGTCACGACACAATGTTTGGTCCCCACGATCCTACGATTAAAATGACATGAAATTTCGGTAAATAATTTACATTTTGTGCTAAGGATAACAATCCTGTAACCGGTACGAGCTCGAGTTCATAGCAGAGATGAGTTGGGAGATTGCTCACGGGCAGGATCGTGTGATCGCATCCTGTGCTGCCCTCTGGTTTCGTACATTAGCTTTCACCGTTTTTTGCCCCCAAGGGCGGCGCATCGAATTTCTGGTAGGGGCTCGCGCACGATGGCGATGCCATCTACCAGTCGCTGTTGGCAGCTCACGTACTCGTGATTGTAATATCATGCGGCAGTTGACGGTGGTGGCTTACCTACGCTTACTGACTGCTCGCTTTTGATGGTAAGGGAAGAACGCTCGTGACGCCCTCTTTAACTTTACCCTTCACTTACCTCATTTATTTCATCCGCAAATGGGGGGCAAAAAACGGTGAAAGCTAACGTACGAAACCAGAGGGCAACAAAACTTGCGATCGCTCAACCCTGCTCGTGAACAATCTCCCAACTGATCTCCGGCTTCATAAACTACTCTTTTAAATAGATTTTAATAACAATCGTATCTATTGATTCAAGTATAAGTAAAAACATTGCAGTATTAACATTCGGCACAATTTTATCAAAATTTTTTAATGATCATCATTGCATTATTTTTTTATGAATTTTCGTGTTCACAAGTTTTGATAGTCAACGATCATCTCAAATTTGGTTGCTAAACTACTTTGTTTAATACAAAATAATTTGCAAAATTGATGTATGCTTTTTTTTAGATATACTGAAATATATGGAACACCAGATATAATAATTTCATCGGATAAGTATTGTTCAATTATAATGTTTATAGAGTGAAATCAGCGATAATCATACCGGCAATCTTTTTGCAGATCGCGAAGAAGGAATATTTACCGCGTAAGTATTTATCGTCCGCGGAAATCCTCGACTCACGACGAATTCATTTATGATTCTCGTCGAAGTTCTTATCGAAGACGGATGTCGCGTTTCCTTACGTGAGTACTGGGCTGGGTTACATAGCGTTAAACTAGTCATTTCGGTGAAGTCAACCATCATACTGGCCACTAGACTACCGAGGAAAATACTACATAATATTACTCAACGAAAAGAGTATCAATATGTGCAAAGCGAAGAGTCTATAGAAGGAAAAACGTAAAGGAATATAAGTCTTCAGTAATAGGCTGGGATAAACAGCGTTAAACTAGTCATTTCGTTTAAGTCGACCATCATACTGGCCACTAGACTACCGAGGAAAGTACTACATAACAAGTGCAAAGAAAGTACTACATAACATAACAAGTGGAAAGTACTACTTAACGAAAAAATATCAATACGTGCACAGCGAAGGCACCTTACAGAAATAAAAAGAGAAGATAAATCTTCAGTAATGGAGGGAGAAGTACAACAAGTGGATTATCGCCAACTTTATCGGCAATCTTCGATAGAGATTCCTTTGAGGCCTTCAATTTCCTTCGATTCTGAATCCGATGAAGACGATTCAGTGCCTAGAATTGTTGGCGTACTTCCTAAGCAAACAAAAAATGTCACCACGGACGATTTTAATAAAAAGGAAACAGTTAACCGCGAGTGCATCGATAACGTGCCGAAAAATTGCGGTGGCGAAAACGCATCGACTAAGGTTGACGAAACGACTGGAAATAGTTTAGGTAATATTAAACATTTTATTTATAAACAAAGAGAAAGGTGTCTCTGCTAGAAGTCTTATGGAAGTTTTGTATTTATATATTTTTAATATATGCATATATTATAAATATATTCTTCGTAACTTGCTGGCTCAAATGAATACTCGTATTTATATTATTTATATAAATTTTCTGTGTTGTACCAAATGCGTATTATTTTCAAGGAGGAAATAGGTTTCGATTCACGATTGATGTAAGCATAGAAATTCCAGCATTGCTATTTTTACAATATCTTCCTTCCATGTTGCGTGTATTTCTTATCACACCTCTCTTTCGATTATTATTACTAGATAGTGTTAGTATTATTTACGTAAAGTCAGTTTCTATTTCGTCCTTACTATTACTACATTCCAAACATGCGTGTACGAGCCGTGTATTTTTAAACATGACGCATAATTGCGCATATTTTTAAACGTGATTAATACAATTTAATTTCCGTACTTCCATCTTTCATTCACTTTCGTAACCACTTTTCAAAGAATGTTTAAATATTAATGTTATATATTCAAGCTTTTCTTCCTAATCAGTAGGTGCGTGTTAATTTTACACGCGTATATAGGAGATATGCATTTTCGAATGCGAAAATTCAATCGATGATATATTTTATTTAATTATTGTCAATACCATATGCACTACGACTGGATCGTGACTCATTTATGGCGTATCACTCATTTAGTTAAATACATTTCTCCCACTTTTGTGTGGATTTTTCGATTTTTCGTCCATATTAAATCTCGGGGGATCATTTGCATGTGTCGGGCATCCTTAATAGTGTTGGTGGAAGATCTCACACGTATTAACACATACAAGACGCGTATTCTTAATGGTGACGTATCGCGGTCGCAGGTCTGGTAAACATGGCGTCCCCGCGTCCGAAATCTCCTCGTCCACCAATTTCGGCGAAAAAGGACGAGAAGGAGGCAGGATTTTGGGACAAAATCGGTACCTTGGGACGTAAGAAACGAATAAAGGAAGGTAATATTTATTAATACTTATTACACGTCCTAAATCGTTTATTTTTTCGGCCTCAAAGCCTCAAAAGAGTACGACTCCCTTATAAGGGTAGCTTCCTTGTGACTTGGAATTGTCAACAATGTTGCAATATAAAGTAGTTTGGAAATTATACGAATTGCATTGTGGCAAACAATTATCTCTTTAAAGAGTCTAAAAGGCAACGATTCTACTGATACGTGTTGAGATTGCCTGTTCGGTGCTAGTTTTGTTTTGTTTTTTTATTCGACTGACAATGTTGCGAAGTAACTAAAATTTTAAGTAGCTATCAGGAAAAAAGGTATGAATATTAGAAGGTTTAAAGAAGGTCTAGGAAATACTTCTGGAGTTTAATAAGAGTCATGATATATTAATATTCTAGAAATTGATGTTGAATTTAGTTGAATCGTTGGAAAATAATAGTTCTTGGTGGTAATTTTAAAGAAGTGGTACAGATTTAATAACTGTTTAATTTGGTGTATTTACATCTGAGCGTTGGGGGTTAACTTGTTTTTCTGTCTTAGTTCAAGAGGTTCAAGAAGAGGGTAAATATGCGATCGACTCGCCTGGATATGCTGCCAATTTGGACATGCCACCTGAAGAATACGCTTTGGATGAGAACGAGGAAAGGTCCATGATAGAACCAAGATCTTTAGAGGATCCAAAGTTACAGGAACTCCTCTTCGTTCTGATAGAATGGATCAATGATGAATTAGCCAATCAAAGAATCATTGTAAAAGACATTGCAGAAGACTTATATGATGGTCAGATTCTACAAAAATTATTAGGTCAGTAACAAGATATTAAAGATTTTTGATAAATGATAAGGATAAGATAACATTAATAAAAAATGTTCCACCACGATACACTTGTTGGTAATAACATTTTTTATCAATGAACTGAATTCAATAGATATCTGTTTACAGAGAAATTAACGGGTGAAAAATTGGATGTACCTGAAGTGACGCAGTCAGAAGAGGGACAAAAGCAAAAATTGGCAGTGGTACTCTCGGCTGCTAATCGAGTCTTGGGTCGTTACCCCCCTTATAAATGGAGTGTCGAGTCGATTCACTCCAAGAATATTGTTGCGATTTTGCATCTCCTCGTTGGCTTGGCTCGTCAGTTCCGGGCCCCTGTCAGACTCCCTGAAAGAGTCGCAGTACAGGTTGTGGTGGTCTGGAAAAAGGATGGTCAACTGAATCACAGAACTATCAGAGAAGAGATTACATCAACGTATGATGATCTTGGAATGCGATGTGAACGAGATGCCTTTGATACACTCTTCGATCATCCCCCTGAAAAATTGGCTGTCGTCAAAAAAGTAAATAGTTGCACTTTTTATTTAAATTGGCTTAGGCTAGAGGTCACAACTAAAGTTGAACTAAATAGTATGTTGAATTAGGAATAATTTGCTGCATGTTAATACCAACATTTAATGATTCCCCACTCTAGTAAGGAAATGATTTCCTGTTCTTAATTAAAATATACTGTTCCAGTCATTGATTAATTTTGTGAACAAACACCTGAGTAAGGTGCATTTGGAAGTGACAGATCTGGACTCACAATTTCATGATGGTGTGTTCCTGACCCTTCTTCTGGGATTGCTCGAAGGTTTCTTTGTTCCTTTGGGCAGTTTTCATTTGACGCCGAAGACCCACGATCAGATGGTCCACAATGTCTCCTTTGCTTTCGATCTCATGCAAGATGTTGGCTTACCTAAACCAAAAGCCAGACCTGAAGGTTTCTAATTCAATATTTTAATTATTCATTGTTTCGATATTACTCCTAGACTAAATAGCTGTTTAGAATAATTTAGTACAACAATTTAGGTAGACGGTTTCAAATCCTTTTTATCATAAAAAATTCAATAATTTAGTGACATGTATAATACAATATTTAACAATAATAATTTAACGTATTGCGTTCTTTTCAGATATTGTCAATTTGGATCTGAAGTCAACATTGCGAGTATTGTATAATCTTTTCACCAAGTACAAGGAAATCAATTAATTTTGTCAATGAATCCTGTACATTCTGGGTTTCGAAGAAGAATGACGTTTCCATTGACGCTACAGTTTTCACTTACTTTGATGTATGTTTTATATACATCGATGAATGTGACTGGATAATCCCAGCAGCTAATACTTTTAATGAAAGTATAATAACTGTCACAGAGCGCGATATATATTTATTACAAAAGCTGTGCTATATAATGGTATATAGTTGGGAGGAAATTTGTCACATGATGACGCGTCGAGGTGTCATCATTTTGCCAATCTACTGCCATTTATTGTAGACTTACGAACTACAATATGCTTTACAACGTGTTAATTCAACAACATCGCGCAAATATTACATTACTAGGTTTACTAGTCACTGACACAATGTTTTTTTAGAAAACAAGAGCAACCGAAAACGCTGATTTTATAACTGTTCGTACTTCTACAATTGATTGTTATTAATTATTATATTTTTAATGGTACTAACCAAAGAGTACATCTCATTTACAATAAGTTATACTGAGTTCGTTATTAAAAATCGCAGGGAACGTGCCAGTCTCTGATTAAAGGAGGACTAGGGGAAATGTAAAAGGTCCCGACTTCCTTTTAATTAATTTATAAAACATTTTACCATTGTGTTAAATTATATTTTTATCGCTTTCCACCGAGTGTAGTCTTCCTTTTAATGGCCCGCAGTAGAGACCGAAAAACGCCCCGTTACTATTTATGCAACACAATGACTTAACATTCACCGTAGTCGAGTGCCTTCTTATCTAGTACGTTAATCACGGCATAAATTTATTTTTAAACTTTTTATTAGGAATATTTACACGTCTAGTTGTTATATTAATATTTATACTGAATGTACAAATAGGCAACCAATTGCGTCCTGTTGCTTACTCACATTTCTACTACTGAAGAGTTTAATAAACTATTATGCATAAAATATGAAATCACGCCTAGCTGGTCTCTTGCAAATATACTATTTGTACGCTTTGGTATTACTCGTTAAATCAGATTAGAATGACATTTTGCGACTTCCGTGAAGGAAACCTTCATTACAGATAATAACTGTTATTCATAATACTGGCGTCTCCAAGAAGCGTGTACAGCGAATGCTCTTACGTCTCACGTAATTGTCCGTAAATCATTCACGAATGTAATCGGGGTATTCAGGACCATTTCTTGTAATTATGCAGCTGCTGAATTTCCGATTTGCCGGTACTTAGACATTTCCTGTTCATCGATTTGCCATAATTTCGCGCTGTATGACCGGAGCAATGGTGGACCACGACGTAGCGAAGTATCGGAAATTCTCTCGCAATTTGGCATGGATATTGTACTTAACGGGATTGTGGTCGAACGAGAAAAGTTTAGGCATATTTTATCGTTTCGTTCGAGTCATAGTGGGTTTAATTTTCTTCTTAATGGGGCTCGTCATTTTAAATTTCTGCCATTTTCATCGGTCGAACCTTAGCCTTATGCTAAAAGGGCTCAGTTTGTTTCTCAGTACAGTTTTAATTGTCTTGAAGGTATTGTAAAATGACTATTTCCTTATTTCACGGGTTTCTTGTATCGTTTAACGCGTTTATTATGCAGAAATGTATTGTTTATATGTACACGAGCTGTTAAGTTAGACGTTGCCTGGGCTTGTTTAATATTTTTTTTTTATTCCGAGTCCCAAAGCGATTTAATTAAGAAACTGATAGGACGCGCGAATTCCATGTAAAAAATTCTAACAATGTAAGTCGAAAATTTCTGACCCCGGCATCGATTTAATCCAAAACTGCAAAATGGACAGACAAACAAACATTGCTGTTCAGTAATTAAATTAATACCGTGTGTATCTAAGACGCTCAATCTGTTCCGGATAAAAAATATTAATTATTGTATCAGCATCTGTGTCAATGAGGACAATATTTTTCTATACAGACCATTCTTGATCATACGATTAGACGTGCATTGATATTTATTACGAAACGTCTGTATCCTTTTCGTTCCGTTTAATTAGAAAATAGTCCATGGGCAGCAATGTTTATAAGTCCCAGAACTTATTAAGGTGATGTAAAAATGGTGTCAAAGAAGTTGTTTATGAAACTTTTCATCGAATTGGGTGTACTGAATTGTTTCAAACTTTACAATGTGCATCTGAAGGCTATAAGGAAGGTCCAGACACCCGTGAAATTTCAATTTTTTTAAATTTGTTTATAGACGTTTTGAAAATTTCATAAAAAAAATGAAATTTATGGGTGTCAGGACCTTCCTTACACCCTTCATATTCACGTTGTAAAATTCGAAAGGATTCGGTGCACCCAATTAGTAGAAAAGTTTCATGAACGATCGACCCCTCGGATGCCACTTTCACAACCCCCTTAAGCCCAACAGAGAATTTTATTTATCCGTTCCATATTTATAATACATAAGCATTGTTTTTTGTTAAAGATCGTATGTTTTACGGTGAACCGAACCTGCCTGGTGGACTTGTACAAAGATTTGGGAAAAGTCTACGACCAAGATTTGGAGGACGAAACCTTAAGGCCGTACCTTTTGGCAGACCTGACATTGACAACTCGGTCTTTTCGCATTTCTGCCCTAATGGTGTTTGGCACTCTGTCAAGCTACGTCGTCCCAGCGGTGGCCTTTATGTATTATCAATCAAGAAATCACATAAACCCTGTAAAATACGTCCTCCCTTTTCCCGGGGTTTATCCCTGGCCTATAGAGACAACCACGATTTACATTCCACATTTTCTTTTCGAATTATTCGTGGCTGTTGGCATTTTCACGACCACCGTAGGTGTCGACTCGACATTTATCCTCTTCGCTATGCAAATTTGCGGCGAAACGCGAACCCTGGCTTATCAATTTCGGCAATTTTCCTTTGCCGAGGATCAAAGACTCGCTCTGAAGAAATGCCTCGCCAGACATCTTCTCTTATTGCGTAGTCGAAACAATTTACAAACACTCTTCGGACCGATCGTGTTCTTCCTTTTCTTATCTAGTGCCGTAATTATGTGCGTTTTGGTATTTCAACTGGTACAGGTAAGAGTTAACCATAAGAAAAAAAAAAAAACGAAATTAAATATTCAAGCATCTTTATTCACCGGATATCAAATCAGTAGCATTCTTAAAAATAGGGAAACAAATTTCAGAAAATATTGTAATTAATTCTGTAAAATTAGAAGAGTATAGAGTATTGGGTCGTTGAATTAATAATTTGCGGTCTTTTGTTATTGGTAAGTAAGTAAGGAAATCTTATGAATGATGCAGTTTTTTTTTTTCTAATTGGTAAAAATGAAAAAAGAAACCGCATTGTTGATGTGACGATCTAATATGTTGAATTGAAATTGCTACTCTTTAACTGTCTTGCGTATCGATGTTTTGTTATTCACTTTTTAGACGGTAAATTTGAGCCTTGGGAAAAGCATATTATTCGCACTGTATTTCATTGTCAAAATTCAACAAGCTCTGGCTTATGCTTGGGCCGGGACTTTATTCACATCAGAGGTATGCATTACTGTTAAATAATTCTTTCTCAAATAATTGTTCAAAAATATAGTTTGAATTTTTCTTCAGTATGCAAAATATGTTTAGAATAATTATTTGATTTATCTGTATATAGAGCAATGGGCTTCTGGATTCACTGTATTCGAGTCAATGGACGGACATAACAGATTTGCGAATCCGAAAAAGCATTCTCATAATTCTCGGTCAAAAGCCAATGATCTTAAGAGGGTCAGGATTTTTCGACGTGTCGGTAAACACGTTCTTGTCGGTAAAAAAAAATAAAGTGCTACAAAGTTGTCAATCATAAACCAGATTTAGGAATTACTAATGTATTTCAGATGCTGCAAACGGCGGTCTCCTACTTCTTTCTACTGCAAACACTGGAAGGCAAAGATGAAGAATGTAAACTATGATCGTCACCCTCACCGCATATCATAAGTATTAAAGAGATGTCGAAAATGGTTTAATGGGAAATTTATTAATTTTTGCGCGGTTTTGTCTGCATACCGTACACAATAGAACTGCTAAAAAATCGTTATCCATGAAATATAATACAAAATGGTCACTATACGTGGGGCGTTTTTAAATATTGGATATTTCAGTCAATAGATGGGCATTTAACAAATTTATATCTTAATAAATGAAATTATGAATATATGATTACCAGAAATACGAGTTAGTTACATGATAATTGCAGTTTTTAAGAGTCCTGAGAATCAAGAGTAAAATTCGGTTAAGATTGAAGTTTCTGTGAATTCTATGAAAGGATGCTTATTATTTCATTTTAATAATTACTTGACTATCATCTGCAATTTGGGTCTTTCTTTTGTATAATGAAATTTCTGAATTTATTCGATGTTAAACTTTTGATAAATACAAATTAGTGGCTTTGAGTTGCACGCGAGAATGCGATAAATGATGCCTCGACAGTTTCGCCAAACTTATATTTTGCATTGGTATTGCAAGTGTCGGGCAAGTCGATAATAATTCAGTGTATACAAGAGCGATGAATCTATAAATCGTATTCTGGAGCACAGTTGGCCTGATCGACATGCAGGACACGATTGCAAAAGATGTCTTCAAGGCACGCGATGTTGTCGACTCGTCCCGATGTTTCTTCAGTTTCTCTTCGGTTTCCATAGTGTTAAAAGGAATTTAAGCGGCTAAAAAGGGACCTTCAAAAAAGTAGATTCAAAATGTTTCATTTACGAAATAACGTAAAACCACGATTTTGTTTATATTTACTAGTCGAGAAAAAATCCCTTCCCATGATGACGTATTTATCTATCGACCGGAGGTGAGATTATACTTTTTATAAATATTACACTTTGCAACAACATACATGTTTCCTAAAGTATTAGCGCATCCAAGATTAATTCCCGAGAAATGTTATTGAAGAAATGAGCAAATGTAATAGTCTTGCGAGAAAGATTCTCTTTATTATGAAGTTTAGTGACAAAAATTAATACAATTAATTTTTCAGAGGTATGAAATAATCTTGCAGAATAGGATGAGGGAAAGCGAAACATGTCGTCGAGTTTTTCCAAGCAAAGCTCGAGAAGATCTAAGGAAAGCTTTCTCGACTCGATGGAGGATAATTACGAGATTGATATCGTTGATAACAAGACGGGGCGTAAGGCGAGCATTTTTACGATTTATGCAAGAGTTTTTCGGGTGTTGCTCGCGAAATGGATAAACGTCGTCGGCGAAGGGGAGGAGAAGAAACGCAAAAAGGAATTAGATGATCTCGTCTTGCCGAGTAATGAGGAATGGCGACAACGAGTTTATTATCGACTTGTCGATTTGCAAAGAGGACTCGCTACTTCAATTTCAAAAAAGTGAGTTTCCAAATGACTACAATTACGCATAATTAAATTAACCAGTATTTATATTTTTCTACTAAATTTTCTTTATGCAATATCCAACCGTAACGGAATAAATCTTCTTAACACTGATATTAAATAATATAAATGGACCTGTGGATATTTAAATTTGCAGAGTGAATATTATTGTTATCTTCAATTATAACTAAAAATAGAAATTGGGCTTAAAGATGATTTAGATGTGTAAAATTGACAAAACAGAACGAAGTATGCCACCATTGTCAATTCATCGAAAATCCCAATTTAGAAAAAAAATATTTTACAAACTCTTGACCTTAAACCTTCCCTGTCTGATAAGAAAATATTATTTAAAAAAAGTGGTAATTTTCATTGAAACAAGTTGAAGAATCACACGATGAGGAATAAAGTTGGAAAGGAGATGTTAAAATGTTTCCTAGTGATACCGAATCCTTAAGGAAGAACCAATCAAAAGGTTATTTTTACTGATCTATACTTAAGGAGGCTAACTGACCTCTGTTAACGGAGTTAATGTTAATATACATTTACAGTCCGGTTTTTTAGAGCAAACTTCAATGAGAAAACCATTAACATCGATCAAACAGTCAATTTAAACATCACTGTCTTTCTTCGTGATACTTTACAGAACTCGTTCGCGAGATATAATTATTTAATCGCGACCAATACAGCAACGAAAGTTCGTCCGAGTTTCTCTGAATAATTCTAATTAATATCAGTCGATGATCTTAAGCAATTATTATCAAGAACAAATAAACCAATATTTTGACGATCTAATATGTTGAATTGAAATTGCTACTCTTTAACTGTCTTGCGTATCGATGTTTTGTTATTCACTTCGTTATTAAAAATCGCAGGGAACGTGCCAGTCTCTGATTAAAGGAGGACTAGGGGAAATGTAAAAGGTCCCGACTTCCTTTTAATTAATTTATTTTAATGTTTTAACTATATATTAATAATTTCATTTTAGAAATAACCCTTGATTTTCTATTAATAGGAGAGCAACGTTTAAACAATTTTTAAAAATGTATAGTATGTAAATATATGTACGTGGTAGTACTCAATATAACGTAGTCATTTTAAATGTAACACTATTTCGGTGTATACATATCTTTATTTGGATTCGTAAAAGACCAAATAATCGTGTTATCAATTCATCACTTAATTATTCATCTAACCATACAATTTATCGATCAACTAATTACGCAATCAATCAGGAAGCTCGGTAGAGTTTCGCCCCAAATACATTTATAAAAGCATGCGCGAACGGTCCCGAATACTTAACGCCGATAATTCAATTTTTGATTTGATTTCTGACGAAAACTTCAATTTGATAAATAATTATTTCTCAAATATGAGAACTTATCATGGACCCATGTTAGGCATAATGAAAGTACGATCGGTTTTGTAGAGCCCGTAAATTTTCAGACTTTTTAGAACCATCCGCTCTACGCCACGCCAATTTAATTTTCTTAGTTCTTTTTTATAAAATTAATTTTATTTGCAGGATGGACTCCGAACCAGAGGCTAATCTGAAAGAGACAAAAGTATGGGAATGGGAGCCAGATTCGCGAATATATCCTCTACGACCTCGAGGCACCAGAGATGATTCCGAGATATTTATTGCAGTCAACGGAATTGAAGGTTCCATGACCGAAGCTTGCATCGAGCCAGGATGGAAAGTCGAAGATATCGTGTTGGCAGGAAAAGTTCTTCAAAATGAGCAACCTGTTCCTTCCTACAAAGACGAGGCTGAAATGAGGCGCGTCTTCGGACTGGTTTATGACGTCCTAAGATGTAAGATAATTTACCTTATTTTCTCATAATTTTGTGCGTTTCTACTGTCTATATGAAACAAAAAATTGTACAAAGCCTTCTTCAGGTAAATATTAGAAAAAAGGAATGTTTGGAAATATTTCAAATGTCTGCTAAATATTTACAAAATGTACGATATTCGTTATATATATAAGGGATATAAGTGAAATATTTTGTGCTACCAGGGGCAGAGAATGTTTTTTCCAAAAGAGTATCGAATTTTGAAATTGATGGGGAGAAAGTCCTTTTTTTTTCCCAGATAAGAAGATATTAAATCAAGCCTTGGAGGATGTTGACTTCTGGTTGCACAACCCAGAACTTCGAGATCGCGAAAGGATCGTATGGCTGTTATTGTACGATCTTCAGGGTAGGAAATTTGCTAGAATGGGGGAAATTGATGCTCTGGAGGCACGAGAAAGAGTTTTCCGAGCTGCAGGGTTTAAGAATGTCGAAGATGCACTTTTTCAAACGAAAACTCGACTTGCCGCGAGTGTATCCAGATTAAGAATTGGAGGATCGGCGCTGACTCTTGGTATTACAAATTTAAAATTCATATGATATAATATACTCAGTATATATACCCATTGATGCCCTATTAGATGAACTGTTGCCTACTCATTTGAGGATCGTCGAAGGAGTAACTTGGGGAGAAGAAGGCGCAGTCGCTTCGGGATGGGTGAATACGATGAAAATAAGGAATAAATCGGAATTCGTCGGTGAAATGTCAAAATTGGGACTTCAGCTTTGTCTAGACTGTAGGAAAAGCGATTTGCAAGAAGATGACTATGTCTTTGACCCATTATGTCCAAAAGTGGTGAACATGCACGAAAAGGCTCGCGAAAAAGTCGCCATGTCCGATTTAGTACGCAATCACGTTTTCATCTTTCTAGTGAGTATGGATAATTATTTAAAGAAAATATTTATTCGTTAACTACGTAAGATTGAATATTTTACAGGAGATATGAAAGTGATATTTTACCACTCCTGTTTCTCTCCCTATTTTTATTGTTTTTAATGCAAAGAAGAGCAGCAACGAATACTTTTTTAATTACATGGCTACTTCTTTTAGTAATCCTTGTTGGATGCAATTTTATTACAAGCAAAATATCCCGGATGTACCTCACCGATTTCGTTGGTTCTGATATATATTGTATGAAGAGTGTCTTTCTCGTCTCAGAATTCCTTTCTCTTTTTTTAAATTGGGTGTTTCAATAGCAAAATAGTATACGATTGGAAATTTTTAATAAAAGTTTGATTTTTTCGGACTTGTTTAAGGAAAGATCTTTGTGTCTGGGAGCTGCAGCTTTGGCACAAGCAATTCGTTCCGGTAAACTTTGTGGCCCTGTTGTCTTGACACATTGTGTAGCTCCTCGTCACACAGGATACTTGGCAGGACTTTTGGCAGATATAGAGGATGCCGGAAGACTTTTGGCATTTGGCGCCGGCAATTTGCGATGCGAATATGAAGAGTACCTAAAACATCTCGGAGTAACGTTACAACAATGCCGAATCTACTCAGAAAGGTAATTGCCCTTTTTCTAAACTAATCCAAAAGGAGAAAATAAATATTATCTAGTTGCGTATCCGTATTACTAGTTAGATTTAAATTAACTGGTTGTCGTACCTTTTGCTATTTTATAAGTATGTAACAATCGAAATCACCAAAAGCACGTCACCGCAAATCGAATTACAGGGTATGAGCAGTTAATGTTTCTTTAAAATACATTCTCATAAAGTTTGGTATAATGTTAAATTTCAAAATACGACCTTACGAAGCGCCAATTGTTAATCAAATGAAGAAACGTAAGAACGGTGCTGCTTGAAATATTGTACAAATTTATTGTACTTTTATTTCAAGTAGCGCTAATTTTGATTTTAACCATTTATATAGTACGAGTAGATTTTTATTCTGAATGATATTATAAAGACAGGATTGTTTAAAATTTAGTACACATTTGTTCTGTTTTTAATTGTAGAGCAACTATTCTTTAAGTTATACTTCTTATAACACTGTAGTACGTGTAAGTTCCAATGTATCACAATATCGCTTTTTTTTACAGATACATCTCGGCTCCGGCTTCTACAGAGCTGGAACGACGTTTTGTAATATCGCTTTTTATTTCTACAGATACATCTCGGCTCCGGCTTCTACAGAGCTGGAACGAGCAACCGTGGTCCTTGCTACTCCTCCTTGTAGTTATACAGGAGTAAAGGACGCCGTGGATTTAGCAATTGCCAGAGGCGGAGACACGGCTCTTCTGGAGTCCTTAACAAGCGACGACGATGGTGTAAAAAGACCACGAATGCATTTAGCCGAACAATTAGAGACCTTGAAATATGCCTTGATGAGACCGCATGTGCAATTACTGGTTTATGAGACTCATAGCGTTCTTCCATCGGAGACGAAAGAAATGGTCCAGCAAGTTGTACAGCACGCGAACAAAATGGCCGCCGAGAAACACTCGAAAGACAATCCAGTTAGTAAGGGTTAAGCTTCGTCTCCTTGTAATTAACTTTAAATAAGCCTAGGCAGATTCTGGAATATTTTTTAACTTATCTGCTGATGTTTCGGCTAAATTATGACACATGCTGGATATTCTGAATCGTACGGCAAGTCAATAAAATGGCTTCCAGGAAAGTAGAAAATTCATCTAGTTTTCGAGGGTTTGTCTTTGCTTTTGGTGGACTCGATTTTCATTTACTAAATCTGTGGGTTCTGGGGGGCTTTGTTTATTACGTACGAGGTCTTTTTTTCTTTTATGTGAATTATATGATACATATTTTTATTTTCTCAGTCGCGAAAAAGATTGGCCAAGGATCTTGGAGGAAGAAGTTCCAGATCGAGCAGAGCTTCAGGAAAGAAAAGCCAAGAATCTAAGTCCGTCTCGGACGATCGTCGCTCGAATTATGATGACGACGACAGAGCCTCCACTATTTCGATAGAAATGAATGTCGGCACTTTTTGATATTAATTTGGATAAGTAAATGTCTTTAAGATGTTCATAATAAGTATCTACGGAGCAAATCCATTTTTTCAGATTCCCGACAGCGACCTCTTCGAGATAGGAAACGCCACGGATATATGGCCGGAAGTTTCGGACGATTATTTCGACAAAGGGACTTATTTGGCTGTGATAAAACGGAAAGAGATGATGCAGTTTAACTCCCTCTTCATGATCAAAGTCGCCGAGTCTAAAGGCTTGTTTGGAGAGCCGAATAAACAAATAAAAATCATGGAAGCGCAACCTGCTCCGCAAACATCGCAGGCCGGTCGGAAGAGCTTCAAGAAAGCCAAAGTGCGGTTTACTCTTATTTCTTTTTATCCACCGATTTGCGTATTGATACTGAGTAAAGAAGCGTTTTAAAACAGGCAACTTAGTTTAATGAATGTCAATTAAATTTAAAGCTAAAGAAATAAACTATATGGTTAAATTTCGAAATAAGGTAAAGGAATTAGTAACGTTCAAAAGACTTGAAAAGGGATGCAAGAAATATAACTTGAAAACACTATTAAAAATGCCTTGATATTTCGAATACAAATGCATACTCAAACCAAATCAATGATACTCAGAATGAAAAATACGATATAATAAGAAACTATATAATAAGAAAAGAAATCAGTCAAATATTAATAAATGTAATGCAATGTGCTTATCTGAAAACACGTACAATTGTATGTGTGTATGAGACCAAAAATTAGTATACAAAAGTACTTGACATTTCGTTTACATGTCTTATGATAATCGTACTACCGTGTATGTTCCTTGGAATACAATTACTTCCTTTACCCTAATTTTTACAGGGGTGATTAAAAATTTATGTGTGATTTCTTTCTTTATTTTATATATATATATGCCCTCTGAAATTCGTATATTTGTATACTAAGATCCCAAATACAGTTCACGAAATTTCTAAACGTTATGTCTGGGAAAACTTTGACTATATGTATATATTATATTTGAAACAAATATTGTTAACAGGGTAGAGACTAGGGAATTTTTGCTTTACTTTGTATAAAACATGTACAAGGATGTTATTTTTAATAGGGCTTTTTAGGGATACGTAATTCGATGAGACGTATTTAAAATATTTTATTCATTTCTATTGTTTGCAGATCGAAGTGGACAGAATAGCGGCTCCGACTCATTCTTTCATGACAAAGACTTCGAAGCGAGCTCAAGGTTGTCCTCGGCACAGTCAACATATTTTGCAGGATAAGAGATTAATAAATTCCCAGGTACAGGAAATTAAAAGTCGCGACATTCGCAGATGGTGGATGGATTCTGTTGGGTATTTGTTAGACCCCGAGAAACTCGAAAACGAGCGATTTCAGATTTTGCGCACCGATCCTTGGACGCACAAACCTCTTTACTTTTTGCATGTTCAACAAATTGATTTCTCGGAGGAAGACAGAAAAGATCTTACGATTTAAATTGGTTCTATAAATTTATGCAACATACCTAAACGTGGATTTAAGGTGATGTGAAAGTGACGTCAAAGAGCTCTCGTTCATGAAACTTTTCTCCAAATTGGGTGTTCTTAATCAATTCAAACTTTACAATATAAATATGCAGGATATAAAGAATGTCCTGAAACTCATGAAATTTCAATTTTTTTTTTAAATTTGTTCATAGAGGTTTCTAAAATTTGTTATAAAAATTGCATGAGGGTCAGGACATCCTTATAGTCGTGTTCATGTTGTAAAATTTAAAATGATTCGGTACAACCAATTCGGAGAAAAGTCATGAACAATTGACTCTTTAGATGCCACTTGCACATCACCTTAAAGTAATGAAGTATAAATAAATGATTACTCTAAAAACGTAGGCACATGTAAGTAATCATTTGAACGTGTCTTTCAATTAGAAACGTTTTCTGTTTCTATGAAAAACTTATGCGATTGCTACAATTAGGTATAGAATGAAAAGCGATATAAATTTATATTTTGGAGGTTGAGTATTAAATATGAACGAACGAGATATTGTAGGATTTTAAACAATTGTTTTAATTTATTCCCCAACGCTTCATTACTGAGTCGGTGAAAAATGAACGGATTATTAAATTATTAATTTAAGACGTGCTATCAAGGTGTACCTTCATGTTCACATATTACATATAAACAATTTATCATAGAATATCTTGTGTTATCTTCCTGTTGTTCCATTCACCTATAAAGTAGATATTCAGGAAAATACATTTACATAAAAATACATTAGAAATAAATATGGAATAAAATTCAACCCTTAGTTTCTCCGTCTAATTCCAAAATATCAAATCCTTAGTCCTATCATGTCCTATCCTTTCCTTTTGATCTAGGCAGATGCCATGTCACCAAACTATCAACAAACTACTTACATCCATGGTTCCCCAAATTCATCCATTGACGTTTCGAGTGATATGATAAAAGACAAGATATCAAAAGGCGGTCGCTTAAAATCTCTCGAAGCCCAAGAAGAAAATGTACGACGTTTAAGTACACCGACACGAGCCAGTAGGAACAAAATAGTACATCGAAAGGCGAGTAAAATCGAAGAAATTTTCCAAGACTTCGGTGTCACCTGGATATCTTTAACATTAACTAATCCTAATAATTTTGGTTGCAAATGCTCGATTTGTACGTACGAGGCACCTTCTTATGGATATAAAATATGGAGTTGATATTAGAAAAAAAACTGGTCGAAGCAATTTTGCATTCCTCCTCTTTTTTTATAAATAATAAAATTACAAACTATATAATTAATATTTGAATATGACAAATAATGTGACAGATGATTTATGTACTTTACATGTAAGTCGACAAGATGTTTAGTCAATTTTGCCAGAGACTTTAATTAATGATTATTCCATTGTGTCATCGAAATTTGTAGTCAGCTGATTTTGACATCTATATTAAAGAGTATCCGAAAAAGAAATTTGTTATTAACTTTCTTAAGTAAGATCAATTCGACGTTTATTCAGGAATTCGAAGCGATTTCGGAAGATGAGACTTCTTCGGAAGAAAAGGAGAATGGGATCTTTTCTATTGAAGACAATCGATCGATTTTGCATGCGAGGGATGCGACAATATATGGATCAACAATTTGGCATCCATCGGATAGGTAATTGAATAGAAAAAAAAATCCTTAAATAAGAAATTAATCATTCGGCATTAGATAGACATAAAGTACAGAAAGATATTATTCGAATTAATGTGTAAAAAATGTACAAGCGTTATGAAACTCTTCACGAGTTCAGGTTTATAGGGAAAAAAAAAATAGTAACATCTTTGAATTTTTCTAGGTTTTCCCAAATTTCGTCTTGGCTGGATGGAAGGAATCAAGATTTTGTACCGATGTCGACACAAAGAAGTGCATTGAGAACTTCTGCAGTGATTCGGGAAACTCAAAGGACTCGTTTAGACATTTCCGATAAGCCTGATAAGGAAACTATGAATTTTTCGAGGAGTCGAAAACGAAATGTCTCGATATCGTCTCGTCCTGGAGAAACGTCAAAACCTTTGCGTTTCTTTCGGGGAAAACATTTAGAAACTGTCTTGGAAAATCAGAGATCTCCACATTTGTTTCCCGGTACAAGAAACGCAGAGGCAGAGCTCGACGATAACCCTTAACTACGTATTTTTACCAAAAACTGAAACACTAATTGGAGATAAAAATGTCCCTTCAGGGCAAATTGATAAAATGATTGGAGAGAAAAATCATTCATTATCAAAAGTTCTCAAAGATCTGATATTTGTTTCCCAAACCAGAAAGAAAACGTACAAGAAAAACTACTTTTCTATACAACTGAAGTATCAACTTAAAGAAGATAATTTATTAAAAATCGTAAAACTCAGAATAAAAAAATGGTACAAACGCATGGTACTTGTTTTATTTTCAGACGTTGGAGTAGAATATTAATTCAAAATGCTTAATTATATTTCATTTCGACAGTGAAGTTTCAATCGGACATGGATATGTTTCAACAGATAATAGGAATTAGCTCATAGTTTCTGAATTTTTACATGTTTTTCATTAATCGGAGCGCAGTTAAAATATCGCACCATTTATTTGTTTGTTTCATGCAGCAAAAGGTGGAATGCTTCATATAATTCTCATCGACAAGATTTCTCTATCATTTAGAAATTTCATTTAAATTTCCAATAGTGCCGAAACAGATTTTCAGCTGGCTTCCAAGATTTTACTCAATTAGATTGTGACATTTCGAGCACCATAAAAATCTTCTACCGCGGCATTCATAGATTCCAAAAGTCCGGAAAAGGTGCAAGTTAAAAAATTGGATTCTACGTGGCAAACATTTTTTGCAGCACTGCAGCAATGCTCGGTAAAGTTCTTAACTTGTTCCAGTTCCATAGAGCCCGAAAGGGAATTGCTAGTGTTCCAAATTTGATTAACGAGTATTCCAAAAACAAGGCAAAAAATATTCGAAAACCGAGAAATCCTCCTGCGCAGATGAAAAGCGACCCACCCGAGGCCGGCCGCAAATCTGACGAACATAAAGAACGTAACGAGGGAAAAATGACTGGTAAAATTGCTCATTAGAGCGATAAATTTGCAAACCGGGAGGACAATAACATGGACTACTTTTGAACGGGCTAGTAATATAAAAATGGACTTTAATCCCGCAAAGCTCGCACCTAAAGAGGCGGAAAGAATCGTCTTCGAGTACAAAATCGAGTTTCTCATTGCACAGTGATTGAAAAATCCGGGAATTAAGTGATAATACGTGACTACGTTCTTTGATAGGGACCAGACCGTCTTGACGAACGAAAACGAGCCAAAAAGTGCCCCCAAAGACGCGACGTGAGTCGAAAAGAATCCGAAATAATGCTGAAGACTCGAAGAGTACCGAAGCAATTCAGGTTCGAGATTTTCGTAAAATTTCCGCAATCGGTCCAACCCTAAATCTCGAAAATCTCCGAAATTAGGAGAGTTTTTGCAGAAGTGCACGATATAGGAAAGGAAGACCAGAAACAAAGCCAGGGACCCTATCAGTAGGTGTCTTCGTTGTTTCCTAACAATTTCTTCCTTGTCTTCATTGACTGATAAGCTGAAGATATCTTCCTCTGGTGAGGGTAAAAATTTCCAAAATTCGGAGCGATCTAAATCACTGGTCTTTCTGCTGAGCTCAGGATTGGCAAGGCTTTCCAAAATTCTCTCCGTACGCAAAAGAGTTGTATCTTTCTTCAGCTCTTCAGCAAGGGCGACTATCATGTCGTCTTTGGCGCGGCACTTGTTTTGCAATATTGTTATAGTCGCCATAAGACCACTAGTTGTCGGTTTAATTGGAATCTGGAATTCTGAATCTTGAGAAGATGACTTCTTTTCCAGGGGAAATATTGAGGGTGAAACGCTGATATCAGTCAGACATCCGCAGGTCTTCAGGATTTTACTTATCACTTGATCGTCTCTTTTTGGGAACTGCCGATCCTCCCGAAGATTTTCTACGATGCAAACCTACATGAAAGGAAAACTTTTGAAATAATTTCTTGGTCGAGTTTGAGATGTCATGATTACATAACTATTGCAGTCGATGTCGTGCATATGAGGAAAAAAAAACAAGGTTTTATGATGCTTCAAAAGAAGGCAAATATCCACAAATGAAAATTCAAGATCGTTCTTGGGACAAATATTGAATAATAATTGTACACAAATATGACAACATAAAAAAGGCTTTCAACTCCTGTATAAAACTATGTATTAAATTTAAAGAAACTATGTTGGAAGATGTACGTTTTGAATTATTGAGGGAGTTTCCAGGGTCTTTTCTGAGGGAATTATTTTCGAGATTGAGCACGTGTTTTGGGAAAGAGTTTTGCAAAGACAAAGGAGTTGTGATTGTCTTTCCATCAGTTTCTGTTGACAAATGTTGCATTCACAACCACAAGGATGGCAGAGAGGGTCTTTTTGTGTGTCGTCGTCTTTAGACTTCTCCTGCTTACAGTTTTCACGAGTTTTCTCTTTAGTTTTCAAGTTTTCTCTTTTTTCTGGACGTTCTTTACAAACTTCAAGAGAACTTCCTGCTTGTTCTCGGGCTTTGCTACACGAGCAGTCAGAGACTTCATTGCTTTTCTTTAATGATTTTCCCCGTTTACAACCTTCGCAGGTTTCCAAATTTTCCGAATTTTCCTGACCAACATCGCAGGAAGTAAATGGTGCATTTCTTTGACATCCTTCACAACTACTCAATTTTTCAGGATTTTCCTGACAGACATCACAAGGACTTAAGGCTATATTTCGTTTGCATCCTTCGCAAGCGTTTAATTTTTCAGCATTTTTTTGACAGACATCACAAGGACTTAAGGCTATATTTCGTTTGCACCCCTCGCATGTATTTAATTTTTCAGGATTTTCCTTACAAACGTCACAAGGAGTTAAAAGGCCACCTTCTTTGCATCCTTCACAAGTATTTAATTTTTCCGGATTTTCCTGGCAGACTTTACACGGAGTTAAAAATTTGCTATATTTACACCCTTCACAAGTATTCATTTTTTCAGGATTTTCCTCGCAAACTTCACAAGGACTTAAGGGTATATCTCGTTTACATCCTTCACATGTATTGAGTTTTTCCGGGTTTTCCAGACAAATCTCACAAGGTGGGAAAAGTGCATTTTGTATGCATCCTTTGCAGGTATTTAATTTCTCCAAATTACCCTGATACTCCTCGCAAGGAAAAGGAGGCGTTTCTTTTTTACAGCCATCGCAAATTTTCAAATTCTCCGGATTTTCCTGGCAGACTTCGCAAGGGCTTTTTTGTGCATCTTTTTCGCAATCGCACGTTTCTAATTGTTCCGGACATATATCACATGTTTCATGAATTTTGCCGCGATTAATGGATTTATCTTTTTTAGGAATGCTCCTTTCTTTGCACCCATCGCAAGGTTCATAAATAATCATATCTTCGTTCTCTAATTGAGAAGACTTGCAGGTATTTTTTACACGACATGGGCAATGCATGTAACGAGGGGTTTTTCGATGTTCATTGACAATTGCACTTTCCACGGTGGATGGTATCGTAGTAGTTGTGATAGTAGAGATTTCCGAAGGCGATCTTATCATACCGTACCTACGGGAATTTAAAATAATAAATTGTATAACAAATTAAAATAGTAAATTGAGAATCATAAAAATGTTAATCTGTATAGAAACTATGCATAATATAAAAAAAGACAAAAGCATACCTCGAGGAATATTAAATTATAGTTATATTAGAATCGATTTCTTTTGGGGCTAAAACGTATAAATACAAAATTTTCTCTTATTTATCGTGATTTTCATTTCGAGTAATTATATGAACTTTGTAATAGTTTATCTATACAGAAATTAATGTTTTTCATGCATACCCAAAATGTGGTTCTTCCACATTAACACATCCACAGAAACATTCAGATTCGGACGATGTATCGTAACACCCGCAATGACATTTTTCAGAAGGTACATCTTCTTCAAGAAGCGTAGGACAAAATTTCGGAAACTTTTCATTTTCCTCAACACCCCCAAGATCCTTTTCCCACTCGTCGCAACTGCATACAATGCAACTATCGCACTACATATACAAGTATAAACATCATCTCTCCACGTAAAAAATATAAATTACGATTCATAAATCAAACAATTAAAGGAAAACCTTAATAACATTCCCACAAGGACATCCATTTCCATCACTTTTCGGTATTTGTCGTGGTATCCCATTTTTTATCGACTCCTCGTCAACCCAATTTTGTTGCTGACCCTGCACAACAACATAAAACAGAATCAACCTAGAAAAATAATCAGGAATTTCTCCTATACCAAACTATCTAATTTCCCTCTGTCATACATACACTTGTCACAAAATTAATATCCCTAAATAATATTAAATACTCAATAAATTCTACGAAAATCTTGGAATATCTACAAACTCCAGATATTTTGCAGTAAACCTACTTTCATAATATTCCTATCATCTTGAAAGATATCGGGTAAAGTCTTAGGGCCATTACGACGTAAAGGGGATTCCCCACATTGGTAATTATTTTCTACGGGACGAGAAATTAAATCCTGCGAGGTCTTTGGTCCATCATAAGCGTCGCTACTCAATCCTAATCCTTTCCTGGTGGAGTCCAATTCCCTCGTCAGCATTTCCGCCTCCATCGTTAATTCCACACGATCCTTCTGCAGATTTCTTAGACTCATGCACAACTTTTTGGTGTAAGCCTCCAGGCGAGAGATTTTCTGCTTTGGTCCATTGTCTGGATTTTCCTGGCCACCAGGAAAAGCGCAAGGACCCTCGCAAGCAAGACTGCTGATGTCGGACATCCGGTCCAGCTTTTTGTCGGTCTCGCCAAGAGCCTTCATGTACGCCTTCTCCTTGCACTCCATTTCATATATCTGTGCCCTAAGTAATTTCTGCTTACTCGCCAAGGTTAGCAAGGTGCACTGTCTGGCGTCATTTCCCTGGGAAACCTGATTTTCTCGACATAGTGAAACGTCTCCAACGGCACCAACATCATCGGCCATCCGTTGGACACTTTTCCTCGACTGGGATTTCCCCGTTCCAGGTATTAATCCTTCGGAATCCCCGGGGAATTTCTGGAAGTCTGGGATTCCCGTACCTCCGGGTGTTCCTGGTTGTTTTGCGCATGGTAATTTGGACTCTAGATGACTTAATCTGCCGTGGAGGCATGTTGCTTTCTGTTCCAGATCTGCGACACGTTTTTCTCCTTCAGCAACGTACGTGCCTAGGCCTCCCCAACAAGCTGTCGTCTCTGGTCCCTTTACTCCCATCCTTCGAATTTCGCAATTTTACATAATAAGTCAATATCCCAAAGTAAGATTATTTGATTAAGGCACTTGACTTGACATGTCATAGGTGGAATCCACAGCTGTGCTTGAGGAGGAATCTCCTTTTTCTATCTGAAAACCTGAATTTTTCGCAGCTCCTTCTTTACCAGAAATTTGGCCGAGGTCTTCGTCGAATATCTTCTAACCTTCGCAAAAGTTATTGGTTATATGCCAGAAAACATTATGGGCGCTTTGAAAGAACTCGAAATTTAAAATGGAAGTTTCTGCCATTGACATGACTCACGGGGTGTCTCACATTGTTCTTAATCGAAGGTCAGATTTGTAGAAGAAATATGAACGTGGTAAATTAATGTTTCATAATGTCAGACGTCCATGTGATTCCTTTCCTGAAATGCTAATTTTTTAAAATATTTAAAAATATTTTATGCATCATCGTGCATAAAATATTTTTTTCTTAATAGAGTAATATTATTAAAAGAATCGTAATAATAAAATATTCCTTTCAGGGTACATGTGAAACATTAGCTACCGCTGAAAATGATTAATAAAGAACAAGTCCTGGATGGTTCAGAACTGTCAAAGTCACCTGACCTAGGAGAGAAGGAAGAATCTATTCTAGCTCGACAATATTTTCAGACATTTTCATATATCCTCCTAATATTAATTAATATTCAATGCTGTCTGGGAACAAAGCAATATTATTAACAAAATTAAAATATTAAAATATTCCTTTAGGAACCTAGACGGGATATCTGCTATTGCTGGAAATGATTAATAAAGCAATCAATAAATATATAATAAATGTTATTACTCTCCCTGGTAAGGTAAGAATCTGTTTTACCACAAAATACTCTATAGATCTAATTCTCAGTTTCGCTTCTCAGACGGAGCCACTTTCAATATACTTTATAAATCAGAAAAAACCCTTGTGAGGAATCTCTAGAAAAATGTCTATTCATGGAATACTTTCTAACCTCTATCGGAGGTCTCTATTTATATTTATATTTGTTAAACCCGTGATTGGTTAATGAGTTAACAGCTGTTAATAAACTTCCCGCGAGAAATTTCCACGCGTGCGCAAAGTATTTGTTGGGTATTTGAATGTGTCATTCGACAAAAGGAATAAAGTAGATTTTCCGGTTATTAGAGAAGGAATATTAAGCAGATAATGATTTATGCGAATCAGTTAAATAATTTAAATATTTCGTTTAAGGAAAATTGCATATAAAAAGGTACTTTAGCAGTTTCTGTCGAATGCTAGTTTGATATCTTTTTTTTAAGGGTGAAACAGAATAACAATCTGTGTGTTATTTGAAACATTAAGTGGCTGTTCACATTTTTGTTGCATACATTGTTGAAGGAATATTCCGGCACATGAGTGGCATATTGCATGTGTTAGAAAAAATCATTATGATAATTACTGGAATTGGAATTTGTTTTCATACAATATATTCGTTTTTCTGCAGGGTCAGGATTGACAGTATTTGGTTCATGCCTGTTTTTTATATATTGTATTACTGAGAAGATCTGATGTTAACATGGAACAACCAAGGACGCCCAAACGAAAGACAAAACGGTTAAGATGAAAATATAAATATTATTATATTAGTATACCTCATGTTAGGTATTTAGCTCTTGAACAGTATTATTATTAAGTATAATTAATTAACGTTAACATTTATTTCTAGACTGGAAAGCAGTTCTACACCGGATCGAAAGGCAGATGTTACGCTGCCTAGCCGAAACATAGATATTCGAAAGAGAGCGACAATGGCACCATCTGATTTCATGCAAAACCAAAGTATTTTAATCTAATATATATCTACCTGTTTTCTATTCTATCTAGAATATCTATGACCAATACATTGGCAATATTAAGATTATTATTTATTAGTTTAATAGAAGCACATGGCATGTGATTTATGAATAAAAATGCAAAGCTTTCAGAAAACCAATTTCAAGTAAAAGTTCTCTGGCACCAGATTTCTTTGATAATGTGAAGAAAGTTGAGCTTGAGAAAGATACGGAGCTTGGATCAGTGTATGAAAAATATCTACAGGCATTAGCGACTGAGCTTATAATGAAAAGAAAAGTCGAAGAAGAGTCCAAATCTATGATAAGTCAGTTAGCGTCTATCACAAAGGAGCGAGATCTGGTTGAGGATAAGCTCTGTAAAATTAAATTAAGGCAAATGGATGTCAATTATCTGTCAAAAGCACAAAATGAACTTGACGCCCAGATCAGCGATTTATCTGAACTCACAGGTGAAACAAACTTCTTCAGAATTATTTCAATGTTTGTCTACTCTTGATAATGACAATAACATCAAATGAATACATAATCTTTCAACGTTGTTGTAGATGTTGTGAAGAATAAATATCCAGTCAAGAAGACCCTGCAAAAACTAAAAACTGTGCTGGAACCAATAGATGCATTGCGTTGCAAGAATATCGTTTTACCAGAATCACTTGAGAAATGGAAAGAAGCTAATGAAAAACTGAAAGAGACTCAAACTAAGTTAGAAACCATAAAGGAACTTATAGGAAAGAAAAATGAAAGTCTACAGGATGTGACGACGGGTGTTAACGAGCTTCTGGAAACCAGTTCGGAAATTGAAAAGACAAGGAAAACGTAAGTTACCGAATTTAATTTCTAGAAGATTTCACATATCACTTTAATTTTATAATCGTTATTAATGCGATAGTTTATTTTGTAATGATTTTATTTGTTCACATGATACAGGCTAGAAGATACCCTTACTGCTACACAAATCCTAGTTTTAAAGGATGCATCGAACGAACTACAAATGATAAATAATGACTGATCACAGATTAGATATCTATATACCATATTTCTTAAGTATTCAGAGATTAAGGTAATTCCCTTCCGGTGACTAGCTTATTATTTCCTTCTTCAATTTAATAAAATATATTTGAAACTCACTCTTTGTGAATTCCTAGCTGAACCTAATTTCTCTATTTGTATCATATTTAGGAAGTCATCGTGTTCTTCTAATAAACCTGATTATTTTGCACGGAACCTTTCCTTTATGTAAAAGTGAAACATTTTACATCTTACAAATAAAAGATATCTTAATAATCCACCAGTCATTTTTTAGTTACACCTCACTAAACTTCCTCGTAAATCTTAACGACCTGTACTCTATGAAATTCAGTGGAACAAAGACCCACGTTTTTTAATTCTTTTTATTTACAGTACCATTACAAGATAGAAAATGTGTTTGAAGCCTATTTCAGTTTCCTCTATATCCAAGTCATTGAAGATTTTTCCCTCAAAGGACAAATTTTCACGACCACCGGTACAGTAATTACAGGTATCCAGATTATTACAGACACCTTGTAGCTAAGCACGAATACAAAGAAACTATCCTTTACCAAAAATCCCGCCCCTTTACCCGCGACGACAAAAACTCGTCATAAATCTCAACCCCACATCCGCTCCCCGCTATCATGGATCGTCCTCGCATCTCTCCCGCCGCCATCTTGCCTGCGCAGCTGGCCGGCGCAGCGCCATCAGCGCCTCCTCCGGCGGCCGCCTCAATCCTCCGTCCCACGGCGCATGTCCGCGTCCTCGCCATATTTAATTTTTCGCAAATTTTCACGCTTTTCACCTAAGAAAAACCGACAAAATGCGGCCTCCGGCCATCCCGGCACAAGGGCCTCGTACCAGAAAAAAATCCCCGCATCCCTAACCCCCATACCCCGCGACCCCTCCCGCGATCCCCGGACACAGCTCCGATTTTTCCGGGCCGCGCGGAATTTTATTCTGCGCATGGAAAGCAATTTTGCCCAATCATAAATAGGGCTATTGTGGGGGGATGGTGTATGTTGGCGCATTTCATACATCCGTGTGTAATGGTAACCAGATAGAGGCGTCGCGAGGCTATCGGCCGGTTAGCACGTAAATACCCGTACTTCCCGCATCTCGAATCCGGCCTCGCCACCACCTCCCGTTATCTGTGCACCTCCCGCGTGTGTCAACGTGTGTTCACGCGCCGTGGCGAGTGATCTGTGACGTCAGTGGTCCAATCGGTTGTCACCTGTCAAGCCGACGGATCCCTCGGCTTTCTTGCCCCGCCCCCGCCCCCACCCCCGCGCGGCAACCCGGTTCCCCCCATCCCCCCGTTTCCCACCCTACCCCCTCCCCACCTCTCGCTGCCCTGGAACCCTGACCAGCACCCCTACCCCAACTCCCTCGGCGGCGCTGCCACCCCCGTACCCTTCGCCCACCCACTGGCGGCCTAAACTCGACGGCGAGCCCGCGATGCGCGCCTCCCCACCCCCCACCGCCCCCACGAGTCCGCCGAGACCGCAGACACAAAAACAATAACAAATCGATTCGCTAGGCTAACGGGAAGGACGGGGTGGGGGGGTCAGCGCGATGCAACCCACGGAAGGGCCGAGGTCCTGGGGGCGGGGTGGCTGGGCATAAAACGTTAAGGTTAAAAGTATGCACGGGTACGCGACCGCCGGGTCGCACGCCGCGGTTTGGGGAGACTAGCTCGGCCGGTAAGGTAGTGCGCCGAAGAGGGATCGGTAATAAGCGGGATGGGAGATCGGCGCAGTGGAGGGCAGCGGATCTTCCCGGGACGAGGGATGCAGGGATTGTTCTGGATGCGCGGAAAATGATCGCTTGTGGAACGTAGGTGGTGTGGATGGGATTGCGTGGTGGGATCATGCGTTCGGGGAGAGGGCTTTGCAGCATTGCGGATTTCTTCGCGGTTCAAGTGCCCTCGGGTTTTGAGTTTACGCGGGGCGAGGACGGGGCACGCTTTTTGGTTCGAGGGGTATCGTTGCGCTTACGCTCGGCTTGACCGCGCATGCGCGCCGCTACTCCGACGCCATGTTGGTACCGTGTTTCGGTACCTTCCGCGATCTCTGCTGATTATTTAGCTTTGCGTTGCTTTTTTTGCGACCGGGATGTGGCGAGTGGGGCTCGGAATAATTATTTTAAGGTTTGGGACGTTCTGCGGTAGAAGGTGGAGGGATTCGAGGTCGATTCTGGTTCTTAAACGGCAGTTTATGTGCCGCAACCTGATCGTTTGGTACCACTAGGCGTCCTTCACCGCCTCGGATGTTGTTGTTCGTTTGTTCTGTCCTTTCAATTGACAGATATCTTGAGTTAGTTAGAAATACTTTGAAATATTTCCGTGAATGGATTTAGGAGACATATTTTAAGGCGGGACGAAAGTGATATCTTGGGGTCAATCGTTTATCAGACTTTTCTTCTTGCCGGGTGTGCAAAATGTTTCAGATGTTATCACGTAAATGTGCAAGCTCTAAGGGAGGATTTGACACTCGTGAAGTTTAATTTTTTTTTTTTTTAATAAAACATAAATTGTAACAAATGTTTTTCTTTTAATGGAATTTCATTAGTGTCAGAACCTTTCTTAGGGCCTTAATACTCACGTGGGGACGGTTCAAACGATTCGGTGCACCCAGTTGGGAGAATGGTTTCATAAACCATAAATAGGACGCTTTTCGTATCATTTTAACCAGTTAGCTGAGTTTGACGAGTATACTGAAAACACACGTTTCAAATAGGTCGACGCAGTTAACTGGTCAAATGTCGGGGACAATAATCCTTGTCGAATCTATGAAACAGCGAGACCATCTTGGACAGGACGGTCTGCACCCCGCGCCGCCATTTTGGTTCCACCTGCTGCCCCCCTCGTATTCTCTCTTTTTGCGATTCTTTATTTCCCTGTACCGAACTGAGGCTTGAAATTGTATTCTCGAGTTCACATGAATAGATTAGCATGCAAAATTTTACGTTGTTCCACCCCGCGCCGCCATTTTGGTTCCACCTGCTGCCTCCCTCGTATTTTCCCTTTTTGCGATTCTTTATTTCCCTGTATCGAACTGAGGCCTGAGGTTGTATTCTCGAGTTCATACAATGTTTCTTCGCTTACAAGTAGATTCGCATTAAAAATGTTACATTGTTGAGAAGTCGCGTCACTAGCCAACATTTGAAAGTCTTATACGAAACTGTTAACCCTTTAACCACGGCGGAATTGAACGCGAAGAAGATACCACCTTTACGGAAAGCTCGGCCTCGTAGTGTTCAAATTTTACACTAATACGATATCCATTTGTCGCTTTGAATACATGGGAATGAAGGGAGCCACTATAGTGGTGCTTCGTAAAAAAAAAACGTCGGTCAAACAAAAGCCACTATAGTGGCGTTGTGTAATTAAAGGGTTAATTTCGCATGCGAAAGTTGATCGTATGAACTTCCCATCGGATGAAAATCGCACGAAGAAACGAGTCTCTAGAATGATGATGATGATAATGATGTAGGACTAGAGTTTATTAGACGTTGTTTAACTTTTATTTAACAAATGTGCTCGTTTTTAGATGGAATATGGGATCTGGAGTCTTCACGCCGCGGGTGGACTTTGGGGCGATCCGCGGCTCGCCCGAAGACACCCCATTCTGCCTCCTGGGGCACCTTCGATGCTGCCAAGGGCAGCTTTTGCCTTGAGTGCCCTTCAACGACCTCCGGAAATGGTACCTTTGCCTTTGGCTGCTACCGGCCCACCTTACGAGGCAATGGAGCTGGTAGCGAAGCCTTCGGCAACCCAGAAGGAGACCGACGACCTCGAGACGCCTCCTGACCAGAGATCCCAAAAATCAGACGACAACGAAATCAACATCGAAAAGGACAACGAGCATGACGATGATAACCAGGTACGTCCTCTTATTCCGAAGTTTTGCGAAACATCGAAGCCATTTCACATATTAAGGTGAAGCGAAACCCTCCTCAAATCAGTCGATTCGAATACAACACTTTCTTTTTAAGGGTATTGGACCAAACTGTCTAAAACTTTGACACATGACTCGTGAGCACCTAGGAATTGTCCTGACACTTTCAAAATTTGGATTTTTTAATGAAATTCTCTCACCTTAATTACTGGCTGTCATAACTGTTCTTTTTTTTTCTTTTTTTAATACGACCTGTTAGACGATAATTTTACGAAGTTATCATTTTGCAGACTTCCACCCCCAGTGCGAAGAACAACGAAGAAGCTCACGAGGAGAGTGATTCTGAAAGTACGAGCAGCTCGCATCGTTCGGCCAACAATAATTTGCCTACCAAGCCTCTCGACCCGATGTCCTGTTTAGTTTTGGACAAAGTGAGTCTTGATAAGTCAAGTCGAGTCTATGTCATGGTTTGACATTGGTTTCTATCTATTTAGGAAGAAACGGTTACCCCGGCTCTCAATGGTTGGGTTCTTGGAGCCTACACAGCTATGTTGGGAAGACTTTCTGCCGCAACAGCAGCTTTGGAAGCTACCGAAGTTTCCAACATGGCGTCCGACAGCGACTCCGATAGCGACCATTCTTCTTATACCGAAAAGTGCGCTTTCTCCAAATAGATATTACTAAGAAGACAGTGCACATTTAATGATATTTGGTTCCCGACTTAGAGCCAAACAGTGCTTGCCTAAATTTATCCGTAGGAGGCTAGATATTGTTTTTCTTTTTTCTTTTTTAACTAAAGGAAGCTCTTCCTCGCAGTTCTTGATGATTGATAGAAGGAACCGTTTTAATGTCTGACGTTCACAGTTTTAGATAATTCTTGGTACGGTTGAGAGTTTTATATAGTCAGGAATTAAAATGTCGAAAGGGTTTCTTTTAAGGAGACGTGAATGCCACATCTGAGAGTTCATTCATTTATGAAACTTATTGAATCGTTTAAAATTTGACCACATGAATATGCAGGCTCTAAGGAAAGTCCTGAGACCCGCAAAGTTCCAGTTTTTATGCAAATAACAATATCATTTATAGTGCAAGATTGAACAAAAAATGAAATTTCATGAGTGTCAAGACCTTTCTTACAGCCTGCATATTCACGAGGTAACATGTCAAATGATTCGATACACTCGATTCGGAGAAAAATTTCATAAACGAGACTTCTTTGACGTCCTTTTGGCATCAGCTTAAAAGTCAGTTTTGAGTTGACTTTAAAGCACAATATCGCATAGAACTCCCGTTGCGATTGAAATATGAGGCTTTGAAGCGACGTTATTAACGAAAATATTATCTTTTAAAGATCACGTGGCAGCAGTCCTAATGCCTCTTCCGTGCGTCGTGGATACTCTTGTGGTTCCTGCGACGCAATCGCTCCAACGAGACCAGCATTAAGGAAGCACATAGCGGACTGTCATCCCACTATTTTGGGAGCAGACACAGGAGAGGCGAGGAGATGTCCCTCTTCAGGGTGCGACTTCACCACGAAGAGTAGGTGCGAGCTGGAGAGCCACGTGGCTGCCCACGTGGCCCAGGGGATGACACCTACAGGGAAGAAGCGCACCCTGGCTCTTCAGCGCGTCAGGTATAGGTACTCGAAGACTTTAAACTGGACCCAGGTGACTCTTACGGGTTTCCGAGACCTTCAGGAACTTTTACACTGAGGGAAAAGTTTAGCTGGTAGGATATAATTACAAGAAACGTTTCATTGAGAAGAAAAATCCGAAGAATTCTGTTTCTTCAATCCGACTTTCCTTTGGACGTATCTCATCGCAGGACTTTGTCGTCGCTGTAAATATTTCTTTGAGACAGCTAACTTTTTTTCTTTCTTAATGTAAAAGGTCCAAGTTGTCCAGAGACTCGAAGAGTTTCGCGAAAAATTCTTGACGCGAGATGTGCTTAGTTTTTGGTACGTCTTTAGGTACGAAAGAGAAGAATATCGCTGTTCGTTGTGCTCTTATGCCTGCACGATCGAAAAGGCCTTCCAGAGACATCTGACGGATCATGCCAACGGGACCGCTCCTGAAACCAGGGTCAGCTGTGCCGTTTGCGGCGCCGATAGGTCCTCGGAGGTAGATCTCAATCGACATATGAGGAGGCATCGGGATGACAGATACTTCTGCTGCGATATCTGCATCTTCCGGACAGTTCAGTTGAAAAAGGTTCGACTTATTATCCTATCTATCGAATAGTTTTTTAACTCTTTCGCAACCACGGTTCTCCGCACTGAAAGTGCACACGTTGCAAACCTTCCCCTGGATTTAGTTGAATTTACCCGCCTAGAAGTGTTGCTTTAAGGTGAAGTGAAACACGTCGAGGAACTTGATCGACGTCGATAAAGAAAATTTGTCTAAATACCCACGTTGCCGACTTTCGTTTTTATATTGACAGCTGTGTCGAATTATATTGGGTGTTGTACCAAATGGCATCCTCCATCCGTCATTTTCGTACAATAATTATAAAGAAATCAATTCAATAATTGTACATTGCTCGACATATGAGAGCCCGACGCCATTTTGGTTCTGGTATGGGCTACGTTCAGAAATTTCTTCGAAAAATCCAAATTTTGAATGTGTCAGGACAATTCTTAGATGATCACGAGTCTTTTTTTGTTAAACAAATGGAGCAACTCGGCAGGAATGCAGTGATATATTAAGAAAAATGTAACTTTAAGAAAAATTACATTGTACTCTTTTGACACATTTTTTAAATTTGCAGTTGATACAACATCGACGAATGCATACCGGCGAGAAGCCTCATCTCTGTCCTCACTGTCCGTACAGAAGTGCGCGACGCGACAATCTTCGTAGCCACGTAAGGCGAGTTCACAAGAAAGAGAATCTTTACTGCGACACGTTTAGTCCTCGGGGTATGTTGATAGCCCCGACGATCAGGGACATGTCCTCGGTCGTCCCAAGTCCGGCCTCTTCACCGTCGTCGAACCCCGAGTCGGCTAACTAGCAAAGTAATTCCGATCTGTCAAAACAAAATGGCCCTAAGTAATAGGGAGACGAGACTAGAAAAAGAAAATTGAAGCGCCCCGACCTGGTTCCGAACTGTCAAAGCCGTGAAGACCTAGTGGGAAAGGTGGAAAAGAAGGAGAAAGATGGAAAGAACGAGTTGACAAACTCTGACTGATAGCAAACTGTCAAAACCATGTAGACTAGTAAAAGGGACGAATGAGACGAAGAAAGACGAAAGACAAGTTGCCAAACCCTAACTAGTTCCGAACTGTCAAAACCACGTGGCCTAGGTGAAAAGGAAAAGAAACGAAAGACGGAAAAGTCAACACACTTTGGATTGGTTCCGATCTATCAAAGTCACACGATTCGAAAGCATTTGCAAAGGGTAAAAAGAAGGAGGAACATAAGGGAGAAAAATTGATATACGTTATGTCGGTTCTTAACTCTCAAAGCCACGTGGTCAAGGTAGAGGAGTTAATAAGAATATTTAGCAAGAACGTGGAAGTGTTAATTCAAAATCGGAAGTCTCAAAAAGTTATTTGAGAGATGATAAATGTTTGATTAGGTCCTAAGAGTGGATTTGCCCGGAAACTTTCAAGATCAAGTGGTTTTGGTTGACTATCGGTTGAATAGAATGGATACCAATAAAAAGGTAGGGTAAGGACAATCCGGAAACCTTCAAGATTAAGCGGTTTTGATCGGCTGAATATAGGTACCAAGAAAAAGAGAGGGTAAAGACAATCTTTGGCAGGCGGAAACCATGAAAAACTGGGGTACGCAATTTTACGCACGTCCTAATCTGGTCAATAAGCTCGGTTCAGATGCTGGAACGTTTCGGGATGGTCAGAACTTCCATTTTGGTGCCGACTCGATTTTGAAAAACCGTCCTTGGGATCCGTTCTTGAGATCCCGAAAATTCAGAAGCCACATCCGGCGCAGCAGCTCAACGCGCCAGGAAGTTCTCCAGGCCTGAAGACGAAAGAAAAGACGTACTCAAGAGGGAAAAAAAAAATATGAAAGGAAAATGAACGGATCGATTCTTTGAATTCTTTCTAGTTATTTCTCGAAAACTATTATCCAAGCGATAAGTCGGACGACTGTCTCTAAACTCCAAATTGTTCTCCGAAAGTCTGAGTCCTGGAGGTCTGGTGATTTAAATCTACGGGGCTCCTTTTTCGCTTAAGTATTGCCGACGTGAGAAATGTCTGTCCAAAATCGACCTTATCGACTTTGCAATAAGTACATTACGTGTAATATTCTGCGGTCTTAATTAATAATTAATATATACTATGTACGACGTCCCGCGGAGGTGAAGGGGGAATCCGAGCTTAGGCTCGGGTTTGCAGTTAGCTGCAAAGTGGATGAACACTATTTTGACAGATTATTCTCATATGTCCGTAGGAATGATATGTAGTCGCCAATGATTTAATGGAAACGATAATTTTTGAAAATTAAACCCGGGTCCGTGGGGGACTCCTTGAGGATGTTAGTTGCGAATCGCGTTAACAAATCCGGCCATTGCTGAGGAGTATGGCGGAGGAATTATTTCGCGTAATGGTGCTAAGTTGGTAGACTTGAACGGAGAAAGACTGCGCGATGAAGGTCGACAACGAACTCGTCGTTTTGAGGTATTCATTTCGAGAGGGATTCCGAAACGAGTATTTCGTGGCGATCTTCACTAGCGGAAAGATTTAAAAGACTGCGTTTCTGAGCTGATGTGTCAGGGTCCTCTAAATTCGGTGTAAAAAATTAGTTAAGACGTCTTTATACTCGATGCGAATTGAAATGCTCGAAATTAAACAATTTGTAGCATTAAAAGAAAGGACAATTGAATTAGACAAATATTATTAAGGCACTGAATTGAATTAAATCATTATTTTAAGGCGCTGAATTTATGAAAATGCAACGAAAATTTCGACACACTGAGTCAACGAAACTGCTTAGAAAAGTTGACAAATTATGCCAAAAGAGTAAACTTCTATTAGTATAATTCGTAGAGTTAATTCAGTGGCATCTTAAAATATTTAAAACTCTCGGATTTATTATACACAGTAATAATTTTATATCCCTGGTCACTGAAATTCCGCCCATTGGCAAATTACTAATCAAATCGAATCGCCGTAATTAATTCAATAACAAAGCGCATCCTGCGCAAATGAAATAAATCCAAGAAAATTGAAGCGCGTCGAATAATTGATTTAGATTCGGTGAGAATTTCGGAATATTCGATTAGATCGGTGACATATTCGAGACTGGGATTGAAAGACTGAAAAAGTGAGACCTGACTAGTCGAATTCGAAAAAGGGCTTGTAAAAAAAAAAGAAAATAAGATATGAAAATTGGCAATAACGCGAAAATCGCCGGAGGACCCTGACAAGTAGGAACGGTGCTATTTTGCAAGAAAAAAGAAGCAGAACAAAAAAAAAATGCGAAAACGCGAGAAAAACCGAAAAGAGGGATTACGCTAGTCCTTAATCCGAAAACGTCCTGTATTATTACTCTCGCCTATGATTCATTACGATTGTTACTATATACTGATAATTGAATGTTACTATCGTTATCGCTACGTTGCCGTATCACCAACGGATATAATGTATCGCGTGTTAATAGACGCGTTAATTAGACCGTACTAGACTGCATCGATTGCACGAAACGAAAAGGAGAAACGGAAACCGAAGCACTGATAACGGAGCAGGAGATAAGAATCGTGCGATTAGCGACTCGGCAAAATTGCATTGACTTTCCATCGAATTTCTCGTCCTTCGGGGCCGTCCCCGGTTTATCGTCGCGGCGATAATAGCCTAACAACCAATATACATAAATGTGTGTCAATTTTTAATGTACCATACTTCATTCTAGTCTATAAAAAAAGAAAACACGTAACGTTATAAGAGGGAAGACACGAAATAAAAATAGGGAGTACGAGAAGGCGAAGCACGAGAAGAAGCGATACCAGGAGAGGTCGCCGATGTTTCGCGGAGAAATGTGCATTTTTATTCAATACAAACATTACAATGTCACTTAACGTTCGTTCTGTAAATTAATACTCAAAGGTTTCTTACCGCTGACCAGTATAAAGAGGGGATTAAAATGAAAGAAAACGGAGAAGAAGAGGAAAAGGAATCGCAACGCGTTCTCTGAATTCGCGAAAATCCCGCATGTATATTAATTATCAGTTGAAATGTTATTTGCGACACAAGGACGATAATGTTTGTATTCCTTAAATTTCTATTTTCTCTCTGTACTATACTTGGATATGTATACGCTCGTGCAGATTTTTAAAATTTAGTCGATATTTTCGGCAAATACGAGGGTTAAGAGCAGCTCCACGGGCAGGAGTGTTCGATATGGGATTAGATTATTTATTGTTAAATAATTAAATGTATAGTCTAGGTCCTTCTGACCTGTGCGTTTAGTTGAAATTATTGCATTAGCGAGGAGATGTAAGAAAATGAATCTCGCTAAGTGTCGAACAGTTTTTGCCATTTTGCTATTTGATTTTCTTCTTTTCTTTTCTTTTTTGTGTTTAATAATATCTGCTCGTGGTATGTATAATATAATGTTTGTATTTGCCGAAACTCGATGTTCTATGTATACGAGAAAGTATACGTTCGTGCAGGTTTTCGAAATTCCGTCACTCGAAACGCCTATTTATCTATATGTATATGTAAAGTATATACTTTCATGCTTTTTGATATATATTGTATTCGAATGATATTTTATATTTATACGCGTTTATTGTGAAGTAACTGCGGCGGGTTTAGTGATTTTTATACATGATTTACACGCGGGCTGCCAGCGGCCTGTTAGAGCACTATGTTGCAAAATGTAGAGCACACTCGGGGCGGATCTACATTTAACGAGCTCATTCCTATTTATAAATTAAGATTGAACAAAAATGAGAATATCCTTCCAAGATATAATTACGGTTGCAAAGTTTGAAATTGTTAAATTGTAACTTCCTCCCTTAGTTTCCAGGAAAGATAGAAAACAACGAAAGATTAGATACATCATTTTTAAAAAAGCATAAATGTACTCTAGCATCAAATGATATTTTTTTTAATTTAATCCTCAAAGTTTATGAAACAAATGATTTTGATATTTGTTACGTTACAATGTTTCCCGTCTTAATTATAAAAATTGGAGCGCAAGAATGTAGAGCCACGTCGATTTTGCCATGATTTGTTGATACGACGTAAAAGGTGCGACGTAAAAGGTGTTACACTTAAACGAAGAGAAAAGCGACTGTCTCTAGCGCGCAGTTAATTTTTATTATAGCAAGCTCATTATGAATGTTGTGCCACCTTAACGGGAAAAAAATGCGTGCCAAAGGGATGACTAGAATTTTTAAAGAGAAAAGTGTCCACTGCGGGGCGAAGTGCGGGACGAGTGACACGATTTTCTTCCTTTTCCGGCATTCTTGATCTTCGAGGAAGAGCAAGAGCAAAAAGAAAGATAAGAAATGTCGGAATCCCGAAAGCTCCGGAAAAGAAACGCGAAAACAATGTGGCGACTCGCGCGCTTCCTCCGCACAATTGCGAAACTATAGTTGTTACAGTCTTTTAACTGTTGAATTTTTGCTGTAGATCGTAAGTGTCCTACCAGTATACCTTACATAAACCTACACAATAATATATTCTATATTAATGTTTCCTAGATTTAAATCTAAAAACGGGTGCCTGCGGAAACTCGGAGACTCGAAGTTGAGCTCCGAGTTCGCTGGGCGCTCATCGAATCGGAGTTCTCTGAGGAATTTCGAGAGGAAAAGTCTCAAATAACGATAAAAACACGAAAAGTTAGAGTCACGGGTGGTCGGGCGCTCAAACAATATGGCGGCGCGCCTTTCTGGCAGTCTCGAAATCGTGCAATCGCTTCGTATCGTGATATTTCTAAATACCCAGATGTAGATATTTGCATTTGTGCCATCTCAAGGATTCCGAAAACCTAAGCGGCATTCTTGTCGGTGCACACAATTGTCCGTAATCGCGATTTGAACTTTTGAGGTGAGACGCTCCGCTCGCTTCTTCGAGCCCGCGCGGCCATTCTCCTTCCACATTAGCCCAGTGGATTTTGTTTCGACACAACGAAGAGTCTCCCTTTCCTCGTCTCGACAATTTTGACATTTTCCGACAATCCGGTCTTCCTCCTATGCCGTGAAAGAATCGTTTCCGAGTCGACCCTGTGCAGCTTCCTCAGAGACTCCAGAAACGTCTTAAAATTAATACAATCTAAATGTGATAATATGTTTGCTATTGAATTACACTGTAATGACTATTACATAATTATACGATTACGATTACGAAGAGGCCAAGATGGAGGAGATGGGAGAAGAAAACCGAGCAATTCTAGCAGTCCGTGTCTATACGATTAAGGATAAGCGAATTCGAAGGCAGGGCTTTGTAAACGTGGCGATCCGACGTTTTGGATCTGATGAAATCGGGGAATGATCGATCTGTTAAAAAAAAAAGGATTAATAGTATTAACAAGTAACCGGTGATCTTGAATAAAAAGTGATCTCGATTGAAAGACGATCAGTTAGTACAAAGGGGTTTCCGACGCGCCGCCCCCGCACGAAAGTACGCCCCACGTCGCTCAAATTTCCCAGAATTTTTCCAAATTTACAAGAAAATTATCAACAATTCCCTGAAACTGTCCACTTTTAAATGCGGAGGAACATCCGTTGCCATTCTGCCGGCGAGTTTCCCAGCGAATTTCGAAAACGCCGACGCGTGTTCTCCATTATGGACGCCATGTTTGTGCCACGTGGGATCCCTACACGACCAACGAGTTACCCGAAAGCATTTCCCGACACATTTCGAGGTCCCCGGGTGAAAATCCGTCGCAAAGCTCCTCGTCAGATCGCCCACGTGAAAACGTAGCTCGTCCTCGCTACCGCGTAGTAACTAAATCAATCTTTAATCGATCCGCTTGAAAAGAATGCACCGCCATCTTGTAGGCAGATGTGCGATCGCACCGAAGCGTGGTCTTTCGT